CAAGTTACTTCAGAGAATAGGCAATAAAAATAAAATCCTTTGTCACGAACAGCTAGCAAAGCTATATGGTGTCAAGGGTGGGGCAGACAGAACAATGTGAATATTTGTGTACCTACTTCTGCAGCTTCGAAACAGTAGAACACTATTCATAATAATGGCATGTACAATACATAATATAATACACTATTTTTAAATTCAGTAAAAATTTTACATCCTTCAAGCATAGCGTTTATTTCATTTATATCTTATTAATGATTTAAATCAAGTAATTTCATTACTTTATTTTTACAGAGACGAAAGATAGTATAATGTTGCAGTTGAATCCATCATATATTTATTATTTTAAACTCATAACAGGCATAATAAATATGTTGAATTTCCACAGATTGGTTTAAATTATTATTATTAAAAGTATTATATATTAAATAGAGTTTTATTTTGTTGCGGTAAAACTAATGTAAGATACATAAAACACATTCTGTAAATTATCAAATGCCTAAAAAATGTTAACAATTTGTTACGATTTAGGTAATGCTTGAGCATTGCGCATGATTTGCTACTATAGTCAGTGCAATGACATCTACGTACAGCTATTCCTATACAAGGTGTTACATAGAGAACACGTAACTAGTTATGCCATTAAATTCAACCGCACATTAGGTAAAACGTTAAACTAAGCGAAAATGGAATGAAAATGGTATCCGCGCGTTTTTGTGCCGAGATAGGTAATGTATGCGTTCGCATGATTCGTTAAAGTTCGTTCATATTATGTTAATATTGTGGAACCAAGTCACTGCTCGCACAGTTACCTGACCTCGTAGCGCAACCTTCGCCTTTCGTAGAGCGCTTAAACTTAAATGAAAAGGGAGCTGTTATAATTGCTTGAAAGTTACACAAAACGTGACGACTTTTCTTGACTTCGACTATTGGTAACATTTCACTTAAAAATATCTCTTTACAGGATTATTTTCAAAGAGTATCCAAATTTTAAACTTAAGTTCAAAATCAAATATATAAATAATAATATACCGTTATTGCAGATTTTGAAACTTTTATTTGAAATTATCCCAAATCGAATGTGGTTTATGGGCAACAACGTTTTTGGCAATGAACAATAAATGTGTATTGATACAAGTTTAAAGATCTTATTTATTTTCTACAATTTGATTATACATAAATAAACACAAATTTGTATTGTATTTTATTGTTCACCACATGTTAGTAACATAGGAACAGTCATTAGATTCAAGAATTCTAATAGGTGCTACAACATATTTCTAGTGCGATATACGATTAAAATATTTAGCAATTTGTATTAGTGCATTTTTTTAATCTAACATATCTAATCTTTAATCATTTAGAACCAAACATTCCTAAGTTATTTTTATATACTTAGTGTTATTTCTAAAGCAAATGTCAGGAAAATGTTTTTAAACACAAACGGAAAGCGTCCAAATTTGACCGCTTCGATATTCCGTCAAAATTCAGGAGGTCAAATGTGACCGCACCCACCCACAGCACTTTAACCCATCAATACTTATGTTTAGAGACTACTTTTCGTTATGACATTGTAGAATCAATATGAAATTTTCTATCCTCTAGTGGAATAAAAAGTCGGTTAGTTTATGGATATTTATTTATAATCGACCTTCATTTTGTACGCCATGTTCATGTGAATGTTATTGTGTTGATTTTTGGATTTTTTAGTGTTTTAGTATAGTGTTTTATTATAAAATTGTAATAAAAGTTTTTATGTTAATACTTTTACTACGTGAATACATTTTGCGTAAATAAATTCGAGTAATATATAGAGATAATTGTGATTTTCACGCTGCCAACATCTGCTTGGTATGTATTTTTTTTGTTATAAAAAAAAATAAAAACTTTGTAATGAAGTGAGCCCGACTTTTGTTTAGACTACAGGATAGAGAATTTTGCATAGATTTTATAATGTCAAACTTCTTCATAGAAAAGTAGTCTCTAAATATAAGATTAGTGGTTTAAAGTGCTGTGGGTGGTTGCGGTCGCATGTGACCGCTCGGCATATGCCGGACGCATGCGACTGCATGGGATTTTTATGGGGATTGAAGGGTTAAATAACTTGTGTAAGTAAATCATCCATTATATACCCATGTATGTGCTACTGTAAAATAAGCAATTTAATGGCATTGCGTAAAAGTTTACTCCCTTGTATACAAAATTATTTTGTAGAGTTTAAAACAATATAATTAAAGCTATCTGAATTATATTTTACCTAGGATATTCTCGGCTTAATTACAATAATATTTCTATATGTACGTATTATTCAAAGACTAATACGTTACTTAATGATTTCTTAATAGGTTACTTTTAGTCTTGGAATTATATTATAATTATAATGAAACATTTAAAAAATCATATATGACCGCCATTGCTCTAACGTTCGGCTAATTGTAATCATCGTGTAGGACAATGAAAGTCACCCAATATTTAGCAACCGTCATCTGACAAATCCCATTCAGTACAGAGTTTAACTGCAGGATTTCGTTCGAACTGTTCTTGTTCCATACCTTGTAGAATAACTAAGCTCATCAATAATCAAGCAGCTTTTCGCAGTTTAATTGTCATCATGTTAGATACACTTGTATTCAACTTTTGGCCTTGTCTACGATATGTTTTAATATTCGACATTTTTGTTCTTTATTTTGCTGTATTCGTATAGCGCAAAATGGGAAGAAAGAAACTGACTCTTATTACCTAAGAATAGTTACCACCATAATTACAATTCGTCACTGATTTAAAATGTCCTGAGAAATTTCACTTTCCAAAATTAAAGTCAAATATGAAAGCATTATTGAATGATAACTTTTTATATTATTTACGGACATATGAAAATGTAAAAAAAAAACCAGATTATTCGTCCAGGACATTACATGTTTTTAATACTAAAATAAGAATTTTAGACATATTGCTGACCTAGAACCTTTCTTCGCACTGCATATTATGCACTAGTTCAATCCATCATTAAAACACACATCATCATACACCTTGAGAGAGCTCAACGTAAATTGCTCAAAACAATGACATTTAAGCCTTATAGATTCGTCACCAATATTCTTTACAAGATGTGTCAAGTCCTAACAGTAAGGCAGTTATTTATATACCACATAATCACCAAACAGCATGTTTCTAACCCTTATCACCTAAATAAATCACGTAACAAGCGTACAGTTACTAATGTTATTGATCGCTAAAATGCCGTACTGCATTAGCAGGACGACAAAGTTTTCTTTCTGGATACATTTATAATAAAGTTAATGAAATTCAGAATTTCCATCCACTATCACTTCACGAATGCCAAACTAAAATAAAGAACTGCCTAATTGCATTAGATTATGAGGATACTGAAAAAATACTGATATAGATTAGTGAAGCATTTATGTAATACACATATTCCGAATAACATGAAACACACACACACACACATACACTTTCAAAAATTGAAAATTGTCTTGACATAAACTCATTAGACTAAGAAACACGGGAGAAGGTGCTGAATCCTGACGTACAGGTTCTTACCTAATTTAGGATTCAGAGGCTTCATACGATATTTGTAACTCATTTTATCTCAATAAAGATTATTATTATTATTATCTTCGAGACTTCCAGTAGGATAGACGAAAATAAATTATAAAAAATAGTACGTAAATTTATCTCTCGTTAACAGTACGTAATAGTATAAAGTACGTACATATATAGTATAAAGATAACTAAATACATAAAAGCTAAATAACAATGAAACCATAAAATACATATAGTTACAAGTATTTTACTACATAGTTCACACGCAATATGCATTTGTTGTCATGTTATTCTATCAAAAGGTGAATGTAAAGATCTCTTGACGGTATTAAACTTAGAGTAATAAGATATAGCAATACACCTTTAAATCTCGTGCTTGGGAAAATAACAATATGTGTGTCTAACACACAAAATGGCGCTTAAGATATTTACAAAATGTAGCGCTTTCAAATCTTTCTTTTTTAGCTATAAAGCCGATAAAGTAAATTGTATAAAGAAGCTAATAATTAATCTTGCAAACTATGATATTTAGTTATGATAAATATTCAATTAAATATTGCAGGAAATATAATTCTGCACAAAAATTTCATAAGAAAGTCACTCTTCAAAATTTTCTCCTAAATTCTGTGACAAATGAAAATTATTTATTGTGTAGTTAGTGTGTTCAATGGTAGGTATATTGAAAAAAAATACCGTAGCAAAACCATGGGCGCTCAGTTGAATACTTCTCACGTAAAGAGTCGATGATAAAGTTGGTGATACTACAATAGACGTCTACGAGGCCGCCTAGAGTAGCGACTTATGACATATTTATCAAACATTACGATCTACTATAACATTGAGTATGAATGGAGAGAAAAAAAAAAGAAAACTTAATTCATTAACGTGAAAATAAATCACCCGTAAAAGTGCACTGATAAAGGTCTATAGGTCTCCCCCGATGTAGGGAGGATTTACATAAAGACGGCGTTATCAAGATGATGTAGCATTTCTCATATTCGTCAATTCGATAACCATAGAGAGGAAGGCTGTTGAAGAATACTTTTACGCCGCCATCTTACGGTATCTTTATATGTGTTAAAGCCACGCTACAACTATATTATGGTTGTAGCACGAATGGGTCGGCTCGACCGGGAAAGGACCATACTCTCACAGAATACCAGCGTAAAATAGCAGTTTAATACTGCTGTGTTTCGTATGGTGAGTGTATAGATCCCGAGATCCTTTTTACTGGAAAAAAAACATTCTGTCTTAGTCCTCTGGGGTGACAACGCATCTGCGTTTTGATTCTTAATCGAGGATAAATGTAGATGTCTATGGGCCACAGCATCAACTTACCTTCAGGTGGATTGTGTGCTCGTTTGTCACCCTTATTCTATATAAAAAAATCTTCTCTTGAATTTTGAGGAATAATACATTTCTTTTCTGTTTCAGAGACAATGCATATAACCAACTTGCCACTCGTGGTTTGGACGCTCATAGTCTTAACAACACATGTAAGTAAATTTATTGTAGTAAGCATTTAGTAGAGCCGTGGTAGCTCAGATGGTTAGCGCTCGCTGTAAATTTCACAGTACGCGAGCAAACCGGGTTCGATCCCCACCGGCACCAATGAAATTGTTAATTGCAATTTTAAGTGCTGATTTACCACGTGCTCGGCGGTGAAGGAAAACATCGTGAGGAAACCTGCACGTCAGAGAAATAAATAAAAAAATATATTTCGAAGACATGTGAAGTTCGCCAACACGCATTGGGGCAGCGCGGCGGACAATTCCTTGCCCTAAAAACCCTCTCAGAAATGAGCGGAGGCCTGTGCCCAGCAGTGGGACGTATATAGGCTGTAACTTTTCTTTACTTTACTTTAAGCATTTAGTATCCAAATTTTTTAATATTATATTTTTATCACTTACACAAATGTTTATTGTGTAGGTCATATAATTTAAATTTAATTGTGTTTGTTTTATGCATGCACTCGGCATGCATCGTCATAATATTTTTCGATAGACTATTTAAAAGAACATGATTATTTAAAAAAACTAAATATTAAAGATATTCATCAATAATTCACAGGTAGCGACGCAAAGCCAGTATGGAATAGGTTTAGGTATAAAACGAGAAGTATTTTTCTTAAATTTAGAAGACGGTTACTTTGGCTGTCAAGTAAACGAATCAACACAAATATTACAATTATATGAACTATCAAAATTGTGCGATGGAGTTCCAGATTGCTACAAAGCATCCGATGAACTGAGGACAGAGCTTAAATGCACAGGTAAGCTGGTGCGATTATTATTAGAAATACAAAACAAAAAAAAATAAAGCAAATATTAGATTAGTAAAATTAAATACGTTTTAGAATATTAAAAATTGCTTTAGAAATATTACTTAACTTTATTTTTAATATTAAAAATATATTAATTACACGCTATTTAACTATATTAAAATATATTAGTTACACACTATTAAAGTCTACTGCTGAAAATAGGCATCCCCCATAGTTTGTCTCCTAGTATATATTTATAGATATTTGCTACAGTTGCCACGCTTAGCAAGCAAGATGGCAACCGCAGTTTTTTTAGTCATTATTAGGAAGAAGCTGCTGCTGCTCATCTTCTGATTTGTTTCGCTCTGTCGCCTCTTACGGTTCCCACGGGATGATATGGGGTAGTAGATATTGCTACACCGCCACTACTCTGTAAATTAGAATCATTGTGTTTAATTAAAGTTTTTTAGACTTTAAAGAAGTTGTAATAATGTATTTATATTTTTTGTGAATTTTAAAAAAAATAATTTTAAGAGGTTTTTTTTTATTTTTGTAATTTAGCATAAGTAAAACAGCCTTGCTAATTGGAAATGTATATAGAGTAAGATAGACACTTTCTCACAAAATTTTGAGTACCTAGTGTGCGTATAATTCATTCATAACTTGTTTTGGCGTAGAACAAAACAAAATTTATATGTGAAATACGAAAAATATATTTTGTTGTTTTACAAGATGACTGTACCAAAGAAGATGGGGCACGTTGTGTGAATGGTGCCTGTCTAAACGGTGTATGCCATTGTAACGATGGCTTCGGCGGCTGTAATTGTCAGGAACCTGGTGAGCAATTATTAATTATATTTATGCAATGCGTAGCGTACATAGTTGAAGCAATGCTTCATCTGCATTATGGCGGCAATACGAACGGATCGCCTCGACTGAGGAATAACTGCACTCTTATTTAATATAAGCACAAAGCAGCAGCATAAATACTGCAGTGTTGTGTTTACTGAGAAGGCAACGAAGCATTTTACATTAGTATTCAGGGTTTTCAGAGCATCAGCATTTTGATTTTTAGTCAACGATAGATTATTTTAATAGAATTGGGTGACAAACATGCACACAGTATACCTAATGGTAAGTGGATGCTTTGGTGAGTGGCTGATGACCCATAGAAACTTACATTTATCATTAAGAATCAAAATGCAGATGCGTTATCACCCCTGAGGACTAAGATGGAATGCCGTCGTTTCCAGTAAAAACGGTCTCTCTACACTCACCATACAAAACACAGCTGCATTAAGCTGCTTTTTACCCCGGTCGAATCGACCCACACCCGCGGCCCGCGGGCTGCAACCATACAGCTGCAGCGTGGCTCTACCACGTATAAAAAAGATGTATATATAGGTATCTATGAACTGGAGTATCCAATTACTATCAACTGGACATGCTTACTTTTATAAAATAATATACATCATCATCATCATCATCATTACAGCCCTTCAGTCCACTGCTGAACATAGGCCTCCCTCAAGTAATGCCACAAAGCACGGTCCCGAGCCACCTGCATCCATCGACTTCCTGCATGTCTTACCAGGTCGTCACTCCATCTAGTGGGAGGTCGCCCTACACTACGCCTACCGGTACGAGGCTGCGACTCGAGAACCTTTCTTCCCCATCGGTTATCGGTTCTTCTAGCTATATGGGCGGCCCATTGCCACTTCAGCTTACTAATCCGTTGGGCCATGTCGGTCACTCTGGTTTTACTGCGGATATCCTCATTTCTGAGTCTATCACGCAGTGAAACTCCGAGCATAGCCCTCTCCATAGCTCGCTGAGCGACCTTGAGCGTCCTCATACGGCCAGCGGTGAAGGACCACGTCTCAGATCCGTAAGTCATCACTGGCAACACGCACTGGTTATACACTTTAGTTTTCAGAGATTGAGGTATACCTGACGAGAAGATGTGTCGTAATTTCCCGAACGCTGCCCAGCCGAGTTGAATCCGTCGATTGACCTCTCGGTCGAAGTTGGACTTACCTAGTCGGACTATTTGTCCCAGGTAAACGTACTCGTCAACAACTTCGAGCATAGTGCTCCCAACAACTACCGGCATAGGTGTGACATGGACATTAAACATAATCTTTGTATTGTCCATGTTCATCTTAAGACCTATCCGTTGGGAGACACCATTGAGGTCATTGAGCATAGTGCTAAGGTCCTCCAGCGATTCTGCCATAAGGACTATATCGTCGGCAAATCGAAGGTGAGTGATGTACTCGCCATTGATGTTAATACCGTATCCTTTCCAGTCCAGTAGCTTGAAAACGTCTTCCAACGCAGCGGTGAAGAGTTTCGGGGATATAACATCACCCTGTCTTACACCTCTCTGCAGTTGGATAGGTTTCGTACTCTGGTTCTGTACTCGGATAGCCATCGTAGCCCTACTGTACAAACACTTCAGCACTTCAATATACCAATAGTCAACTAGGCACCGCTGAAGAGACTGTAGCACCGCCCAAATTTCGACGGAATCAAAGGCTTTCTCATAGTCCACATACGCCAAGCAAAGTGGCAGATTGTACTCTTCGGACTTCTGTACAATTTGCCGAAGGGTATGTATGTGGTCTATGGTACTGAAGCCTTTTCGGAAACCGGCTTCTTCGGGAGGCTGGAAGTCGTCGAGTCTGCGTGCGAGACGATTCGTAATGACTCTCGAAAACAGCACGTAGACGCGGCTCAGAAGGGAAATCGGTCTGTAGTTCTTCAAGAGAGCGTTGTCGCCTTTCTTAAAGAACAAGACCACCGCGCTTCTGCTCCACAATAATATACATAAGGGTCAATTATTTTATACCTTTGCAAAAATTAAAACAATTGAGTCATTAGTATATATACCGAATTTTGGATATTTTTCCGAAGTAATTTTTTATTTTAATTGGGTTTTAAGATATATATTAAACATAATATATTAAACATATATCAAGGAATTAATTAACCGTATATCGTTGTTAGATAGTTTTTGTATTATACGGTTTGATTTTTAAATGGCCTTAAAGTTCCTATTTGTATAAAGTACCTAAACAAATACGTTCTTTGCCTGCTTCTAGCGGTTCGTTTATATTGCCTTACGCTGTCTTATATTGCCATATATTAATGCAATTGGTATATGTTACAGATATAAATGAATGTAAGGACAGACCCTGTGATGTTTTTGCGCATTGTACAAATACCGTGGGTAGCTTTCAGTGCTCTTGTTTCCCAGGCTACGAAGGCGATGGATTCACTTGCAGAGGTAATTTATAATTTTATAATTTTACTGATTAGTATTATTCCATGCATTTTGATAGTTGCAACACTGTCCAAATTTTAGATATAAATGAATGTGAAGATCCATCGATATCATCAAAATGCGTTGAAAATGCTGAATGTTGTAATCTACCAGCACACTTCATCTGCAAGTGTAACCGAGGTTTCGAGGGTGACGGTGAAGAGGAATGCCGAGGTAATTCAATAATATAATATTTGTTATTTATTGCAAAACATAGAGTTTGCGAAAGAAAACTATCCACGTACGTTTAAATAACATATGTACACGTAAATGAACCTAATTATCATTCACATCATCATTCAGAGTTAACATTAAAGTACTTTATTAAATAAATTATTTTGTGCAACATAAATGTAAATACACATTACTTAAAATCAGATATCGACGAATGTCGACGACCTGGAGCCTGTGGCGCTAACACAGTATGTCAAAACTACCCCGGAAACTATACGTGCGCTTGTCAAGCAGGTTACACTGGAAATCCATTTGACGGAGTAAGTGATTATTTTTAAACTAATTTTTCATATTTTACTGGACCAGTAAAACAGTAAATTGTTCTCTTTCATACTAGTGCGTGGACGTGGACGAGTGTGAGAACAGTGAAGCGTGCGGAACAGGTGCCATTTGCCGGAACGTAGCTGGCGGTTATGAATGCATCTGTCCACCAGGATATGAGGGCGATCCCCGAAACAGCTGCCATGATCTCGATGAGTGCGCACGCAGTACCTGCGGTCGCGATGCTCTTTGCGAAAATCTTCCCGGTACTCATCGATGTGTATGTCCACCAGGTTTCGAAGGCAATCCGGAAATCGAATGCATTGGTGAGCGCAATAAGTTTTATTTCAGTACAAGGGCTTTTTCTTGTTTATGGTCTAATGCTTGGAGGTTTCTAATGACAGCGTTTTAACAAAATATGCTGAATACTACCGCCTAAAGTCAAGCGGTAGCTTCACGCTACACTAACTACTAACTAACCTAAAAATTCAAAACATTTTTTGGCAATGTCATTAAAAAGTTTCAGGTTAAGGACACATACTTCAGCACTGTACGACATCCAATCAACTCTTTGGTGCCACATTATATCGTTGCTTTATTTTTACAGCAGCACGTTCCAACTGCAGCGACTAAGCTGTGTTTCATTTGAGAGATAATATCAACAGCATCTTACTCTTGATTTCAGTGTCTATCTATCTTTCATTACAATGTCTATGTGCCTGACTCTTCCTTTTCGTAGTGGCTGTCGGAGTATCTAGTACGTACGTATGTGTTTATGTTCGCGGAGACGGCAGATAATTAGACGTGAGTTGTTTGTTATACCAGACGTGGATGAATGTAGGAGTAACGAGAAAGTATGCGGCGCGCACGCTGTATGCACAAACACTATCGGCAGCTTCGTTTGTACATGTGAACCTGAATATTCGGGCGATGCGCGTTCACCCGACGGTTGCAGTGATCTGGATGAATGCACAGTCCTCGAGCATCCTTGTGGCTTACATGCAATTTGCGAAAATACTTCACCTGGCTACAACTGCATATGTCCACAAGGGTATAGAGCAAAACCGGATGCAAAAGTTGCTTGTGAACAGGTATATAATTTAATACGGATAAAAATATAGTTTTCATTTGAACATTTAATAAATAATGTCATTTTTTGCAGGTGGATGTGAATATACTATGTAAATCTAATTTTGATTGCACTAACAATGCGGAATGTATTGAAAATCAATGTTTTTGTAAAGAAGGATTTAATGCCAAGGGTGCCGTATGCCATGACGTCGATGAATGCACTAACACATCAATTTGTGGAGAAAATGGTTTATGTATTAATACTCTCGGTGGATATCAATGCGAGTGTGCAAATGGTTTTGTAGGATCACCACCTAAAGTAGCCTGCCGTGCACCATGTGAAGATGTTAAATGTGGAGAGCACTCATACTGCAAACCCAATGGTGTTGAAGCATATTGTGTATGTGAAGAAGGTTGGACGTATGTTCCGACTGATATAGCTGCTGGTTGTGTGGACATTGATGAATGCGACACATCTATAGGACCAGTAGGGCGTTGCGGAATAAATGCGCGCTGTTCAAATACGTTAGGCAGTTTTACGTGTCAGTGTCCTGATGGATACTCTGGAGATGCTTATACAGGATGTTTCGATGTTGATGAATGTCAAGTAGAGGATGCGTGTGGAATAAACGCCGAATGTGTAAATAAAGAAGGATCCTACGATTGTGAATGCCCTGATGGTACCACTCCTGATCCAGATCCTCGAGTACGATGTTCAGAAATTCTAACATGTAAAAATGATAATGATTGTCCTGGGAATTCTATTTGCGATTCAAACTCCAGATGTCTTTGCCCTGAACCAAATATTGGAAATGATTGCCGGCGTAAGTATTAATAATTTTTATTTTGTATATATATATATATATATATATATATAAATTTATTTTTTTATTAATAAACGGTATTGTTGTTTGCAGACCCTTGTGAAACTTTAAGATGTGGTAGTAATTCTGAATGTTTATTGAGTGACCAAATTGCTCAATGTATTTGTCGAAATGGATTTACGGGACAACCGTCATCGCGTAATGGGTGTCAAGATATCAACGAATGTGAAGGCAGTCCTTGTGCCTTGGGAGCAGTTTGCAAAAATCTGCCCGGCCATTTCCAATGTGAATGTCCTGGGAGTTTCAGCGGTGACCCTTACGTTGATGGATGCATTTCAAGTAAACATCCAAGTGAATGTAGTAATACGAATCCATGTCCACAAGGCGAACAATGCGTTGGTCATGATGGAGAAAATGTTTGCATTTGTTCCCAAGGTTTTACACGCAACAAAGAAACTGGATTATGTGAAGACATCAATGAATGTACTTTGTACGGACGTTCTCCTTGTGGATTTAATGCCATTTGCAAAAACCTGCCTGGAAGTTATGAGTGTAAGTGTCCCACAGAATTTAGTGGGAATCCGTATACGCTTTGTGAACTGTGTAGTGATGTCAGCTGTCAATGTCACCCACCATATAAAGTGGTTGATGGAAACTGTGTTTTATCTGATTGTGCAAAGGGAAATAAATGCGGAGAGGGCGCTGAATGCATTATTATCTCAGAGAATGTCAGTTATTGTGCCTGCCCATCTGGATTCTCTCAATCAGGCGAAGGCGCTTGCGAAGATATAAATGAATGCTTATCAGGACAACCTGTTTGTGGTTTTGGAGCCGAATGTATAAACACTGCTGGATCGTACACGTGTAAGTGTCCATCTGGTTATAGTCAAGATTCAATTTCAGGCCATTGTACTTTGAATCAAAAGCGATGTATAAGCGATTCTGATTGTTTTCCAAATGAGAAATGTATACAACCAGGTAAATGCGTTTGTCCACCACCATTTTACATAGACATCGAAGATGGACAGAAATGCAAAAGTCCATGTGAAAGATTTGTTTGTGGTATTAACGCTAAATGTACGCCTAGCGATCCACCAAGATGTATGTGTATGACGGGATATGAAGGTGATCCTTATATTGGTTGTACTAATAGGAACGAATGCCACAGTTCTCCATGTGCCTACGGCGCTATTTGTCATGATCAAAAAGGAGGATATCAATGTGTTTGCCCCCAAAACATGGTCGGAGACCCATACAAAACTGGATGTACGTATTAACACATGATCAGTAAATGTAATTTATTTTAGTAAATATGTAACCAAATTTATAAACAAATGCATTTAATTTTTAGGTTCATTTGGTATAGGACCATCACAAAAACAGTTATGTAGTTCAGATAACGAGTGTCCCAATAATCTTGCTTGCTTTAACCGTACTTGCATCTCTCCATGCGCCAGTGTAACGTGTGGACCGAATGCTTTCTGTGAAGTTGAAAATCACGCTGCCTGGTGTCGTTGTAATCCTGGATACACTAAACCCGAGGGTGGAAAATGCGTTTCAGGTGAATACTTTTAATATTTACAGCGAGCGTTAACCATCCGAGCTACCTTGGTTCATTTACCACGTGCTTGGCGGTGAATAAAAACATTCTGAGGAAACCTGCATGTCTGAGAAATAAAAAAAATATTTCGAAGACACGTAAAGTTCGCCAACATGCATTGGGTCTGCGCGGTGGATACTTCCTTGCCTTAAAACCCTCTCAGAAATGAGGGAAAAAGTTACAGCTTATATACGTACCCTGTGCCAAGCAGTGGGACGTATATTGGCTGTAACTTTATTTTAATTTACTTTTTACTTTTAATATAATATCTATTTATTAAAATTAAAAACCAAATAGAAATGCAAATACAAATTATCCTTATTGTTTATATTTTCTTTTAGGTTGTGATAAATATTCCTGTGCTACGGGTGCTCAATGTATAATATCGAAAAATGGTCCTACATGTATTTGTCCAGAGGGTATGGTCGGAAATCCTTTTCCTGGTGGTGGTTGCAGGAGAGATATTTGTGGACCTGGAGTGCCCTGTGAGGACCCCCTTACATGTTTAGCAGGTAGATGTCGACAACGTTGTGAAAATGTTGTATGCGGCATAGGTGCATCATGTGACGAAGATAGTGGTCTATGTGTTTGTAATGCATTCTTTGTCGGAAATCCAGAGTTGTTATGTATGCCACGTGAGTAAATGGAACTTATTTAAGTAAATTATAAGAATTCTAGAATTTATGATTAACGACTGAATATTTTTACAGCTGTTGCTCCTCCAGCTTGCGAACCAGGTTGTGGTGAAAATGCCCATTGTGTTTACGGTCAAACTAATATTTGCAAATGTGATAAAGGATATACAGGAAATCCCTATTCAAAATGCTTAATGAGAAAAGAAATAACCTGTGCAAAAACTTCTTGTGGAATAGATGCCGTATGTCAGCAGACTAAATCACATATAGAATGCCTGTGCCCACCTGGCTACATTGGCAATCCAAATTTGCAATGTATTGATATTGATGAATGCTCTTCTAAACCTTGTGCTGAAAATGCTTTCTGCATAAATACTCCGGGAAGCTTCAGTTGCATTTGCAAAAGTCAATACTTTGGAAATCCATACGAATTATGTACACAAGTTTCAAATTCTAAGTGTACTGACGGTTCCGTTTGTACTTGTTCTCAAAATAATACCTGCCCAGACGGGTACTACTGTGAAAAGTCTCTATGTGTGGATTCATGTCGCACAATGTTGTGTGGGAAGAATGCTATTTGTGAAGATGGACAATGCGTTTGTCTGCCCGGATATAATGGAAATCCCAACGACTTGCAAGAAGGCTGTAATTTTGACAGTAAATGTGTAACAGATAGTGATTGTAAAGATACTGAAATTTGCCTTCAAATTAGTAAAAACGTGCGTAAATGTGTTGATTCATGTAGTAAATTACAATGCGGACCAAATTCGTTATGTGTAAGTACCAATCATCAAGCTCAATGCATTTGTACTGAAGGCTACGTTGGAAAACCAAATGATGTTAAATATGGATGTCATTTAAAACAAGCACCAAATGAAGTCGAATGCAATTTAAACAGTGATTGCACTGAACCACAGCTATGTGTAGCGGTAGATGGTACCATGAAATGTCTTGATTTATGCTCTACTGTAGCTTGCAGCGCTGATGAAGTATGTAACGTAATAAATAACAGCGCTCGTTGTGATTGTAAAGAAGGTTTTCTGTGGAATCCCGTTAGTTCTAGCTGCGAACAACCTACAACTCCTAATTGCCAGAAAGATAGTGATTGCGATGACAATAAATCTTGTGAAAGGGACGTTCTTGGAGTCAAAAAATGTGTAGACAATTGCTTGATATTTACATGTCCTCAAAATTCAAAATGTGTTACTAGAAACCATAAAACAGAATGTCAATGTTTAGATGGTTATACAGGAAATCCAAATGACCGTCACGGCTGTATAGAACTAAATAAAAACGAGTGTTCTGATGATGCGCAATGTAGAGAAAGTGAAATGTGCAAATATATTGGTAATATCAAAAAATGTGTTGATGCTTGTCATCAAATGATATGTGGCCCGAATGCAATATGTGTTAAAAATAATCACATAGCAAAATGTCAGTGCCCGTCGGGCCCTTTTACTGGTAACCCTAATGATTTAGAACAAGGCTGTCAATCAGTTCCTTGTATCTATAACGCTGATTGCTTATCACATGAACTATGTAATCGCATGACACACACATGTGTCAATGCATGCACTAATGATTCCTGTGGCGAAAATGCTGTTTGTATAGCCGAAAATCACAGAGTAAGTTGCCTGTGTCCTAATGGATATAAACCAGATCCTATACCTGAGGTTAATTGTAGAAAAATAGAATTATGTAACCCTAATCCTTGCCACCCAACGGCAATTTGTGAATCACGACTTTCAACGTATACGTGTAAATGTCCTGTTGGTTACTTCGGAGATCCGATGAAAACAGGGTGCACGAAATTAAATGAATGTAATAATGGTGATCAAGATTGCCCTCCTGAAGCGGCTTGCATAAATCAACTTTGCGTCAATCCATGCGAAGGAGCTTGCGGAATAAATTCATTATGTAAAATTGTTAACAGAAAAGCGATATGTACTTGTCCCGATGGTTACGAAAAGTCAAAAACTGATAACAATTGTAAGAAAAAGATATTGGCTTGTGCAAATAAAAATGATTGTGACGGTGATACCTGCTTTAATGGACAATGCTTTGCTGCATGCAGTAATTCCAGTCATTGTAATACAGATGAAGCATGTGTCCGAAATTTATGCATAACGCAATGTACCAAACACACGCAATGTGGAATTGGACAAGCCTGTGTGGGAGGGCAATGTTTACTTGGGTGTAAGAATAATGAGGACTGCATTAGTGATGAAACATGTATAAATAATAAATGTGTAAATCCTTGCCTTGTTACAAGAGCTTGTGGTCCAAATGCTATTTGTTCTAGAATAAATCATGTTGTGCAGTGCGAATGTCCACTTGGCTTTGAAGGTACACCAACACCACAACAAGGATGCGTAAGAAGACCTTCTACTTGTTCTCGGACATCAGACTGTCCTCCGGATCATATGTGTATCGGCCGTTTATGTCAACTTCCATGTCAAGATAACTCGGGATGCGCTATCGGAGAAAAATGTAGCGATAACATTTGTCACAAAATATGTCATTCCAGTAGCAATTGCTTACACGGCGAACATTGCAATTCTGGCATTTGTATACCAGGTTGTAAGACCGACTTAGATTGTCTCAATAATCAAGTGTGCCAAACAAAACAATGTTCATGTATAACAGGATTTAAACTTATTAACAATGAATGTATTAACATAAATGAATGTATTAATAATCCGTGCCATCCATCAGCACAATGTGTTGAGTCCCAAGGTTCATTTAAATGTATTTGTCCAATCGGAGCCATAGGCGATCCTTATCAGACGGGTTGTTTGTTATCAAACCAATGCAGACGTGATTCACAATGTGAAGATTCACTTGCTTGTATAAAAGGAAAGTGCTCAAATCCTTGCTCAACAATTGCTTGTGGAACTAATGCAATTTGCTCTGTAAGTAAGCATCGAATGACATGTGCTTGTGAAAAAGGACATTTAGGAAATCCTTTTGATAAAGAGATTGGATGTTTTAAAGTCGAATGTGTAGGTGATTTTGAATGTCCTACAGATAAAAGGTGTAACACCAAAAACAATAAATGTACTGGTACGTTTATTTTTACATTCTTTCATTTATATTAATTGTATTTATTAAATGTTTACAAAACATATTTATTTTATCGTTTACAGATCAATGCGACGAACTAGCATGTATAGGCGGCTCTTGTAAAATTGAAGATCATAGAGAATTGTGTATATGTCAAACAGGATTTGTATTAGTAAACAATGCATGTGAAGATATTAATGAATGTAAAAGTAATCCATGCCCAGTGAATGCAGCTTGTGAAAATAATCCAGGATCTTACATATGCAATTGTATAAATGGCACGGTATTAGATGTTGTTAATGGTAATTGTAAGATACCTGGAGAGTGTGCTTCGGACGATGAGTGTTCCGAAAAAACTAAATGCAGAAATGGACACTGTGAAAATCCATGTAACGAATTACCATGCGGTGAAAATGCTATATGTGGAATCGTTAAACATGAACCAGTCTGTGAATGTCCGTCGAATAGTCAAGGCGACCCTTATAAAAAATGCACTAAGTTTGAGTGTACTAAAGATTCAGATTGTCCATTTGAAGAAGCTTGCGTTAATTACAAATGTAAAGATTCTTGTAGCATTCCACGCGCATGTGGTAGAAATGCCGATTGTTATTCAAAAAATCACATAGGCCACTGCACTTGTTCACCAGGATACACCGGCGATCCCGTTCTAGGTTGTGTTCCAATTCAATTTTGTTCAGACGATAATAAATGTTCTTCTGGTACAAGATGTGTGGATAATTTATGCGTTGGTAAGTTAAGCAATTTAGTTCATACATATAAGTATGTACGTAGTGCAACTCAATAATATTGTTGTGAATGTTATGTTCACAGGTATATGTAAAAATTCAAGGGATTGCTTGGAGAACCAAGTGTGTATACAAAACACATGTCGAGTAACGTGTTCAGAAAACAGTACCTGTCCTGAGTCTCAATTCTGCTTAAATAGGATTTGCACGAAAGACGTCCAGTGTTTTTCTAATGACAATTGTAATGAAGACGAGCAGTGCGTTATTAATACGGATGGAATTGCTCAGTGTATTAAAATATGCGAAAATCATCCATGTGGGAGAAATGCTATATGCTTAGGAAAGTCTCATGAACCAACTTGTTCATGTAAAGAGGGATTTTTCGGTGATTCTTTGAAAGGATGCAAACGTAAAGAATGTAATATCAACTCTGATTGCACAGAAGATAAACTATGTGATGATAATATGTGTAAAATTGCGTGTTTAGTACAAAATAATTGTGGCGAAAATACCGTTTGTTCCTCTGAAAAGCATACTCATACATGCTACTGTCAACCTGGATATACCGGAGATCCTGTAAAAGGTTGTGTTAAAATAAATTGGTGCGCATCAAATCCTTGCGGGTATGGAGCAGAATGTAAAAATACCAGAGACCGAGCACTTTGCACTTGTCCTGTTGGAACAATTGGAAATCCATATAAAGAGAAATGTAGCAAAGCTCCAGAGTGTCGCTTTAATAGGGACTGTCCAACAATTAGTCGATGCACTGTAATTGATGGTACTCGAAAATGTACAGGTTAGTTATTTTACGATTCAAAATGGCAGTTTATTAGTTTTGTAAACAATTCATTTATTCATTCATATTCATTCATATTTAGTTCATTTTTATCACGCATATTTATAAAATAATTAAAATTGAAAATAATATTTTTTAGATGCATGTGAAAGTGTTAAATGTGGACCTAACGCCGAATGTGTAGCTGCAAGACATACAGGTCAATGTAAATGCAAAAATGGCTACATTGGCAATGCCAACAGTGAAAAGGGTTGTAGTCTGCGCGAAATTACATGTAGGAGTAAAACAGAATGTCACAGTGATCAATATTGCCATAAGGGACTTTGCAAGGGTAACAAATTTTTATAAACTATCCATCTTTATATTGAAATTTAATTTAATAAAAATAAAATATTAATAACTTTAAAATATTTTTAGCCTTATGTTTGCTTGATGAAGAATGTGGAACAAGTGAAAAATGTATCAATGGGCAATGCTTAAATCCCTGTGAAATGGAAAAGGCATGTGGTTTAAATTCCGTTTGTCGGACTGAGAATCATATTGTGCAATGCAGTTGCCCCAATAGTTTTACCGGAAATCAAGACATTGAATGTGTTCGAAGTATAGACATGTCATAATTTGATGTATTTCATATTTTTTCATTTTTGTTATTAATTATGTATATTAATTACTATTATGCTTTTAGTTCCGAGATTGTGCGGTGCTGCCGAGGAATGTGATAATGGATACCAATGTCATAACTCTATGTGTGTACCTCAATGTCAAGCCGATGAACAGTGTGCTATAAATGAAAAATGTTCGAAAGGAGTTTGTTTATGTATGTATATACGAGTAGATATTATTAAAGTTGTAGTGTTATAATGGCGACTACAAAAAAATTCACAATTCGACTGTACCTTTATATTTTTTTTGTATGTATTTTCCACGATATCTTCGTCAACTGGGATTCCATTTTAATGATTTTTTTATTAAATAGTTTAAATAGTTTGGGGTATTCCATTAAAAAGAAGTAGACAGAAAATAGTGTATCAATTTTTTAAAGCAACTATTAAGGCGAAATTTTAGTTGTTACCTTGAGTTTGTACCGTTACCGTTACCGTTACTGTTACAGCCTAAGAAAGTCCACTGTTGAACATAGGACTCTCCTACAGATTGCCCCAAATATTTGCCATAGTTCCACGCTTGGCAAGCGGAAAAAACTGCTGTTGTTTTTATATTTTTAATCGTTAATAGAACGACGCTGCTGCCCATTGTTTCCCTCTGTGGCCTCTTTCGACACCCACGTGACGTAAAAGTTGACAGATGTGTTTATAACTTAGTCTAGTCGAAAAGGTAAAAAACTTAACTCTTAATAAAAACTTAAAGCAGAATTCAAAGATCTAAAAAGCTAAGTTTCTGATGTGAGCTCTTAATTTTTTCTAGAAGTAAACCGACTTCTGAAGTAATTATTTTATTATCTTTATCCGACTCCAAAAAATGGAGAGGTTCTGTATGTTTTTGTACTGACTGCACGTGTAAAAGAACTGGCAATGAGCTTTTAAAAGCATAGCCTTAAATTGATTAGAGCATCGTGCAAATCTGTGGGCCAACATATTGGACAACGGACAGACAGCGCACTTCTCTATTTATATATCTTTTTATTTTTTTAAATGTTACCCTCACACTAGGATTTACTCCTGTATCGTGGAGGCAGTTTACAAACATAAATTGCACAAGGACAAACATCCAGACCCTAAACAATAATTTATAGACCATACAAATACTTGATTCGTGCGGGATTCGAACCCGCGGCCCATAGCGCTGCGACTCAATGATAAGCAACTGCGCCATGGAGTCGTCTCATATCCAAGTCGTCTTTTTTATCTTACGTGACCCAGTAACGGGTTATTTCATTTATCCACCCTAAAAAATCTACCCTATGGTGGAGACTCGAAAACACGTGTTTATCTATCCACTCCAGACGGGTTGGATAAACTGAATTCATATACCTATATTAGTTTTCTTCCGATTTTCTCCCTCAGCTGTGTACATTTATTTTTAAAAACATGATAAGAACTGACCAAAGATACTTAGTAGACTTTACCTGTATACAATTTATACATAGTTTTTATTTGAAAGGTCAATGCTGAAAAAAAGGAGTTCCTCACAGAATTGCAGATTCATTGGAATCTTGGCATAAAATAATTTAAAATGAAGTTAAAGACAAAAGTAACGTTTTCAGAATGAATGTATGAAAAAACGACTAGACTTTCGCTAACATATTCGTTGTAGCAAAGAAATTTAGAAAACGATTGCAAATGTACATTTAAAGTGACGAATTTATCCAGGATATCAAATAACGTCTATTCATATTTTCATAATAAAATTAGTGTTGGTAATTACCTGGATATATTACAGAATTTTTAAATTACTATTTAAAATAAGGAAATAATACTATTTAAAATAAGGAAGTTTAATTTGATTTCAATGCAATACGTAGTATAGCAGTTATTAAAAATTGTAGTGTATGTGTTGAACTTTGATGAGGGTAAAAAGTCGGAAGAACAAATAAACGCGAATTTCGATTGTCCACCCCGTCTGGGGTGGATAGATGAACATGCGTTTCCGAGTATCCACCCTAGGGTGGATTTCTTAGGGTGGATAAACGGAATAACCCCCAGTAACCCTAATTATCCGATATAAATATCATAAATTCACTCTTTACAGCGTTGTGTATAAGCCTCTGGGCAGCCGCTATATAAGATTCACATATAGTAATCATTCTCTTCAAAGCACCACTAAATGGGCTCAGCAAATATAACGGCTTCCGAAGTCGGAACTTAAAGCTCCGAATATACTTAGCTTATTATTTCTTTGAAGTTAATTTTTACTTTTTATTAAAAGCTTAGTTTTGTTAGCAGCCTTCAATGAGAATAATTTGACATTATATAAAAAAGCTAATTTAATTTTTTAATTTTGAATAATAAATAAAAATATTATTACAATTTACAGTGACTTGTCGCGTGGATAATGACTGCTTTTTGGGGCATATATGCTTAGCAAATAGTTGTCAATATGGATGCAGACATGACGAGGATTGTGGTCCCGAGGAAATATGCAAGAACAACTATTGCCAAAATCCTTGTTCAAACAACAACAATCCTTGTGGTCCAAATGCTGTATGTTCTGTTATTGAGAGGAAATCTTCCTGCTCATGTTTGGATGGTCTAATACCAAATCCTACGCCCAATATTGGCTGCGTACGAACGCTTACTGTTAATTGTCGTATGCATAAAGATTGTGGTGTTGGTTGGAGATGCGAAGATGATCGTTGCCGACCTGCATGTACTATCGATGGATCAGAGTGCCTACAAGGTGAACGATGTGAATCAGGTGTGTGTCGCTATGCTTGTACTTCAGATGAACACTGTTCTGATGATGAAATTTGCGACGGTCGATTATGCGTACTAGGATGTAGGTCTAATTCCCAATGTGCTGCAAATCTTGCTTGCATATCAGGACAATGCGTAAATCCATGTGCAGAGCCGGCAACTTGTGGCGCCAATGCAATATGTGTTACCAAAGACCATCAACCAGTCTGTACATGCCCTCAAACATTGTCGGGTGACCCTAAAGCAGTTTGCAGAAGGTTAAGTTTGCCTTGCGATTCAAATAAAAACTGTCCTAATGGATTTACGTGTTACGGAGATACGTGTTATCCCTCATGCAGAAGGTAATATGGGTATAATAAGTTTACCTTAATATTTGTAATTAACTCAATTCACCTTAGTTATATTTTAATTGTTTTGATTGCAGCGACGTCGTTTGCTTATCGAATGAAAAGTGTATTCGAGGAATTTGTAGGGTAGTGTGTAATAGCGATAATGCATGCAATGATGGCCAAATATGTGAAAATAGAATATGCAAACAAGGTTGCCGCGATGATAACGCTTGCAATGACGATCGAGCCTGTTTGGATGGACAGTGCAAGGGTAAACTTTTTGCGTTTATTTATTTTCAAGTTGAATATTTTAATTTATTTCTAGTTATTAATAATCAATTATAATTTTAGATCCATGTAAGGATAGTAGAAGTTGCGGTATTTGTGCTGAATGTAAAGTAATTAATCATCATACCCAATGTAGTTGTTCAAGTAATTACACCGGTAATTCTCTAGTGGAATGTAAAAAGAAAAGACTACAATGTGACGGATTTTGCCCTTGTGATGACAGTGGTTATTGTATTTCACTTTGTGAAAATAATTCAGATTGCTCTTGTGGAGAGAAATGTTTCAACGGTGGCTGTAGATCGTTATGCTCCCCTAGGAGTAAATGCCCAGAGAGACAGATATGCTCACAAGGTGTATGTGTCCCAGGCTGTAATAATGACAAAGATTGTGGAGATGAAATGATGTGCTCATTAAAACAGTGTGTGCCAGTCTGCAGAGAAAATTCATGTGGAAAGAATGCTTTATGTACAGCAACGCGCCATCGGGCAGTATGTAGTTGTGCCAGTGGTTACTCAGGAGATCCTTTGAACGAATGTAAACAGTACGAATGTCTTAAAAACGGTGACTGTGGAGAGGATGAAGAATGTAACAAAGAAGGGAGATGCAAGAACGTTTGCTTTGGCAAATGCGGTGTTAACGCTATATGCCGCTCTGTTAACAGAATTCCACAATGTGCTTGCCCACCAAATTATGTAGGAAATCCAAAAGTAGAGTGTTCTCAACAACCAACGGGAAGCTGTTTGCGTAATCCTTGCGGAATTGATGCCCGATGCCGTGATTTAGATGACGGCAGCTTTGAGTGCACATGTCCACCTGGATGCGCTGGTAATCCACAGCGACAGTGTTTCTGTGGTACCATGGCGCCTTGTGCACATAAAACCTGTGGAATAAATGCCCAATGCCGCGTAGGATATAACGGACAACCTCATTGCTATTGTCCTCGTAATTATCCTCAAGGAGATCCAAACATTAAATGTAAGTTACTGCACTACTCAAACTCTATTAAACCAGTACTAATATTATTACAGAATAAAATAATAATACTTAATAACTTGAATTCACTATATCGTTTACAGGTAATCAAGAACGTAGTGTAGTTGATTGTAGAACAACTGGATGTGGAATAAACGGAGAATGTTTGAGAGAGGGAGCAGAATTTGTTTGTCGTTGTATTCCTGGTACAGAAGGACAAGCTGATATCGAATGTCATACCAGTAAGTTAAAAAGCTGCTATTTCATATTTTTCTTGCCACGTGTAAAAACGCACGATACATTTTATCTCTATAAACATTGGTCCGTATACTTGTGTTACACGATTTTAAATATAAAATATAATTCCATTAAAAATTAATTTTTAAACGTAATGAAATTGCTTAAAAGGATATTGGTTAAAGATTTTAAGTTATTTGTAAAATTTTTGTGGAAAAATTATTTGGTGAGGTTCCTACTAAATCCAGTTTTATGCGATTTCACTTCCTTTGTACAAAAAACTTATTTCTATGTTTGAATTTTTATGTCAATCTGTGTTGAATATTGTATAGTAAAGAATAAATTATGTTTATATTAGTGGAAGCATTCTCACCGTTCGTGCTTAAATCCAGTCAGTAACATTTTGTTCGGCTTCATGTACATATCGCTTTTATTATAATATACCGTTATTTATCTTTGATCATAAACTATCAGTTTCAAAAAGCATGCACTGTCTCGTGAGAAAGTTTCCTCTTCGTGGCTGAAGGTACAGCTCTTTCGACTCTGCTTTCTTCTTTCACATCTTCCTAGGTATCGAATGCACGAGTGACAAGGAGTGTCCAGTAGACAAAGCGTGTTTGAGCTTACATTGCGTCGACCCATGTACAATACGAGGCGTATGCGGTGAAGATGCGCTCTGCGTGTCTGTCATGCATCGAGCTCAGTGTTCATGTCCACAATGCTATGTGGGTCAGCCGCGCCTAGCTTGCCACCTCGATCCTACCTGCAAGCCTACAGTTGAACTAAATACAACCATCACCTGTTCCGACACCAAGCCATGTCCACCCAAACTGGCATGTGACTTAAACACTAACCAGTGTCGTAATCCTTGCATGGAATATCAGAATTGTAGGCCAAATCAGAGATGCGAAGTAAGAAACCATATACCTGTCTGTGTATGCCGTAATGGATTTGCATTGAATGAAAAAGGGGAATTAACGTGCGCCCCAGAACATGCAGAATGCACAAGGGACGATCAATGTCCATCAAATGCTGTTTGTCGTAATTCAAAATGCGTAAATCCTTGTTTAGCATCACGTGAGCCTATGTGTCCCCAAGGAAAGCAATGTGAAGTAGTAGAGCACCGAGTAATGTGCGTTTGCGTTGAGGATTGTCATCCAACCGTATCGATTTGCTTAAGAGACAATGGATGTCCGCAAAACTTGGCTTGCGTTGATTTTCAATGTAAGGATCCATGCAAAGATGCATGTGGTGATGCTCCATGTTCAGTTGAAGATCATCACCCCGTTTGCAAGTTTTGCCCTAGTGGATTTACTCATGATGAAAAGCATGGCTGCATTAAAGGTAATTTTGCCGCATAACAAAATGTAAATATTTTATAGAATTTCTATTAGTACTTTATCGTCTTAAATGAGTCTTAATATATTTTCTTCATATTGCAGGAGGTATAGATAATTTCTACTTCATGCGGCTCTTTCTGTCTTTCTTACGTTTCTAGCATGATTATCTTTTTCCACAGTTTGAATTTATTCTATATCAGGTAGTTTTTGTAGCATGTTATTACATATTACTATGTGTATATTATTCATTTTGAAGGTAACTTTCACATTCTGGTGGCGGATGCGCTTGGGCATTTTATACTAACGCTTTGAAACTCTGGCATAATACTAGCTGCAACAAAACTGCCACGAGACAGAGTTTGCAACTACGAGGTTTATAGCCTTTATTATTCTTGTACTTTTCAATATTTATGTGTCTGTGTGTATATTACTAATTTATTGTTTTATAATCGGTTATTGTAGTTTCAACTTTTTCTTACTTTTACGTATATTTTCTTGTGATTGTAAACCATTTCTGTAGTGTAATTTTTTGTTTTAGTTTACAGAAAGTATTTTTTATTTTATTTTGTGAACTACAACTGTCATTTCAAGACATTGTTTTTTTTAATACTTCAGTTTTTTGTATAATATATTTTTTTAAATTTACTTGAATACTTATATATTTTAGTATTAACTAAATAAATGTGTACAGCTTTAGAATGTGGTGCACACGAGCATTGTGCAACAGGACTCGCATGTGTAAATGGACGGTGCGCAGATCCTTGCGCTAATGGTGGTCCATGCATAGCTGGTCAACGCTGTTCTGTTGTCGACCACCAGCCTGTTTGTTCTAAGGGTACTTTGCCTGTATTCCTTAATCTAAATACTTTTTATAACACTTTTAATTGCTTTTAATTCAGCAGCGGCGTAAGAGAACCAACAGTAGTTTTTTTTCCTTTCTTAAGAGGTTATCTGGGTGGAGTTTAGGGCAAACGTGGGTGTCTTCAAAGCAAAAATGAAACGGCTTTTAGCAGTTATTTGGTTGCATCACCACTTACCATCAAGTACATATATATATATATATATGTATATATATATATATATATATATATACATATATATATATATATATGTACTTGATGGTAAGTGGTGATGCAACCAAATGTTATATATAATTATCTTCCAAGAACAATATACATGTTTATGTATGTATGTATATTGTTCTTGGAAGATAATTAAAATCGCTATAATTCAGCCCCTCGGTTGTCTACCTTTAACGATTGTTCGGGCACAGCGCGACAGCAATAGATAATTACAGAAATAGAAAATAAAGACAGAAATAGAACAGACCTATCCTTTGAATTTCTTACAATCCCGAAATCTTAAACCTGTTGCTAATAAACTTTTAAGCTTCCATTTAAGATAATGGTGTGTAGATAAATTTAAATAAATTAGCAAATAAGAGGAATTTTGTTTTTTCTCGACGTTCTTTTTTCAATCTGTCCTATAAAAACTTTTTAAAAACACTTAATGTCCGACTTATTTACTTCTCGTTTTTACAGTTTTCCGACAAACCAATTTTAGTGAAGTTATTCGAATATTAAAATGAATATGAAGCGAAATGAGATTAATGCGAGTCGGTATTCTCGACTTTCCTCACTGTTCTGGGGAAGGAAGGGGGTCGGTTTATCGAATCGGTATAAGATAATCCGGATATCACCAGGACTGTGTATTTTAAGACTGACATATTATGTTGACGACGAACATGATTGACTTCGTCTCTTGACGTGACTGACTTCGTGTGTCACGATGCCCGTCAAGAGGAGGAAGCCATCTTTTTAGTATTTTTCTCTAAAACCTAAGACATCCAAGCGATAATAAGGGATGTTGGATTCTCTTACGCCACCACAGAACTGCCGTTAAAAGTTACAAGTATAAAACAAGATGTTTTTGAATAATATTGTTAAGGTGTGTTTACATTATCCTTTAATGTTGACTCAACCATAATAGTTAAACTAAAATATTGTAGATTCACATTTTGCATTATCTAGTCCTTAAAAAGAACTGGTAACTGATATATTTCTTGGTATCATAATTATTAAATAGAAATAAAAATTGTTTCGTATACTAATAAAGTTAAATTTACTTTTTGTTTAGCGTGTACGACCTACTTAATACCAAACACGACACATAATAAAATATAACTTTATTCTAGTTAAATTTTATGTGCCGTTCTTGCGTATACGAAACAATTTTTTTTTCTAATTAATAATTATGCTACTTTCTACCTAAATAAAACCTAATGATTTCTTAATTGTATTTTTTTCTAGTATGCCAGTGTCAAACCGCCGCTGACTGCTCTCGATACCCAAATACGCGTTGTGACGGATGCGCATGTGTGGCAGGTGGGTGTAGTAGTTTTGAAACAAGTATTAAGATAAAATTTTTTATAAATCTAAATGTTACTTTAATCTTTAATTAATCTTAATTCATTACGGCAATCAATTAATTATGACGATGTGAATAATGTTCTATCGAAATTAGTATATTGTTTTAACGTCAACAAACTTCCTTTAAACGACAACAAAACAAGGTGTATAAAATTTACAATATGGAATTTTGCTATGGCGTACGCGACTGACATTGAAAATGTATTTGTGTTGCTTAAGAGGATCCTACGGGCAATTTATAACCTAAATTGTAAAGAGTCCCTCAGTGAAAAGTTTATAGAAAGTACCTTGATGACCGGTATTTTTTTTGGAAATCCTGTTTTTGTAAATTATATTTAGATACAAATTACAAACTGATGAAATATGAATAAAATTTTTCGATCTTATCGATCATTATTTTTCGTGTTTTAAAAAAATATACTAAAAAAGGGCTCCAAATAATATATTTTGTCACAAAAGAAGGAAAAAAAGGAAAAATTATTAAATTAAAGGAAAAATTATTAAAAATTAAATGAAAAGAGTCAAACCGGAGACATTGGGACTCGAACCGGCGTTTTATGATTTCACCACCGCCCGATATTCTATTTGAGCTGTTGCAACCTATTAGGCACTGGCAAAATTTACTTTCGTATGCTAATGATATTGTTCCAGTTTTTCATTGCCTAAAAACATGGATAAAACGATATTCTCTAAAAATGAGTCCTAGCTAAGTCGATTTATTGCCTCCAAAACCCCTGCATACTAAATTTCATGAAAATCCTTGGAGCCGTTTCCGAGATTCCGATTATATATATACAAGAATTGCCCGTTGAAAGGTATTGGATAAATATACACACTTTTACATCGCAAATTAATGATTTCTTATATTTACCTATGTGAATACTACACATGAAATAAAATGATTAATACGGGTTTACAGGAGCAATTCGTCTGATGCTAGTTCGACCCTTATACCTAGCTGCCAGGCGTTGTTCTGCCCTTTTCGACGACAATTTGTGAAAGTTGTGTTTCGAAGAAAACATGTCCTATTAAAAATCCTTAAATTCGCAAAAAAAATTGTGGGCGAAAAAAGTATCCTATCTCTCAAGTTGGAACAAACTGCACACGGTTTGGTAAACTATTTATTAATCTGTGACACGGTGTGCAAATTTGATTAAAATCGGTTTAGCAATTTAGGAGTCCATCGCGGACAAACAACGTGATACGTAATTTATATATATTAAGATTATAAATTTTTGGTCCGATCTACGCACAACGAGCTTACAGTACCTATCGTGAAGTACATAAAACATAAACACTGAAGTCTGTTACCCAGAGGGGTAGGCAGAGACTACAGACTTCCATTTGGCACGATCCTGACACACCTCTCTCGCCTCCTTCACATCCATATACCTATATATACATACATATACATATACATGCTCGTCGGTTAAGGGTACTCCTAATTTTGAAGTCTTGTGCAGTAGACCTAAGCATACGGGTTTGGATTTAATTTTATTAATAATTATGGGATCCCAAACAGATGGTAGCACCCAGCCATCTTCTATACTGAAAAACGTCGGGAATAAAAAAAAAGTTAAAATTAAACACGATAAAATCCGTAAAATTAGTTTTATTCTATTGCAGTTCATTTACGAAAATGTAAATGTACATAAAAACATAAATTGGTTTAATGAGAATAAAGATATACATACTTTAAATACTAGAAATAAACAAAAGCTTGTAATGCCACTCATTAGACTAAAAATTTATTGAAAATATAAAAGTGTAATTATAATATTAAGGAATACATGAATAAAAAAAAAACTGGGAATATCGTGATCACTACCTTGCTGCTTTAAGCATGAGCATTAGCGATATAAATAATTTTTTTTGTAATATGGGGTGACAAACGAGCACTCAGTCCACTTGATGGCAAATGGTTGCTGCGGCTCATATACATCTACATGTATCCTCAATTACAAAACGAAATGCGGAGCGTTGTCACCCGGGAGGACTAAGATGGAATGCCTCGTTTCCAGTAAAAAGGGTCTCCGGTTCTCTATACACACGAAATACAGCAGCATTAAGCTACTATTTCACGCTGGTATTCTTATTCTTCACTCGTATTCTGTGAGAGCGTGGTCCTTCCCCGGTGGAGCCGACCCATTCGTGCTACAACTATACTACTAATATAACTGCAGCATGCCTCTACCACGTTATTATACAAAATTATTGTTTAACTTTATGTCTAAAAAATAGTCTCACTGGTTTCCCTGCTGATTCTACCCAGAATAGAGCCAGCTAGATCCAATGGTAAATAAATAAATAAATGACTTTCAACGAGTTTATTTTATTAGTAATAATATATAATGAATAAAAGTTATTATGTTATATTATATAGCTATACAGTTTTTATTCATTTATTAATCAGAGCCTATCAAACGTCCACTAAGGCACAAAGGCCTCCCCCATAGGTAGCATCATATATGGGAATTTTGACATAGTTGCCATACTGGCAGAAAGGTTTTCAACCGCTGTTTTTATTATTATTTTGAGTTAATATCAGCAAATTGCTGCTGCCTATCCTGATGTTGCAGTTTCCCTCTGTCGACTCTTACAATATTCACGGGATTTTAAGAGGAAGTAAATTCTCTTACACCGCTGTTACGCGGTAACAATAAATGCAATACAGCCCACTGCTAGGCACCGGCCTCTTCTCATTTTTGAGAGGGTTAATCATATAGATACTAAGCCTATTTAAACACAACTATAAAGATTTTTTAATTTTTGTATTTCTGAAGTGAATTTTATTTTATTGAAAATTAGATGCGCCTGGGACACATTGCGCTCACTGTCGACCCGGAGTACCCTGTGACCCGTTTTCGGGAGCTTGTATGGAAAGTAAGTATTATAGTATTTTACGTTAAGGCCTGACTCTTTTGACATGCCATAGTTGTGCTAATGTCTTGTGTGATTTAGCTAATTATAAATGTATTCTGGCAAGACTTTTACTTTAATGTATTTGCTAAATTCACATAAGTATTTCAAATTACGGCGGACTACTATTATAAAACTGGTATGTCTGCATTTACTATATATATTCTGTGAATAGCAAGACTAACTCCAGATGAACTGGTTATTGCTATACATTTTAACATACCAATTTGTCCGATAAAACGCCACAAAATACTGGCTACACTATCACGGCAGACCCGGCAGACAACATAGTCATTTTGTAGATGGAATATTGTTACAATATTTGACACACATTTATAGTATCAGCTGTAGCAATATATCTCTTGTTTTAGCTATTTTAATTAGTTTTTAGACTTGAAGACCGTACTCTACCTTAAATATACTAACATTCATCACCCTATTATACTTATTTCTCCTCACTTATCTAACATATTAAAAATGTAATCAATGTTTCTGTTAAGTTTAAATACCGATTTCTTCTAATTTTTTTCTTTCTTTATTTGGATTGGGATGCAAGTAAAGATATCTTTATTTTCTTCATTTGGTTTATTGATGCGGATTTTTCCTCATAATATGTATGTTTCACATGAAGGCTTTTTAATTAATCATCTTTTTATCAGTTTTTTTTGTTATTTTGTATAACTTTTATTAACATGTTTATTATTACGTTCCTATTAACAGATGATCGCCCTAAAAATGTCCCACTAACATACTCCGACATTACTACTATTGATTCCGAGTTGGCAGTATCGACAGTTAAGCCCATTCAAAACACTGTAGTAACTGACTTTGACTACAATGCGTTTACTAATACAGAAATGACAACTACTGAAAATCATAAAATAACAGACTTTAAATTTACACAGAATGACCCCAGTGAAATAAAAAATACACTAAATAATGCGCAAGATCACAAAGAAAATAAAACGGAATCCTTTTATAATTCCTCAAGTACACTATTAGACTCTAACGATAAAGATAAAAATATTGATACAGCGTCTCTTAGTACAACACCTATGACTTATCATTTTACGGATACACGTTATGAAACAAGAACAGCAAGTGAAAATTTAAACCCTGAAATGTTTGACAACAAAATGGAACAAGGCTATTTAATTACAACTTCAGAAGACAAAAGTTATACACTGCAAGGTATAACAAGATCAGATGCAACTATAGATGATCTTACTTTAACTACGTCAAGAAGTGAAGCAGTTACAAGAAGTACATATAATTTAGTAGTAGAAGATACAACAACAGCAATTCCTTTATATACAGAATTTAATAATCAATTTAGGTCAACATTAGATTCTGATGAACTCGTACAAAGTAGCAGTACAATTAACTCCGAAAGTACTGTTAAGCCGTTTGCTTCTCGTACCGAAACAAATGGTACAATAAAATATTCAAATGATAACAAACTGTATAAAATGCCAGAGAATCAAAGAAAACTAAACAATAATTATACGCATATAACTTCTGTTCCGGAATTTATTAGGAAAAATGATATAATAGAACAAGTATCAACTACCACTACAACACCAAATAAAATTAAAACTAATATTGGTAATGATTTATTCGTAAGTACTGAAAATTCAAAATTAGATAATGATATCACAACTAGCGCACTATTTTTAAATGTAACTGAAACTAATATTGAACTTGACACCAATTCTCAAGTGACAATTTACAAAGACTTTACGGATTTTAAGTCAATAAAACCTATAGAAAATGAACATTTGGTTACAAAGCCAACTTATGAAAGTACATCGACGTTAATTTTAAATGAAGGAGAAACGAATGATTTATTAAAAGCTACGATAACCGGCTCTGATAATATTTTTACTGAATCGACACTGGTAAACAATCAAATAAAAAATACATTTACTGAAGCCATTTTGAAACCATCAACTGAAAAGTCATCTCAGACTATAACTACAGAAAATACTGTAAGACTCATTACAACCTCAAAAAGTTTATACATAAAATATGAAGATAGCACAGATTTTCCAGAAAATTTAGAAACATCGACTAGGTCTAGAAATGATATGGAGAGTAACAGTCTAAGAAGTAATATATTTACTACTAATCTTCAAACTCACGGTCAACCAGTTAAAAATTATGATATTACAACATTAGAACCCACACCTTTTGAGCCAAATATCATTACAGAAAAGGGTTTAAAAGAAGATATTATTGAAATAAATAGCATGAAATCGTTTTATAAACATACTGAGAGACCAACTCTAACAACAAATTACTATGGCGAATACAAAGAACCTGACGCAATAACTCAAAAAACAAATAAAAACTATATTACTTTGTCACCAGTTCAAAATAATAAGATAACAAGTCCTGTGGAACCTGGAAATGACCTGAGTATTAATGATTTAAATAAGAATGATGAAGAAAAACTTGCGAGATCTACAGAAAGAATGACAACTTTATTCCAAACTTATTCAGTATACGATAAAAATACCGAATTCAATACTAATACCGAAAATAACATTTCTACGGAAACTACGCTAACAGTTACTCATATTTCTGACAAACCAATAACAGAAGTAAGTTACGGATACAGTGGAAATGTAAAAAATGATTACACCTTTGAAACTCAAACGGAGAACTTCGATGTTGCTTCTACAACCATACGACAACATAAAATCAAAGACAGTACTACGGAATCCACTGTAAAATTAACAAATATCGATCTTACTGAAGCCACTCCCTCGCCTTATACTCAATTACCATTCACTAACGATGTATCTTCTACTCTCAATTCTTTTCCAAGTTCAGCGGAAGAACCAATAACTACCGAATTTATTATTGCTAAAACAAACCCTAATTTTATAACCAAAAATTTGAATAACGAAAAAGATAAAACAACTATATCTGAAAGTACAACGATTAACATTGAACAAACATCTTTCTCGGAGACTACTAGATCAGGTAATATACCAACTTATACGCCTAATCAAGAAGAAACAACATTGACTTCAACCGAAACACTATTAGATGCAGATTTTATGAATCTAAGTTCAACACCTTTTGGAAAAGAACAAAATTCAAATGAAAATAGGATTAAAATGTCCACTCAAGCCGCATCGACTATTTACGGAACCTCAATTACGTCGTTCCCTGATAACAAGGATAATGTCGTAGATTCAATAAATAATGAACATACAATGTTGTATTCCACTGCTAATCATGACATTATAACAAATACAGAACCTAATTCTAACATCGTAACAAACTCGGTTTCTTTTGGTTCAAGCCTACCTCAAGATCTCATAACAGATTTAACAACTAGTAATATAATGTATATAGAAAACACAACCTCTGAAGACACAATTACACAAAACAAAAAATTATATCTGAATGATTCGAATACACTAACGGATACTACGTTAACAGTGACTCATATTTCTGACGAACCAATAACAGAAGTAAGTTACGGATATAGTGAAAAAGCAAAAAATAATTACAACTTTGAAACTCAAACAGAGAACTCCGATGTTCTTTTTACTACCATAGAGCAACATAAAACCAAAGACAGTACTATGAAATATGCTGTAAAATTAACGACAAATGATCTTACTAAAGCCACTCCCTCACCTTATACTCAATTATCATTCACTGATGATATATCTTCTACGCTCTATTCTTTTCCAAGTTCAACGGAAGAACCAATAACTACCGAATTTATTATTGCTAAAACAAACCCTAATTTTATAACCAAAAACCTGAATAACGAAAAAGATAAAACAACTATATCTGAAAGTACAACAATTAACATTGAACAAACATCTTTCTCGGAGACTACTAGATCAGGTAATATACCAACTTATACGCCTAATCAAGAAGAAACAACTTTGACTTCAACCGAAACACCATTAGATGCAGATTTTATGAATCTAAGTTCAAAACCTTTTGGAAAAGAACAAAATTCAAATGAAAATAGGATTAAAATGTCCACTCAAGCCGCATCGACTATTTATGGAACCTCAATGACGTCGTTCCCTGATAACAACGATAATGTCCTAGATTCAAAAAATAATGAACATACAACGTTGTATTCCACTGCTAATCATGACATTATAACAAATACAGAATCTACTTCTAACATCGTAACAAACTCGGTTTCTTTTGGTTCAAGCCTACCTCAAGATCTCATAACAGATTTAACAACCAGTAATATAATGTATATAGAAAACACAACCTCTGAAGACACAATTACACAAAACAAAAAATTATATCTGAATGTTTCGAATACACCTACGGAGACTACGGTAACAGTGACTCATATTTCTGATGAACCAATAACAAAAGTAAGTTACGGATATAGTGAAAAAGCAAAAAATAATTACAACTTTGAAACTCAAACAGAGAACTCCGATGTTCTTTTTACTACCATAGAGCAACATAAAACCAAAGACAATACTATGAAATCTGTTGTAAAATTAACGACAAATGATCTTACTAAAGCCACTCCCTCGCCTTATAACCAATTATCATTCACTGATGATATATCTTCTACTCTATATTCTTTTCCAAGTTCAACGGAAGAACCAATAACTACCAAATTTATTATTGCTAAAACAAACCCTAATTTTATAACCAAAAACTTGAATAACGAAAAAGATAAAACAACTATATCTGAAAGTACAACGATTAACATTGAACAAACATCTTTCTCGGGGACTACTAGATCAGGTAATATACCAACTTATACGCCTAATCAAGAAGAAACAACTTTGACTTCAACCGAAACACCAATAGATGCAGATTTTATGAATCTAAGTTCAACACCTTTTGGAAAAGAACAAAATTCAAATGAAAATAGGATTAAAATGACCACTCAAGTCGCATCGACTATTTATGGAACCTCAATGACGTCGTTCCCTGATAACAAGGATAATGTCGTAGATTCAATAAATAATGAACATACAATGTTGTATTCCACTGCTAATCATGACATTATAACAAATACAGAATCTACTTCTAACATCGTAACAAACTCGGTTTCTTTTGGTTCAAGCCTACCTCAAGATCTCATAACAGATTTAACAACTAGTAATATAATGCATATAGAAAACACAACCACTGAAGACACAATTACACAAAACAAAAAATTATATCTGAATGTTTCGAATACACCTACGGATACTACGGTAATAGTGACTCATATTTCTGACGAACCAATAACAGAAGTAAGTTACGGATATAGTGAAAAAGCAAAAAATAATTACAACTTTGAAACTCAAACAGAGAACTCCGATGTTCTTTCTACTACCAAACAACAACATAAAGTCAAAGATAGTACTATGGAATCTGCTGTAAAATTAACGACAAATGATCTTATTGAAGCCACTCTCTCGCCTTATACTCAATTATCTGATGATATAACTTCTATTCGCCATTCTTTTCCAAGTTCAGCAGAAGAACCAGTAACTACCGAATTAATGATTGCTAAAACAAACCCTAAATTTATAAACAAAAGTTTGGATAATGAAATAGGGAAAACAACTATATCTGAAAGTACAACGATTAACATTGAACAAACATTTTACTTGGAGACTACTAGGTCAGGTAATTTAGACAAGAAAACAAAAGATTCATATTATTTGCCAACTCATACGCCTAATCAACTAGAAACAACTTTGACTTCAACGGAAATGCCATTGGCTGCAGATTTCACGACTCTAAGTTCAATATCTTTTGAAAAAGAACAATATTCAAAGGAAAACATGATTAAACTTTCAACTCAAGCCCCATCGACTATTTATGGAACTTCAGTGACATCGTTCCCTGATAATATAGATAATGTTGTGGATCCAAAAAATTATGATAAACAAACAATTTTGCACGCTGATAATCACGACATTATAACAAATACAGAAACTACTTTTAACATCGTAACAAACTCGGCTTCTTTAAGTTCAAGCCTACCTCAAGATCTAATAACAGATTTGACAACTAGTAATATAATGGATATAGAAAACACAACCACTGAATCCATTAAACAAAATAAAAAAAATTATCAGAATGTTTCTAATAATTCCGTTAATGATACAAATACCAACTTAATAAATCATGAGTACACCCCAGAAATAGAAAATAATGAAAAATCTAAATCAACAACATCTTTTATGGATCAAACCATAGTACCGATGGCGCATGATACAACCCCTACTTTACCAACTTTCGAGTTTACTGACGATTCACAAAATGTTACTATGAACTCTGATACGTATCTCCAGTTGGAAGAAAATCCTGTAAATAAATCAACTATTGCAACTTCTACTTACAATATTTCTTTAGACAAATCAACTACTACAACCACTACATATAACACTGAACCAATTGAAACGTCTATTAATGACTTAGTAATCGAATCACATATAGAAAGTCGTGATAATCATCAAAACAAAAAATATGATTCGAGTACTGATTCAAAAATAAACGCTCAGCCCTCTACGGAATCTCATTACAAAAATAAAAGTTCTATTACGGAAGAATTTTCAGACTCAAGTCCTACATCTACTCTGGAATTTACACCATCAATAAAAGATTACGATAAAATTTCAGATTTCTATGATACCACCACCTCGAAAACCATTAATGAATCAAATTACAATCAAACAACTGAAAATATAAATCTTATTTATGAATCAACTTACAAATCAGATGATAATATGTCTGCCAAGACTCAAGAAAATGATATTTTTGAAACTACAAATATAGGAAGTTTACTAACCACAAATGAAAATTCAATAAACGATAATTATTCTTTAGAGTCAACGAGTATGAATTCCGAACTAAAAACATCTTTCATAAGTAGTACTCCTTTAACAGTAAAAAAATTACAATTTGAGACTACAGAGACAGTTTTCGGTAATAATTATGAGCAAACTCCGGAAGAAATAACAAGGGAATCTAAAGTAACGATGTTATCAAGGTCAGAATTATTAACACCAAAAGACTTATTAGAAACTACAAAAGCTACCATGGTATTGTCTAGTGAAATTGATTCTACAACCTCTGTAACTACAAGAGTGGCTTTAAAAAGTGACAAAGAATCTAATTTGTCTGTAACTAATTATGGTGCGTTGACTACCGAAACGAAAAACGACTTCACAACCGAGCATTCAGAATTATTTTCTACACCCACAACATTGATTCGAAATGATGTAACAGATATTAAGGATAAAATCACGGAAGAAACTACACTGAAAACAGTGTATCAATTTACCGGAGATAGTTTTAGAGAAATTTTACCAACTACTAAAGTTTCTATTATAACAACCGAATTACCCATACATACTACGATAGAAGAATCAACAAAAATATTGGATGATTTATCGACGAAACAGATCGGTTATGAGGGCAATTTGATAACAAAATCAACAGATATACCTCAATCAACCTCAACTTTTAAGCCATACGAAACTAAAGCAAATTCACCTTATATAGATTTAAATATACCAACTGTCTCCAGTATAAAAAAGTTAGAAGAAATAGATAAAAAAGAGTCCACATTAAAAACAAAGTATGATTTATTTAACATAAAGACATTGGATGGTCATAGTAGTCCTATCAATACTGAGGTTTCAACTCTTGAAAGTCTGAGCGTTACAAATGAGACCAATATATTTGCTAATGATACAGGTTCCACTGAATCCATGACGAAAGTTATCCAAAATACTACACCTACAATATTTTTAAATACAGAGACAGACACAGACAAGAAAGACAATGTCAAGATTTTAAAATATACGACGATAGATTTTGAATCTACCATTGGAAACATTGTGACATTAGTACCAGAGGAAGTTCATGACACAGAAACAACTGAAAGTACTACAACACTTTATAAGACAACAGGCTTAGACTCTAATTATGATTCGAGAAATAAGTTGGAACAAGTAACCGAAGCAGTAACAGCATACAAGAAAGATTTTACAACTACAGTAAACCCAGATGAAACATCTGCTTTTTATAAGGAACATTTAAATACAAATAATAATATTGCACAGCAAACTGTAACTCAAGCAATAGCACAAGTTACAAAAACTGAGATGTATGAATCGAATTTTACTTTAACAGCAGAACTGCCACATACAACGACAGAAACTCTAACAACACGATTATTAGAAAATAAAAATCCTTCCACAATTTCCCTTGACTTAAGTACATCTATTGAAAACTTATCATCACGAAGAAAAGACATAGACATACCTGCGTGGACTGACTCGACTATGTATACTGAACAAACTTCAACAGATACTACCAGTTTTACTGATACGACTGACTTCAAAATTAACATACAATGTAAAACAAATACTCACTGTTCGACACATGAAATCTGCTTGAATGGAGTATGTCAAAGCCCATGTGAGGTGATGCCGAGACCGTGTACAAAGAACTCTTCCTGTAAAGTAATCAACCACGCTGCTGTTTGTATATGCGATGAAGCTGCTGGGGACTTCTGTATCAGAGGTATGCGTAAAATGAATTATTTTGCATACCGTGTAGTACCATACACACACTCTTTGATATTAAAAAGTTCTTTATATTTATCATCTATGTACAACTTTAAGCTGTAAATAAAATTTAAGTATTGTGGTATTTTTATCGGACAAATGTGTTTTAAACTGTATAGTAAACCCATAAATAAACATATTAATACATTTTTGTAAATAGAAACATGCTTAATCTTTTATTCATAATTCATAATATATTAATATACTAATTCCTAATGCACGTAAAATAATAGCACCACCGGGGACACCAAAGGCACCAGAGCCATGTCATTCTGATCGGGATTGTATAGAAACAGAAGCCTGTTTTATGGGATGGTGCCAAAATCCTTGTGAATTTGACAAATGCGGTGTCGGTGCTAACTGTCAACCAATAAAACAGAGGCCAATGTGTTCTTGCCCGTTGGGATACGACGGAGATCCAGCTGTCAAATGTTCACCTAAAATATGTAAGCCAAATTAAAACTAATTCTTATAATATTATAACATAATACAATTAATTTTAAATAATGTCTATCAATAATTGCAAATCTAGTTACAAATAATGCTAAACATTATTTACTACATTTACATTTATTTACTTACGCTTTTATACCATAGAATACTATAATACATACACATTAAAGTAATGTAATATATGAAAACATCCTAAAGGAAGTCGGGGGGAGGGGGGTTAAGTCTTAAACGACTTTTTAAAATACAAGAATGTCGTGTGTCGGCGTTAGAAAATCCATCACCCTAATTCGTCCCATTTCGTGTAATTAAGAGACAATTAAGGCAAATTCTCCCTACAATATAAAAAAAAACTAAGAAAAAGAAAAAAGAGATACATAGCAGGGGCTAATAAATAAATTATATAGATGCCGAAAAAGCCATGCCGTTTTTCATCAAATATCTTTTTGTTTTAAATGTTCACACATTTTGACACATTATTCCGAACCCTTCAATTATAAAATAAGTTAATATGTATATGCATATTTAATATTCATTGTTTGTATCGCCACGAGAATATATATTACAAGTAATAGGCTATTTACAAAACAGAGCACGATAAATAAAATTTTCGGAAGTATACAAATATTATCAATTTCTTTAAAAAAAGCAAGTGACTTCAAACTTTGAGAGGGTAATAAATATGTTTTTTTTTCTCGGACACGATTACAATCTCGAGTTACGGAATAAAGCTATATTCAAAATTTTAAGACTAGGTCTTTTGTTTTGTAAGTACATAATTCCTGGCGTAAGTAATATTAAACATTTGTTGATATTAAATGACTGTCCAAAAGTACCCACAGGACTTTATTTCCAAGTTATTTCATATCTTGAAAGAGATAAAGCTCGTTGAAAAACTTTGTGCCAACGTTTAATGTTAATGACAATCTATTTATATGTAGATAATGTTCCCTGTCCATATTAGCAAATTTAGCACTGATGACACCCATTTCGTGTGCGTTCATTTGTCTGTCATGACAATTATGTCATTACAATAATATAATAAGTAAAGTAAAGTTACAGCCTATATAGCATAGGCCTCTGCTCATTTCTGAGAGGGTTTTAGGGCAAGGAATAGTCCGCCGCGCTGCCCCAATGCGTGTTGGCGAACTTAACATGTCTTCGAAATATTTTTTTCTTATTTCTCTGACATGCATGTTTCCTCACGATGTTTTCCTTCACCGCCGAGCACGTGGTAAATCAGATGGTTAGCGCTCGCTGTAAATTTCACAGCACGCGAGCAAACCGGGTTCGATTTCCGCTGGCACCAATGAAATTGTTAATAATATAATGTTTAAGAATTTTTTTAGAGCATCGTGTTTTGTTTGAAATAAATACGCAGTAGTATAATAAGTCTATGTTAATAAATGAAATACTATGAATTGAATAGAAAATCAAAATTCTTTAAGCCACGCATATTATGATGGAATGCCCCATAGTATGTAATTACAAATTGAGACAATTGCATCAAATAATCTTCTCCTTAGCGGCAGAAATAGATAAGAATGGATATCTCAACCCAGGCAGATTGATAGTTAGAAAAGTACTCATCTTTATAACAGTTGTAACTAAAAAAATACGAGACCGAAGCCTCGGTAATGATTTGTAATAATAATAATAATGATAAATGCGTAAATTAATATTATTTTACGTACTCATGAAATACGAGTAATATTAATTAATTTAGTTGTTTTCTAATATTAAATTGCAATATTACTATCAAAAATATTTTTAATATTTTTATTTGAACTTAAAAATAAGGACTTACAAATAACATGGGTTCATCTATCGACTCTTGGAGATTCATATTAAACATTATAATACAGTGATATTACTAAACCTATCAGCGAAAATATTTTCTGTTGACTAAGGAACGAGGTCTAGGCGAGCTAAGAAATGTTTAATGTATATTGTATCCGTAGATTCGTATTATATTTTGTGCAAAATATTCATGAAAACCTAGTCTGTAAAATCCTTAACTTCTTCTATTTGTAGTAACTGGCCATTTTTAACGTCCTGGTCTTAAGCTTTTAGTAAGCATTTGAATAAAAACATAAATTGTTGGTTTCCGGGTGCGGTTGTATTGTGATTATACCCGTGTCTCTGATATTGCATCTCAACCTATGTTATCGTACCTTTGTGTTTGTACATACACTTGGGGCACTTACCATAAACGAAATTTGACCTGAAAAAATCATAAAATGAAAATCGGAATATATTCCGGGTCTTAAAATTGTTATTTGTGTGTAGTTCGCTGCACAAATGCTTAACCAGCTAATTAATTAGAAGTCTAGTTCGTAAGTTAAACATCGGAATACAATTGATGATCTTTCACCATAAAATTTAACAAGATCTAGCTATCTAGATAAACGAAATTGTGAAATAAAATCATAATTAATATTTAATATTCGTTTTTTATCCATTTATTTCATTTGTAAATAAATATACATTTCCTGATTAACCACCTTTTACATATTACTTTAAGATATTCTTTATTTATTTGACACAGTTGGTTGCGTTCGAAATGAAGACTGTTCTTTGACTGAGGCTTGTATAAATAACGCATGTCAACACCCATGTGCTATTCATAATCCATGTGCACCTAATGCTGTATGCATAAACACAAACCATGGCTCAGACTGTAGCTGTGCAGAAGGATTTCAAGGAAATGGATACGTTGGGTGTGTTTCAGGTAAGATATTGAAAACATAATACTGGTTTTAAATACCTTAAGTCAATGTTTAATTATATAATTTGTTCATTAGTTCGGAATCCCACACAATCAATATGCCAGTACAATGAAGACTGCCCTCCAGACTTACTTTGTGACCGAATGAACAGAGTTTGTATTAACCCGTGTGCTGTCAACAAATGTGGTGACAATGCCGAATGTATCCCAGAAAACCATAGTGTTCAATGTAAATGTGCTGCTGGCTTTACAGGAAACGCCTACTTAGAATGTTATAGAGGTAAGTTAAATTTAAAAGTAAACTGAAGTTTTATCCCACTAAAATTGCAATAACATATTAAATACTTAATTTTAACAGTACAAGGATGTCGTTCCGACAATGAATGCCTAAACTCGGAAGCGTGTATCAATGGAAACTGTGGTTCGCCATGTAAATGTGGCATAAATGCTGTATGTGACGTTTTAAATCACCGTGCCTCCTGCAAATGTTTACCTGGGTATACTGGTAACCCTGTTATAGGCTGCGAACCACCAATCAATCCTTGTATACCTAATCCTTGCGGACTAAACGCATTATGTGAAAGTGACAATGGCAATCCTATATGTTTCTGTCCTAAAGGCTTAACGGGTAACCCATTCAAAAATTGCAGTAAGTATAATCTCTATTATTTTGGTAATATCAAAATTACCATATAGGTACTATAATGATAAAAACATTTTTTTCTTTTTAGTTCCGGAAGGAAATGAATGTGAACCAAATCCCTGCGGACCGAACACTGGATGTCGAATAATAGACAATAAACCGGCATGTTTCTGTTTACCAAATTACGAGGGTAATCCACCAAGACAACCTTGCAAGCTTCCACAAAATCCTTGTAATCCGTCACCATGTGGACCTAATACACAATGTACAGTTTTGCCAAACGGATTCTCTAAATGTACTTGTTTGCAAGGTTATGTCGAAAGCCCAAATACAGTCAGAGGTTGTATAGAAGCACGTAATCCATGTGAACCAAACACCTGCGGCGATGGCGCACGTTGTGACCCTAATAGAATTCCTGCTTGTTACTGCCCTGAAAATACAGTTGGAAATCCTTATAAGTCATGTAATCCTTATATTCAGTCAAATGTTCTTTGTCAGCCGGGTCCCTGTGGACAAAACGCAGATTGTTACGTGAGCAATAATAGAGAAATGTGTTTCTGCAAAACTGGTTTTAGTGGAGACCCATACATTGGTTGTGAACATGAAAGAAGTCAGTGTATACCCAATCCTTGTGGACCTCGAGGAATTTGCAACGTTAATTATGATGGTCAAGTTATATGTACTTGTGCTGCAGGCAGCACAGGAGATCCATATGGATTAAGCGGCTGCATTTCACTTGAATGTGAGGTTGACGATGAATGCGAGGCAAATAAAGCTTGCATCGGCTTTTCATGTCGTGATCCGTGTCCTGGAGTATGCGGCCTGAATGCTAAATGCCATGTAGAATCACACCGACCTGTTTGTATTTGTGAAAAAGGATTAATTGGTAATCCATTCGTATGCTGTTTGCCACCTGAAGATCAGAAATCCTTCCGGCCTTGTGACCAAATTCAATGCGGCTTAAACGCTATCTGTCAAAATTTTGGAGATAAAGCTTTATGTTCTTGTCCAACCGGCTTAGTTGGCGATCCGACTATTGAATGCAAACCAGAATGCTTAATGAATTCGGATTGTTCATCCAATGAAGCATGCATTAATGAAAAATGTGTCGATCCATGTTCATTCAAAAATATTTGCGGAATGAATGCAACTTGTGTTTGTACAGATCACACAGTATCTTGTGTGTGCCCAGACGGATACTTTGGGGATCCAAAAATTCAATGCGTTTACCGACGTGAGTATTGAATTATTAAATAACGCGTTTACCTAGATATATGCGTATTTTATAATATAAAACTGAAATGAAATACAAAATGGACTGATGGTGGACTGTATCCACCTAATGGTAAATGACAACTGCAGTTAATGGCAATTCGCAGCTAACTTCACACTTTCTTTGTTTGAATTTGGTTAGAAATGCATTGTCAACTATGTGAACTAAGATGGAATGTCTCACAACCTGATATTATACATCCTCTTTACCCTTAGAATGAAAGCAGCAGTGCAGGCCCTTCTTTATAGGACGGAGTGACAAATGAGCACACAGTATACCTGATGGTAAGTGGTTGCTGTGACCTGTAGACATCTACATCTATCTCGATTACGAATCAAAATGCCGATACGTTGTCACCCGTGAGGACTAAGATGGATCACTGCTTTTTGTGAGCAAAATAGGTGCCACTTGCTCACCTATTTTGATTTGCTACCCAGACGGGCTCCAAGGCAGAAAAGTAATCTTACCCCCCAGTACGTATTCTTTGTTAAAACCATATATTTTCACAATAAAATTTAAGCTATGTTGTTACATTTCAGCAATTGTAATTACACCTGATAATACAACAATACAACCATGCTCACCAAATCCGTGCAACTCTAATGATCAGTGTGATCCTTATGGTGACCAGATTGCAATCTGTGTACCTTGTGTCGGATCTCAGGATATAAATAATCCAGCGTGTAGACCGGAGTGCGTTCTTAGTTCAGACTGTGAATTTAATAAGGCTTGTTTGAGAAATAAATGCGTTGACCCTTGTCCTGGATCTTGCGGTGTCAATGCAGATTGCTTAGTATACCACCACGATCCAATTTGCCGATGTAGAGAAGGGTTTGAAGGAAATCCCTACGAACATTGCAAGCCTACCACTAGTCGTATGTATATTTTTTACACAAATAATTAATGTTCAATGAACTACTTATAAATGTTAACTAAATTATAATTATTTTACAGCCACAATATATGAAACATGTGATAATATACGATGTGGCGATAACGCCATATGTCAAGATTCGCACGGCTTGCTTACTTGTCAATGTTTGCCAGACTTTTTCGGAAATCCATATCTTTCATGCCGACCAGAGTGTGCTATTAATAGTGACTGTCCGACAAATGCAGCATGTTTCAACAACAAATGTAAATCCCCTTGCAATGATGTTTGTGGTATTGGAGCGTTATGTGAAACTATAAACCACCATGCTGTATGTTATTGTCAGCCTGGTCAAACTGGAGATCCATATGTAAGATGCCAAAATATAATGCCTACTCCACCAGCATTATCTGTCTGTGATCCTTCACCCTGTGGAGCATATAGCCGTTGCCTAGTTTCACCATCTGGATTTGCAGTATGCTCATGTTTGCCTGGACATGGTGGAATGCCTCCTATGTGTCAACCTGAATGTGTAGGTAATTCAGATTGCCCCCAAGAACTGACTTGCGTTAATCAGAAATGTATAAATCCATGTCAAGGTAGCTGTGGAATAGGTGCTACGTGTTTTGTAGTAAACCATAATCCGTTATGTAGTTGTGATCCAGGAAAAACTGGCGACCCATTCGTTGCATGTGGCGAGACTGTAGAAAGTAAAACTCCTACAAAAACACCTACAGGGGATAACCCATGTTTGCCTTCACCGTGTGGACCAAATTCTGTCTGTGAAGTAAGATCTAATCATCCAGTCTGTTCATGCCGTCCAAACTATTCTGGTACCCCGCCATACTGTAGACCAGAATGTATAATAAGTCAAGAATGCCCTTCAAACCAAGCTTGTATCAATGAAAAATGTGTTGATCCATGTATTAACGCATGTGGAAGTAATGCTAAATGCAATGTCGTAAACCATACACCTTTGTGTAGTTGCTTAGAGGGTTTTAAAGGCGATGCCTTTATAGGATGTATGGAAATTTTGACAGACGATACTACACCCTGTAACCCTTCACCTTGTGGAGAAAATACGTTATGTACAATCGTGGGTAACGCTGCTAGATGCTCATGCATACCACCGAATATTGGAAACCCTTATGCTGGTGGCTGCCGACCTGAATGTACTTCAAATTCAGATTGCCCTAATAACCTTGCATGTTTATCAAATCACTGTCGAGATCCTTGTAAAGACTTATGCGGTGTAAACACAGAATGTACTGTCACCAATCACGTTCCTGTATGTTCTTGTTTCAAAGGATATGAGGGTGATCCGTTCTCATCGTGTCGCCAGATTACTAAATCACGTAAGTTTTAATTTTCGATATCTTTTATAAAATATATTATGTATGTTATAGACCGATTAAATATGACTGTTTCGTTTCGCATCAAATTTCTCTAAATATTACAAAATTAATTTGTATTAATGTCATTCAGACCGAATTTCTATCACGACGGCCCGTTTCATCGGAGACTAGTCGTCTGCGCAGGGTAGGATTATATTTATAGTGCCCGAGTGTACGCGAAAGCACAGGTAGACTTTCTATCCCCTCACTCTCATTGTCCGATGGGTCGGTAATCCAGACACGATCGGAGAGAGATTCGGCGCAGTACAAACGATTTTATTTATTTTTTGAGGCACAAGGTTCAAACACCGAACTTCGTGATTCCGGGCTGCTATAGCAAAATTTATTGATAGAAAAACCCAGTAATTGATTTTGATCCGAGCTGGTTTTCAAACCTAGGAACTCATAATCAATAATTTTCGACCAATCGACCAACGACCCGTTCACATAATTGGGCCTCTGGTCTGCTGCACTCACAGACGAAACGTGGAAGCAGAGCTTCCACTTCAGGGCAGTATTATGTGAGGTCGTGGTACCACCCCGGTTTGAGCCAGCCCATACGTGCAACAGTAAAGCTGCCGTGTACAGTAATGTGTCCACATAACTAGAAATATTCTAAAATTTATTTCATTACAACCCGGAAGAGTCCACCGCTGAACATGAGTTTCAACTATATGAGGGACAAAATTATGTTATTAAAAGCCCCTCTTTATGGCCGTTTGATGATCGCCTTTAACGCTGCCGCCCGTCTCCTGTGAAATCAAAGTATTTTACGTCAAGCGTAAATATGATAGTATCTATCGCAAGTCATGAGATTCCGGCATTTCCTCCTGGTCGCCTCTTACGACAATTATTGGACAAAATTGTTTCATGGATTCTGTTACGCCGCCTACACACTATACAGTTACAAAAAAATTAATACAATTTTTTTATTGCAGCAATACCGATCAATCCATGTGAACCAACACCATGTGGTCCAAATAGTGAATGTCATGTTGTTGGTGAACGCGCTGCGTGCTCATGTCGTGCGGGATTCCTTGGCACTCCACCTGCTTGTCGCCCTGAATGTGCCGTAAGCTCGGAATGTCCAACGAACAGAGCTTGTATAAATCACAAGTGTCAAGATCCTTGTATTCACAGTTGCGGACTAGATGCACGATGTCACGTGGTTGGTCATAATCCGATATGTACATGCCCAGAGCATGTCCCAGAAGGCGATCCGTTCATCAGATGCTACAGAAAGAGTAAGAATTATTACAATATTTAAAGTTGACCGTTAAGTAATTTTTTGTCATTTTAATTTTCCTTATCTTATAATTTACGTTGCTTGTACCCGTGACCCGCACGCGCGGATGCAGAATAACCCATGTTGGATAAAAATTTGGTATAACCTTAATATATGCGTCAGTGCGTAAGATATGTTCACAACTTCTCCACAAAAGAGTACTTAAATGTTTTTTTTAAATTTGTATTTAGTTAAACGTGTTCAATATGTAAAATTTATAGATAAAAAGTTTCGTGGCTAAGTGATTAAAATTATAACTTCTGCGAATCTTTAGTCTGAAGTTCTTTTCTACCGCGTCTTGCAGCAACTGTTAGCTTGTGTTCGGAGATTATCGTTTTTAAAATTTTACAGACTAAGCAATTCAAACGAGCGCACAGTCCACTAGATGCTATGTGGATGCTGTGGCCCATAGACCTACATCTATCCTCTTTGTCACTTATCACGAATAAGATGGAATGCTTCGTTCCAGTAAAAAGGGTCTTCAGTTCTTTTCACTCCCCATTCAAAATACAGTAGTATTAAGCTGCAATTTTACGCTGGTATTCTGTGAGAGCGTAGCCCTTTCAAGATGTACCGACTGATTCATTTTACAACCATAATGTAGCCGCAGCAATTAAAAGTAACATCATTACAAAATTGTTTATCAACTTTATTATATTTGTTTTAATACGTAATAATTACTTCTTTAAAACAGATATTACAGTCGTTGCTCCTGATCCGTGCTTATCTTCACCATGTGGACCACATTCGACATGTCGCAACGAACTTGGCCGCGCGGTGTGCGCATGTGAGCCTGGCACGTTGGGCGCTCCACCAACCTGTCGCCCGCAATGTGTTATTAATCAAGATTGCCCTCTCGCTCTTGCCTGCTTCGGCGGTACCTGTGTCAATCCTTGTATGGGATCGTGTGGTTTCAACGCTCGTTGCAGCGTACAAAATCACCAACCAATTTGTTCCTGCGACGAAGGTTACTCAGGAGATCCATTTGCTGGCTGCAATCAAATCGAAAGTAAGTGCGCTTGAATTTTTATGCAATGTTGGCATGATTTTGTAGTCTTAGTGCACATTGCATGCTTTCAGATTTGTAGTGACTTGTAATAAAATAAATTGTATAAATACGCTTTCAGTCGCAAAAGAAGTACCCCGTCATCCTTGCAACCCGTCACCTTGTGGACCTAATGCCATTTGTCGAGAAAAGAGTGGTGTCGGTTCATGTACTTGTGTAGACGATTTTTATGGTGATCCATATTTAGGCTGTCGCCCAGAGTGTGTCATGAACACTGACTGCGCTGTAGACAAATCATGTTTCAATAATAAATGTGTAGATCCATGCCCTGGGACATGTGGCCAGAATGCTGTGTGTAGAGTTTCCAATCATGCACCTTCTTGTTACTGCTTACCTGGATACAATGGAAACCCTCTTCATGCATGCACTTCTATTATGAGTAAGAATTTTCTTTCTTTTTCCTTCTTATTATCTTTCTATTATTTCATATTTCTTAAGTTTTCCTTATATTATCTATCATATTTACTTCAGCTCCTCCGGAACCAATTGATCCGTGTCACCCCACACCTTGCGGACCTTATAGTAAATGTCGTACGTTTAACGGGCATGCCGTTTGCACATGCCTCGATATATGCGTTGGCTCACCGCCTAATTGTCGACCTGAGTGTATCGTTAGTTCTGATTGCCGATCAAATAAAGCATGTATAAGTCAAAAATGCCAAGATCCCTGTGAGGGTATGTGTGGAGTGAACGCACAGTGTCAAGTCGTGAATCATAATCCCATATGTTCTTGCCAAAGAGGATACACTGGGGATCCTTTTGTTTATTGCTACTATGAAGAAAGTAAGTTACAAATAATTTGAAAACATATAATTTAATATTATTTTTTGAAAACGCAAGATAAAATTGAATTTTCTTTTAACAGAACAAATGACACCTATTGATAATTGCTTACCGAATCCCTGCGGTCCGCATTCACAATGCAAAGACCGAAATGGAGTACCCGTTTGCTCTTGTTTGGATAATTATGTGGGACGGCCTCCCAATTGTAGACCGGAATGTGTTATAAGCGTTGAATGCCCGAGTAATTTAGCTTGTATATCCGAAAGATGCAGAGATCCATGCCCAGGTTCTTGCGGTATTCATGCTACGTGCATTGTTGTTAATCATGTACCGATGTGTACTTGCGAACAAGGATTTACTGGAGATCCTTTTGCAGGATGTTCCACTATATTATGTAAGTTAAAAAATTTATAAAAAATTTGTTTGCTGTATCCGACACAAAAACTGTAAAAATCGTTTACTTTTAGCTATCGAACCACAACAAGAAAGCCCTTGCTCGAGATCACCTTGTGGCGCTAACGCTATATGTAAAGAGAGATATGACGCAGGTTCATGTGTTTGCCTTCCCGAATATTATGGAGATCCGTATGTGGAATGTAGACCAGAATGTGTTTTAAATTCCGATTGTCCTAAGAATAAGGCTTGTACAAATAACAAATGCAAAGATCCATGCCCGGGAGTCTGCGGAATGAACGCTGAGTGTAGAGTCAATAATCATGCTCCTTCTTGCAATTGTCTTCCCGGATACGAGGGAAACCCATTTACGTCTTGTTACTTAAGTATGATTTTTACTATAAACGTTCGTTATATAAAATAAAATAAATATATAAGTCGCTCTCTTAAAACATAATTATTTTTAGGCGTGGAAAGACCTGTTGATCCTTGTTCACCTTCACCTTGCGGACCATATAGCTTGTGTCGAGTAAGCAACGATTATGCAATCTGCTCTTGCCAAGAAGATTATTTTGGTTCTCCACCTTTATGTCGCCCAGAATGTATGGTCAGTAGCGACTGTATGCCAAATAAAGCTTGTGTCAACCAGAAATGCATAGATCCTTGTAATGGAGCATGTGGCAACAACGCCAAATGCACAGTTGTTAATCACAATGCACTTTGTAGTTGCCCCAAAAATTATATCGGTGATCCCTTTATTCAATGTTCATATGATCAACGTAAGTGCTTAAATTTTATAAATAATACTAAAACACTTAACGTACATTTAAATCTGAATATAACACCTACTAAACTGACGTTTTATTATATTTTGTATATGTTTAAATTATTAAATGAATACTAAAAGCTAAACATAATAAATCTAAAATAACCGAATCAATTTAAAGTAACAAATGGATTTTAGGACCGGAACCAAAACCTTCAGGTAATCCTTGCATTCCATCACCTTGTGGACCAAATTCACAATGTCGCGTAGTAGGCGAAACTCCAGCATGCTCCTGTTTAAGTGGTTATATAGGGCGAGCACCAAACTGTCGTCCAGAATGTATATATGATGAGGAATGTCCTAGTAACCTTGCTTGTATCCGTGAAAAGTGTATGAATCCATGCGAAGGATCTTGTGGATCAAATGCTGAATGTGTCGTTATTTCTCATAAAGCAATTTGTCATTGTAAGGAAAGCTATACGGGTGATCCATTTAATGGTTGTTATTTCATAGGTAAGTCATAATTTATCGATAATGTGTATATGAAAAAACCACACATTGAGAACTAATACTTTTATTATTCAGTCACAGTTACTAGTGAAGATGAGACGAATCCTTGTAATCCATCTCCTTGTGGACCAAATGCTTTATGTAAAGAAAGAAATTCTGCCGGGTCATGCACATGCCTACCAGGATATTTCGGAGATCCCTATTTAGGATGTCGTCCAGAATGCGTCACAAACAACGACTGTCCCTTAAACAGAGCATGCTCGAATAATAAATGTATCGATCCTTGTCAAGGAGCCTGTGGAAAAAATGCACGCTGTAACGTGGCGCATCATACACCGATGTGTTTCTGTATCGATGGTTATGAAGGGAATCCTGTAATATCATGCCACCTACAGAGGAGTCGTTAGTATTTTTTCTTCAGTTAAGTAACACCTGATATATAGTTTATTTTACGTCGAAATGAATTATTGAATTTTATTTTAGCAACCGTGGCAGATGAAAATCCATGTGTACCATCACCTTGCGGTCAATACAGTCATTGTAAAATAATCGATAACCACGGAGTATGCTCATGCATAGAAGGTTATGTAGGTTCGCCACCAACGTGTAGACCAGAATGCGTAACCAGTACGGATTGCCCGCAACATCAAGCGTGTTTACAACAAAAATGCAAGGACCCTTGTCCAGGAACTTGCGGCGTCAATGCACGTTGCCAAGTTATAAACCACAATCCAATATGTACATGTAAAGCGGGATTCACTGGTGATCCATTTGTAACTTGTCAGTTAGAGAAAAGTAAGGATATAAAATCTAATAAAATAAAACCAATTTGTGTTTTTATTCAAATTATTTCATGCATGTTTTTCATTTTTATATCACAATCTATAAATTCTTTTTCTTATTCTCTTTTAGCTTTATACTCTACTTTATTTCTAATGTACTTCTTTTTTCTTAGAACCTATCTTTATGGGACCTAAAGGAAATCCTTGTGTACCTTCACCGTGCGGTTCATATTCTCAATGTAAAGTAGTCGACGAAGCGCCTGCATGCTCATGCTTACCGAATTACGTTGGTATTGCACCCAATTGTAGACCTGAATGTTCTATCAATGCCGAATGCCCTGGTAATCTTGCATGCCAAAATGAGAAATGTGTAGATCCATGTCCGGGGTCTTGCGGTTTCAACGCCGAATGTTCTGTTGCAAACCATGTAGCCTTATGTAATTGTGTACCTGGACATACGGGTGATCCATTTAGTGGATGTTCTATAATTGAACGTGAGTTTTGATATTATATACACATATAAAAGAAAGAACGAGATATGTGCCGTTATAAAATAGATGTTTGTGCCAATTTAATATTAAGGTTGTGTTGGAATTATTTTTATAATAATTTTGTATTACGGAATTGCATCATTCATAAGAAGATACATACACACCCACAGACATTGACGTCCAATTATTGAAATCGTGTCAAATCTTTTTGTTACATTATACGATTCTACAGGACGAGAACGAGAAAACTAAATATCTCTTTCTTTCTGATAAAACGAAAAATTGAATATAACAGACTATTTTAATTAAAAACATATTACAGATACATCTGAACCTCCACCAAATCCTTGTAATCCTTCTCCTTGTGGTGCTAATGCCGTGTGCAAAGAAAGAAACGGTGTCGGTGCGTGTTCATGTCTACCAGAATATTTTGGAGACCCATACACAGGATGCAGACCAGAGTGCGTGTCAAATTCTGATTGCGATCGTAATAAGGCTTGTACAAATAACAAGTGCAAAGATCCGTGCCCAGGAACATGTGGCATCAATGCCGAATGTAGAACTGTGAACCATTCTCCTACGTGTACTTGCCTCACAGGATATACCGGCAATCCGCTCATTAGATGCGAGGAAGAAAGTAAGTCAATTGAAGTTTTTGTTAATCAAAGTTTATACAAACGTTTTTCAGAGCTTATACAAATATTTTTACACTAACAATTTTTCACTAGCATTAACGTCTACTTTTTTCAGAATTAAATATACCTCAAACAGATCCTTGCCAGCCATCACCCTGCGGGCCGAACAGTTTATGTCGTGCTATTAATGGTCATAGTGTGTGTACATGCGAAATCGGTTACATCGGCACCCCACCATCATGTCGTCCTGAATGTATCGTTAGCTCCGAATGCCCGCAGGATAAGGCCTGCGTAAATAAAAAATGTACAGATCCATGCCCGAATACCTGTGGACTCAACGCACGCTGCCAAGTTATAACTCACAATCCGATTTGCAGTTGTATAACAGGTTATACTGGCGATCCCTTTACAGAATGTATAGAAGAACAGAGTAAGTACTTTAAATCTTCAATACAATCATATTATATAAACTAACGAAATATTTATTCACCAAATATTACTAATGTTATCTATAACAACAATGGCAAAATTTTATACCAAGCGTAAGGCAATATTACTAAAATAATATTATATCAATGATTTTTCATAAAACAATCTCTTTTAGGACAAGTAGATCATATTAATCCCTGCGTACCGTCACCATGCGGACCAAACTCTGAATGCCGTGTTATAAGCGATCAAGCAGCCTGTTCTTGTTTACCTAACTATATAGGAAGGGTACCAAATTGTAGACCAGAGTGTACTATTGATGCAGAATGCCCTAGCAATACAGCTTGTATTAACGAACGTTGTAAGGACCCGTGTCTGGGAGCTTGTGGAGGAAATGCCATCTGTTTAACGGTGAATCACAAGCCTGTCTGTAGTTGTCAGCAAGGATTTACTGGAGATGCAACCAGTTCCTGTGTTCAAATTATGACTCCTAGTAAGTATGACTGCAAAAATGTTTTTTTTTCTAATTACAGTCCAATATTAATTTTTTTTATCCCTTGCCTCAATTATAGCAACAGAAAGAGCAAGTCCCTGCACTCCATCTCCTTGTGGCCCCAACGCTGAATGTCGTGAATACAATGAAGCTGGTGCATGTTTCTGTTCCCAAGGCTATGAAGGCGATCCCTATAGTCCATCTGGATGTCGACGAGAATGTGAAAATAACGACGACTGCCCCTTGAACTTAGCCTGCACAAGATTTAAATGTATCGACCCGTGCCCAAAAACATGTGGACATTTGGCAGAATGTACAGTTGAAAAACACGTTCCTGTTTGTTCTTGCCCACCTGATCATACAGGCGATCCATTCTTCCGCTGCCTCAGAGTAGTAACTGAACGTAAGCGCATTATTTTACTTAATATATTGTTAATATATAACATTTTACTGGCAGACATTGCTTAAAATATTTATAACTTTTTTCAGCTCCACCACTAAACCCTTGTGAACCAACTCCCTGTGGTCCTAACAGTCAATGCAGACAAGTCAATATGCAAGCTGTTTGTTCTTGTCTTCCGAATTATATTGGGTCACCGCCATCATGTAGACCTCAATGTGTTGTGAATAGTGAATGTGATACATCTAAAGCATGCATAAATCAGAGGTGTGACGACCCTTGTCCAAATACTTGTGGCTTGAAAGCTCACTGTCTAGTAAAGAATCATAACCCCATTTGCACGTGTCCAGCGGGTATGACCGGTGATCCTTTCACTGTTTGCTACAGTAAGTATCAACGGTGATAAGTTTGTTTCTAAAGAGCTAATAAAAGATATTTTTAATAATAATGTTTACATTGATTTCAGATATTCCACCAACAACTGAAAGTCCTTCTTGCACCCCATCTCCATGTGGACCTCACTCACGTTGTCAGTTGCTAGCAAGTGGACCAGCATGCTCTTGTTTACCTGGTTATGTAGGCTCACCACCATCTTGCCGTCCTGAATGTACAATTAACTCTGAGTGCCCTGCTTCTTTAGCATGTGTTCGACAAAAATGTGAAGATCCTTGTCCAGGTTCTTGTGGAGTTGAAGCAAATTGTCACGTTTTGAATCATGTAGCAGTGTGCGTTTGTAACGAGGGATTTACTGGTGATCCATTCTCAAGATGTACTCCTATTATTCAAGGTAATCTTTTTATTATTTAATAGCCTATATGTATGTGTTATTTTTAACTATGCAGTGGCAGTGTAAAAATATCCACTACCACATATCCGTCTATGTCGTAAGAGGCGAGGGGGAACTAAACAGAAGACAGGCAGTGTCATCTCCCTAATAACACAAAATTATAAAAACTGCGATTGCTAACCAACCTGCCAACTGTGGCAACTATGGCATATACAGGGTCGTATCTATGGCGCACACCGCCGACCATCCCGCGAAGTGAGTGCTCTATGCAGGATGTCCTGTTTATCCAACGCTCAGTGCGCAGAGCACTCCTGCATTCCTGGACGTCAAGAAGCCGAGTGGGCCGGATGGAGTCCCTCCTATTGTGCTGAAGACGTGTGCTCCAGAGTTGGCATCGGCTTTAACGCGTCTTTGCCGGTACTCCTACTCCCTCGGCGTGGTCCCGAAATCATGGAAGACAGCCCTCGTGCACCCGATCCCTGAAAAAGATAACCACTCTGATCCATCCAACTATAGCTATAGGCCTATCGCCATCGCCTCCTTGTTCTCTAAAATAATTGAATCAATTATTAACAGTCAGGTCAGTCGTGTACTTTATGTGAGATATAATGAATAAATGGATTGATGTATTTATTTGTAACTGGTCCTTAAAAATGTATCAAAAATTTTAATTTAAAAGGTGAAAATATTTTTGTTACAGCGCCAACAACCTCTGGTCCGTCGGATCCTTGTAATCCTTCTCCATGTGGACCTAACGCACAGTGCGACAATGGCTTCTGTACGTGTATACAAGATTATAGCGGTAATCCATATGAATCATGTCGACCAGAATGTACTGGAAGTCAAGAATGTCCTAGAGATAAAGCGTGCTTTAGAAACAAATGCAGAGATCCCTGTCCTGGAGTTTGTGGTCAAAACGCAAAATGTGACGTTATAAACCATATACCAACCTGTTCTTGTATGAGTGGCCATACTGGCAATCCATTTACTCACTGTCAACCGACAATAATCGTTGAATATGATGAAAATCCATGTCGGCCATCTCCGTGCGGTCCTAACAGCCTTTGCAGAATAAATGATAATGCAGCGGTATGCGCTTGCATTGAAGGTTTCCAAGGATCTCCTCCAGCTTGTAGACCAGAATGTGTCGTGAGCTCTGAGTGTCCTGCAACAAAAGCTTGTGTTAACCAGAAATGTATTAACCCATGTATTAATGCATGCGGTATCTCAGCTCGCTGTGAAGTTATCAATCACAGCCCTATTTGCAGCTGTAATCCAGGACAAACTGGCGATCCATTCAGCAGTTGTTACGATGAAATGATCCCATCAAAACCAGTAGATGCTTGTAACCCTTCACCATGTGGGCCAAACTCTTTATGTATGGAACGAAATGGCAAAGCTGACTGTAAATGCGTCGATGACTACGTTGGCCAGCCGCCAAACTGTAGGCCAGAATGTGTCATTAATCCAGATTGTCCATCAAATCAAGCTTGCGTGAGAAATAAATGTATTGATCCATGTCCGGGTTCGTGTGGAGTAGATGCGGATTGTATCATAGTGAGCCATACAGTATCATGTACATGTCGAGAAAAGTACACCGGAAATCCTTTCTTACAATGTATACAACAAAATGGTAAATAAATCATCATAAACATAATAACCGTAACATTCTTGTTACTGAAAGAAATTTTAATAATTTCACATTCACATTTAATTATTTTTAATATTTTTTTCAGACGCTGTAGAAAATCCATGTGATCCGTCACCATGTGGAGCGAATGCTATTTGTAGTCAAAGAGATAATGCTGGTGCGTGTTCTTGTTTAGAAGGGTATTATGGAAATCCATACGATGGTTGTCGACCTGAGTGTGTTCTCAGTTCTGACTGCTCAGCCGATAAATCATGTATCAAAAATAAATGCACAGACCCCTGCCCAGGCATTTGCGGGTCCAACGCTGAGTGCACCGTAATCAATCACGTGCCTTCCTGTGCATGCATTAAGGGTTATGCTGGTAACCCGTTTGTACAATGCAACCCAATCAAACCACCACATGAAATAAGACCATGTAATCCATCTCCATGTGGACCAAATAGCGTGTGCAGAGAGAATGGAGAACTTGCCTCCTGTGAATGTCTCCCTGATTACAGAGGAGCGCCTCCTAATTGTCGACCTGAATGCACAGTAAGCAGCGAATGTCCATCGGATCGTGCATGCCATAAGCTTAAATGTGCTGATCCATGCAGAGGAACATGTGGTATTGGAGCCCATTGTCAAGTTATAAATCATAGTCCTCTGTGTAGCTGCCCCGCGGGTACTAGTGGTGATCCATTTAGCAAATGCCTAGAAATTGAAAAAAGTGTGATAGAAACAAACGCGCAACCATGCAGGCCGAATATGTGCGGACCTTACAGTGAATGTCGACCAGTCAATGGACAACCTTCATGTTCATGTATAGTTGGCTATCTAGGTGCTCCACCTAACTGCCACCCAGAATGTCTTGTGAACACAGACTGCCCGTCACACTTGGCATGTATAGCAGAAAAATGTACTAATCCTTGTGAAGGTTCATGTGGATTCCGAGCAGAATGTCGCGTCCAGGATCACATTCCGATTTGCAGTTGCCCAACAGGATATTCGGGTGATCCTTTCATTCAATGCTCGGAAGTTATAGGTAAGTTAATTCTTTCAGAACAGACGCAAGCAAACTGAGCTAATTAACTATTTTATTTCCACTAGAGATATATAGTAGATACAATCAGTATGTTTAAATGTAAATGAAACCATGATTTGTTTAAATTGTCCGTAGAAAATAACGTGTAAATAATAATAACTCATGCTAATATGTTTTATTAATTAAATCTACAAATCACTTTCATAAGTAATAAAACAAGCAAAAGTAATTTTGTCGGTTAGCATTACAAAATTAGTTGCAATAGCCTTTTTTTAATTTTGATATATTTATTATTCTGGCATTATTAGCAATCCTGTAGCAGATATGCTCAGCCAATCTCTTCTTAAACTAACAATATTTAGAATAAATAATTTAATCCCTTGTTTTAACTTTTTAGTTCAAGATGTACAAGAAAATCCTTGCAATCCGTCACCTTGCGGAAGCAACGCTATATGCGATGAAGGAGCGTGTACTTGCGCTCCTGGATACTTTGGTGATCCTTACCAAGGATGCAGACTAGAATGTAGTACTAACGGTGAATGTTCTCCTACCCGCTCATGTCAAGGAGGAAAGTGCGTAGATCCATGCCCTGGCACGTGCGGCACAAATGCTCTGTGTTCTGTAAACAACCATATTCCATCATGCTCATGCCCACCTAGCATGTCAGGAGATCCGTTTTCATTTTGCACTGAGATAGCTCTATCAGGTAAAAACAACTAAGTATTTTATGTAAGCTTTTTTATAACCTTGGCACTATTTAAAATAAAATCCATTTAAATAATACAATCTCACGATTTCCGTTTCAGTTCTTCGTTAGTACTTTAAATTTTATTTTTGGACATTAGCCTTTCTGCCTGATGATATTCTGTAAATAATTTCTATACAAGTAGGTAAAATAAAAGTTTTATATTTTTATTTATAGCGGCACCATGTTCCCCGTCCCCTTGCGGTCCGTATAGCGAATGCACGGTGAGTCCAAACGGTGTAGCGGCTTGTTCCTGCCGTGCTGGCCACTTTGGCTCCCCTCCGTCTTGCCGTCCAGAGTGTCTCGTGAGCTCGGATTGTAAACTGCAGTTGGCATGTATAGACCGGCGATGTCGTGATCCCTGCGAAGGTGCGTGCGGCCGCGGCGCGCGGTGCCAAGTGGTTGCGCATTCGCCTATCTGCACTTGCAACGATGGTTATACTGGAGATCCTTTCACTTATTGCTATTTAGCGCCGTGTAAGTAATTTACATATTGTAATAATTTTCCTTTACATTAAACACAAGGACAATAAAATCATTTTCAAACTTTATTTTTAGCTCCGCCCTCTGCCCCTATTGATCCTTGTCAACCATCACCGTGTGGACCTAATTCTATATGTCTAAGCTCTGGGGAAATGCCTGCCTGTAGTTGTCAACCTAACTTCATCGGCTCACCACCAAACTGTCGACCAGAGTGCACAATTAGCGCTGAATGTCCAGCTGCGCTTGCCTGTGTAGCGCAGCGTTGCAAGGACCCGTGTCTGCAGGCATGTGGTCCTCGAGCTATCTGCTCAGTGATCGACCATCGAGCAACTTGTGCTTGTGAACCTGGTCTAGAAGGCAATCCGTTCGAGGGTTGTTCTCAACCTAAAGGTAAGGAAAAGCACCATCAACGCTGTTTACATATTAGTGCGTACGATATACGAATTTCAAGTTTGTCTCAAAAAATAGCACTTAAGGTTTTGATGTAAATTTTATGATAAGAGCAGGGGTATGACAAGAGCAGGGGTTCTGTAACAAAATATATATAAAAATAACATTAAAAAAACATAATTCATTGAAAGTTTGCATTAACCCTATGCTTAAGCTAAGCGTGATTTATCATGCATAAAATATGAGCTTATGTTAAAAGAATAAAAAAATATTTGAAGTCACGCCTCACACGACTTACTAATGTCAAAAGAATGGTGCTGTATGAGTGTTCTCACTTTAGGACTGAGTGGTAACCATGCCTGCCGCTTGGTTTGTAGGTGTTGATACTTCCACAGTTTCTATTCTTAAATGCTTAAATATTAAAACAAGGCCTTTGGACCAGGATGGTGAGATGTCATTTTAATCATCTAGAATTTTAAATGCTTTCAGAAGGGACGTAACATGTATAATAACTATTTATGTGAAATTAATGCCTTTTGCTTATGACCGGAGCACGCGGAGATAACACAGCACTTACAGTTAGCTTGGACCGTTTGCTGTGCCGGCCGCTTTTTGATAGTGCGGCTAACGATAGCGACGTCGTCGTCGGATTAAAGAATCACTAAACGTCATCGTGGCAGATAGCTTCAACTAACGCTTCGGACCAAGGAAGTGCTTCTACGGTGGTTTATTCAATTTATAGGTAAGTGAATTCATTGTTCTTCTAAAATATTTCAGCTCCAACAAAGACTGAGTACTTAAATCCATGCGAACCGTCGCCCTGCGGTCCAAATGCACTTTGTAAAGTTGATGGCAAAGCTGGGTCATGCTCATGCCTACCAGATTATTTTGGTGACCCATATCAAGGGTGCAGGCCAGAATGTTTGGCAGATTCTGATTGTCCATTAACCACAGCCTGCAACAGAAATAAATGTATGGATCCATGTCCTGGAGTATGCGGACAAAATGCAGATTGCTACGTAACAAATCACAAGCCTCTGTGTAACTGTAAGAGTGGATACACTGGTAACCCACTTTCTTTATGTTTGCCTATACTGGGTAAGTTTTCACAAACTCAAACCTTTATAATAATATTTAAACTACGAAAGTCTTAAACCATTATTGTTTTTCGGTTTCAGAAAAAGATATTGCCATATTTGACGTTTGTAATCCATCACCCTGTGGAGCAAATGCGATCTGTAAAAATGTAAATGATCAGCCAGTTTGTTCATGTTTACCGAACTATGTTGGGTCTCCACCAAATTGCAAGCCAGAATGTATGGTTAATTCTGAATGTAGATCTAACAAAGCTTGTATTAATCACAAATGTGTCAATCCATGCCCTACTCCGTGTGGTCGAAATACAGAATGTAAGGTTATAAATCATAGTCCAGTGTGTTCATGTCGAAGAGGATATTCCGGAGATCCTTTTACAATTTGTAGTTTAATATTACGTAAGTACATTTAACTATATTTTTACTTTACGAATGAGAATTTTATTGAATTCGATTTTTAAATTTTATTTATTTGTTTGTTTGTTTTTATAGAAACATCCCCATCTGTAGCTGCACCCTTAGATCCGTGCTTACCATCTCCTTGCGGCATTTATGCGGAATGTCGCAATAACAATGGATTGGCGTCTTGTTCATGTTTACCATCTTATATTGGTTCCCCGCCCTATTGTAAACCAGAATGCGTAGTTCATTCAGATTGTTCTAGTGACTTAGCGTGCATTGCAGAGAAATGTAGAAATCCATGTGAAGGATCGTGTGGGTTATACGCAAAATGTTTTGTCAACAACCATATTCCAGTTTGTTTGTGCCCTGATGGTTTCATGGGAGATCCATTTAGAGAATGTACTCCTAAACCACTTGAAGGTATATTACCTATTATATTTAATTGAAATTATAAATATCGTTATACGTTAAATTACAAATTAATGTTTATTATTTCATTCCAGATACTAAACAACCTGTTGCAATAGATCCTTGTCGACCCAGTCCATGTGGTTCAAATACTATATGTAAAGATGGTATATGTTCGTGCGAAGAAGGCTATCACGGTGATCCATATTTAGGATGCCGGCCTGAATGTATATATAACTCAGATTGTCCGCAGGATATGGGTTGCCAACGTAATAAATGTGTAAACCCATGTATTGAGACATGTGGTCGAAACGCAATCTGTAACGTAATAAATCATACGCCAATGTGCTCTTGTCCAAAAGGAATGAGCGGAAACGCTTTTGTTGAATGCCGACCTTCAATTGGTAAATTTATTTATTTAATGTATTATTCCTATCATTTTAAACTGTATATTTACTGGGGAATAAACTAGAGCATGGTCAACATCGTCTTCCTAATAACAACAGGAAAATAAAAAATACCCTAATGCTGGCTACACACTACGCACACATGCACACACATACAATAATAATTGTAATAAATGGAGCCATCTATTACCGTCACCGAGCAAAACCTGGCAGACCGAGTTCGGTATACCTTACACTCAAATATATTCGATGGCGCCGAACTCGAACGGCTACGACGTGAGGCTGTTCCCTCATCAAATGAAAATGCTATGACTGAGGATACGGGGCGACAAGTTGCAGAACAACCCGTGGATGCCGCCGTGAATACCTCAGTGGTTACTGATTCAAATGATGATGGGACATTCACCCAGGAAATAGAAATAGAGCAAATGAGGAGTACATTGGAAGAGGCGATTGTGGAAACGCGCAGTACGCCTCTCGAAAATCAACCGCGACTTCCCCGCATAACCCTAAGTAAGCGGAATCGGGCTGTCGTGAGGGCTCTGAACCCAATGCTGGTGACCTATTTGGAAGCCAGCCGAGACCTTTGCAAGACGGACTCAATTCTTTCTGGCGCCGCGCTGGCAGTCAGCCGTATTATAGGCGCCAAGGTTTCCACGGCTCGACGCGCTACTGGCCAAAGTAGCGCTATCCCAGCATGGAGAAGAAGAATTGAGGAACGTATCGCAAAGGCTAGAGCTCTCATCTGCAGATTGATATGCTTCAGATCAGGCAATAACAGGCCAAGAATTGTGCGCACCGTCAGGATGGCGTTTGCTGGGATGAATGTCAGTTTGTCCCAGCCAGATATAACGCAAAAACTGACGGAGCCCATAAATGATCTGAAGCAGAGAATCGCTGCTTGGGGAAAGCGGATTCGGAGATATACCGAGAGGTCGACACGGTTCAACCAGAATCGTCTCTTCCAGAGTGATCAGAAGAGGATCTATGAATCATTGGAGCGACCAATGGTAAGTGGAACGGGCCCAGCACCGAATCAGGCCGACACTGTAGCATTCTGGCGCGGCCTATGGTCAGAGCCCGTAAACCACAGCGAGGTCCTTGGACGGAAGTTGTGGCGAGTCAGTGTGCGAGTATAACGCCCATGGACCCCGTCATTATAACACCGGATGACGTAGCTGAGGCGGTCCGTAGGGCCCCGAACTGGAAAAGTCCGGGACTCGACGGGCTGCATCACTACTGGCTGAAGGGGTTCGTGGTGTGTCACACTGTGCTCGCCCGTCAGTTTCAAGAGGCTCTCAACCAGAAGTCGCTCCCGAGCCTCTTCACTACTGGCTGGCAGGGTACCACAGACCCGAACAAATACCACCCCATCATGTGTCTACCGACCATATATAAGACACTAACATCCATTTTGAGCTCGAGAATCACTCGTCACTTGGACTCAAATCAGGTGATGTCGCGCGCTCAAAATGGATAACGGGGCGGTGGTCGTGGAACCAAGGAACCACTCCTCATTGACACGGTCATTGGCAAAGTGGTGAAACGCAACCGCCGTTGGATAGTCTACACAGAAAGGCATTCGACTCGGTACCCCATACATGGCTAAAGAGAGTCCTCGAGCTGTACAAGATAGACTGTACAGTTAGATACTTCCTCGAGCAGTGTATGGGGCAGTGGAGTACGATCCTTTGTCATCTGGGCGAGTGGTTGATGGCTACGGAGAACCACATAAGGATAAGAAGGGGTATCTTCCAGGGCGATTGTCTGAATCCAATCTGGTTCTGCCTCTCTCTGAACCCTCTCAGTACCTTACTGGAGGGCTCCGGGAGGGGATTTCCGCTACGGAAGGGAGGGACAAAAGTGACGCACCTTTTCTATATGGATGACTTCAAGTTATTCGCCCCCAGTCGCTCCCATCTTATGGAATTGCTAAACATCACTTGTGATTTTAGCAATTCCATTGGAATGGAGCTGGGGACGGATAAGTGTGCGGTCCTCCATGTTGAAAGGGGAAGGGTTGCTAACTCTGAGGGCATAGACTTATCTATGCTCGTCAACTTAAGAACCCTTTCCGAGGCTGAAAAATACCGATACGTGGATATGTCACAGAGTATCGGTATCGATGAAGCTGGTATGAAACAGTCAGTTTACGACGTGTTTTATGCACGCTTGACCAAAGTGTTTAAGAGCCTTTTGTCCGGTGTGAATAAGACACATGCATATAATGGTTGGGTCATGCCTGTCCTCATGAATACCTTTGGCATGCTCAGGTGGACTCAGACTGAACTTAACGCCCTGGATAGAAAAGTCCGCACTACCCTGACGTCCCATAGGATGCATCACCCGAGATCGTCGGTAATGAGGCTGTACTTGCCGCGAAAGCATGGTGGTCGTGGCTTCTTGAGCGCGCTCATTATGCATAATCGCGAAGTGTGCAGCCTCCGTAATTACTTCCTGGCTAGATCGGATGATCCATTCATAAGGACGTCATTTCTTGTGATAAAGGACTTACCCCTCTATCCTTAGCCAACGAGTAATGGCAAGACCCGGCAGTGCAGAGTATTTCGGAGGTTCTGCAAGGCTCTACATGAGCCTTTCGTAGACACAGTAGCCTCCCTCCACTGGCTACGCTTTGGTGACCTCTTCGGGGAAACCGATGGTTTTGTCTGTGCAATACAGGATCAGGTTATTAAGACCAACAACTATCGGAGGTACATCCTAAAGGATGGCACCGTCGACATCTGTCGAGCATGTCGTCATCCCGGTGAGTCACTTAGGCATGTCATCTCCGGTTGTTCGGCGCTTTCTAACTCTAAGTACTTGCACAGGCACAACCTAGTAGCCAGAATTCTTCACCAGGAACTCGCTCTGAAATACGGTCTCGTGGATCGGAAATTGCCGTATTACAAGTACTTGCCGGAAGCCGTGCTCGAAAATGATCGCGCTAGGCTCTATTGGGACCGGGCCGTCGTCACAGATAGGACTATTCTTGCGAATAAGCCTGATATTGTGCTGATGTGTGCCCGGTCACAGTCAAGGATATTTTTGGTCGACATTACCATTCCGTATGACGAGAACCTCGTGAAAGCCGAAACAGATAAGCAAACAAAATATCTGGACCTGGCTCACGAGGTGACCGATATGTGGGGTGGTCTGCCGACCGAAATTATTCCTGTAGTCGTCTCTGCAAACGGGCTAATCCCAGTCAGCCTCTCGGGTCATCTGAGGCGGCTGGGACTACGTGGCGGACCGCTCCAGGCTCAAATGCAGAGGCGGTGCTCCTCGATAGCGCCCGCATCGTCCGCCGGTTTTTTCCCTTTCCTCCTAACCCTCGGCCGTCTGGTCTCCCCTGCCGAGGGCCTCCATCTGGTTGGGCTTTTATTTATTAATGTATTTTTATATTTATTTAATTTTATTGATATTTATGTATATTTATCTTTTCATTTCCATTTATAATTATATATTTATAGAACCCAACCAGATGAGAAAACTATATTGATACCCCCCGTAATATTACTAGACCTACAAATTTAATAAATACATCATGTCAAACAGAAGTGACTTATTGACAACTCTTTATTTTAGTTCTTGCGCAAAACCCATGTAACACACATACAATAATAATAGTAATAATACTAGACCTACAAATTTTATAAATATTTTTGAATATTTATTTCATTATATTTATGACATCATGTCAAACAGAAGTGACTTATTGACAACTCTTTATTTTAGTTCTTGCGCAAAACCCATGTAATCCAACGCCATGTGGACCAAATAGTCAATGTCAGCAATCCAATGGGCAAGCAGTATGTTCCTGCATACCGGGTTACAAAGGTAGCCCGCCAACATGTAGACCCGAATGTGTTGTTAGCCTTGAGTGTCCTTTTAAAGAAGCCTGCAACAATCAAAAATGTATAAATCCATGTATAGGAGCATGTGGAGTTGCTGCTATATGTGATGTTATCAATCACAATCCAATTTGTACATGCCCACCTTCATTCACGGGCGATCCATTTATACAGTGTACTGTAATCGGTAAGTTTTTTGTTTCTATTCACTTCTTAATATTAATTTAAGTGATTAAATGTAACCAGGGATTTAAACTATTTTTCAGTTGAAATGGCGCCTAGAGTTGACCCCTGTGAACCATCGCCATGTGGACCCCATTCAGTTTGCAAAATTAGGGCCAATAGTCCAATATGTGCTTGTCTGCCTGGATACAAAGGGTCCGCCCCGAACTGTCGACCAGAATGCATAAGTAACAGTGAATGTGATAACCATTTGGCTTGTATTAATCAAAAATGCAGTGACCCATGTATTGGAAGCTGTGGATCTAACGCCGAATGTAGGGTTGTCAGTCACTCCCCTATGTGCATATGCCAACCGGGCTACACTGGAGATCCATTTTCATACTGTAGCCCATTGACTATCGCCGATTCTACCGAAGTTCTAAATCCGTGCAACCCCAGTCCATGTGGTTCAAATGCAATTTGCAGAGAAAATAATGGTGTCGGCGCTTGTACTTGTTTAGAGGGATATTCCGGCAACCCATATGAATCGTGTCGTCCTGAATGCGTAGTCAATACCGACTGTCCTTTAAACAAAGCATGTGCTAGAATGAAATGTGTTGACCCTTGTCCGGGAACATGTGGCTCAAATGCTATATGTCAAGTAAATAATCATTTACCCAACTGCTTGTGTCAGGTTGGTTATACAGGAAATCCTTTCAGCCACTGTGTTATTATGGAAGAACGTGAGTATGAATTTAATTTTGACTTATGTAGCGACAATTAAAATTTACAAGTAAGTTGATAACTTTAATTTACTTATTTATATTAATTTTAGCTCAAATTGTACAAAACCCGTGCAGTCCATCTCCATGTGGGCCAAATAGTCAGTGTAAAGAAATTAACGGCCAGGCAGTATGCTCATGCTTATCAAATTTCGTTGGATCGCCTCCTAACTGTCGTCCAGAATGTGTAGTGAGCTCGGAATGCCCCGCAAATTTGGCTTGTTTAAATCAAAAGTGCTCAGATCCTTGTATAGGAAGTTGTGGAGAAAATGCAAACTGTAATGTTATCAACCATAGTCCTATCTGTGTATGTAAGCAAGGCTTAACTGGAAATCCATTTACAAAATGTTATCCAGTAAAAAGTAAGTAAAATTAACTGAAGGAGATTGATAAACAATTTTATATTTATTGTTAAATATTTTTAATATTTCCCTGTTTCAGTATCTTTGCCGCCAAATAGTTCAGCAAACCCCGATCCATGTTTACCATCTCCTTGTGGTGTATATGCGGAATGTCGAAATATAGGAGACGCGCCTTCTTGTGCCTGTAAATCTGGTTATGTGGGTAATCCGCCTAATTGCAGACCAGAATGCACATTGAACTCCGAATGTCCTAGTAATCAAGCATGTATCAACGAAAAATGTCGCGATCCTTGCCCAGGTGCTTGTGGTTTAAATGCTCAATGTAATGTTTTTAATCATATCGCCCAATGCAGTTGCCTAGAACAACACACTGGAGATCCGTTTGTACAATGTCAACGTGAAATACAGAAAGATGGTAAACATTACTTTTAAAATTTACAAGATTAATATTTATATTTGTAGTACATATTACAATTATCAGTTTATGTTTTCAGAGGTGTACAGTGAAATCGACCCTTGCAATCCATCACCATGTGGTTCGAATGCTAAATGCTATGGTGATGGTGAATGCAAGTGCTTACCTCAATATCAAGGCGATCCTTACTTTGGCTGCCGTCCAGAATGCCTGATGAGCTCTGATTGCCCACCGAATAAAGCGTGTGCCAAAAACAAATGCATAGACCCATGCATCAAAGCATGTGGAAGAGGAGCAATATGTAACGTTTTTAACCATGTGCCTATGTGCACTTGTGCTCATGGTTACTCTGGCAACGCGTTCCTTGAATGTAGACCATTTACTGTACCAGAAATCGTAAATCCTTGCAACCCTAGTCCATGTGGACCAAATAGTCAATGTAGAGATATAAACGGCCAAGCCATTTGTACATGCTTACCGGGATATCAAGGTGCACCTCCAACGTGTAGACCAGAATGTATATCGAGTTCAGAATGTGCTCTTGACAAAGCATGTTCCAACCAACGCTGTATTGATCCTTGTAAAGGAAATTGTGGCTCTAGTGCTATTTGTCAAGTGATAAACCATAATCCAATATGTTCTTGTCCATCAGGACTAACTGGTGATCCCTTCACTAGATGTGTATTGCAAGGTTTGTATTTTTAATTTGGGAATGTATTTTATCGTTCACTACAGTTATGAAAATTAAGTTAATAATTTTTTTTATTTCAGCTACTGAGGTACCACCATATACTAATCCTTGCGAACCATCACCTTGCGGTCCTAATTCCATTTGTAAAGAAATAAATGGATCTCCTTCGTGCGCTTGCCTCGACGATTACACAGGAAGTCCCCCAAATTGTCGCCCAGAATGTATAGCAAATTCTGAATGCCCAAATCAATTGGCGTGCATTAATCAGAAATGCAAAGACCCATGTCCTGGAACATGTGGTACAGGAGCGGAATGCAAAGTAGTTAGCCATTCTCCACAGTGCATCTGTCAGCCTGGTTATACAGGAGATGCGTTTATAGAATGCAAAATTCTTGATGTTCAGTTAAGACCATGCTCACCATCACCGTGTGGACCAAATGCTGTTTGTAAAGAATTAAGAGGAGCAGGCTCTTGTGTATGTTTACCAGATCATATAGGCAACCCTTATGAAGGTTGTCGTCCTGAGTGCGCCGTTAATTCAGACTGCTCGATCAACTTAGCCTGCATACAGAATAAATGTAAAAATCCTTGCATCAATGTTTGTGGAAGAAATGCTGTTTGCAACGTTGTTAATCACACACCAAAATGTGAATGCTTAGAAGGGTTGACTGGAAGTCCTTATCAAGAATGTCACGAGATAAAACGTTAGTCTCTCAATTTATATTATACTTACAATAAATTAAATAAAAATTATGATTTTATATTAATTATTTAGATTTCATACGTAATAAGAATAAATATATTTTCAGAATTACCCGCGGAGCAAACTAATCCTTGCAATCCGTCTCCATGTGGTCCAAACAGTATTTGTAAAGAATCCAATAATCAGGCATTATGTACGTGCAAACCTGAATACTTAGGTTCACCACCGTCATGTCGACCTGAGTGTCTTGTAAGCTCAGAATGCTCCCAACAAACAGCATGTATAAATCAAAAATGCAAGAATCCTTGTGAAGGAGTATGTGGAAAAAACACTGAGTGCAGAGTTATTAATCACAGTCCAGTTTGCTCATGTCGACCACAACACACTGGTGATCCCTTCAGTCATTGTTATAAAGGTGAGAAACATCTCTTTTGAATGATAAATAGATTGCACATAATTTTGTGATAAATATTTCTAATAAGCTGAGAGAATATTTAATTTGAGTTTGTAAATGAATTCCTTAATACAGCTAAGCAACTATATATAATAGTTGTTATGATTTTTATTCTATGTATAATAATGAGTTTTTATAAAAAATAATTTAACAACGACGTATTTCGAAATCTATCAATCAACTCGCTCTTTATCTAAAAAAAGGTCAAAAGCAAGTAAAAAAAAACAGAAACATGCAAATGTACAAACTAACAGCATAAATACTTTCATACCCGAATTACACAACTTTCATTTAGGTGAAATAGAAGTGGACATGTGGTAGATGTATTTTATGCTATTGACTGGTATAAATAGAAAAATAAAATAATGGATATTGTATGCAGCATCAATGAAATAGTTATATAAAATGAAAAATAAATTTTGTACTTGGTTATCAAAATATTAGTTATATTTTTTCAAAGGGAACCTTTGTTACAATAATATTTTTTGTTTTTCAGTAATTGATTTGACATTTGTTTCGTCTAACCCGTGCTTGCCATCGCCATGCGGACCATACTCACAATGTCGCGATATCAATGGGTCCCCGTCTTGCTCTTGTCTAGAGCGTTATAGTGGAAGTCCACCAAATTGTCGTCCTGAATGTACACTAAACTCGGACTGCCCTAGTGACAAGGCGTGTATCAATGAACAATGTGTCGACCCATGTCCTGGATCCTGTGGTATAAATGCCGAGTGTAGAGTGCAAAGCCACATCTCCATCTGTACTTGTTACGCGGGTTATACTGGCGATCCTTTCAACAGTTGCTCCGTCAAACCATTGAAAGGTAATACAATCGTTAAATATTATAATTAAAAATAAATTACCACTTTATTTATTTTTTTATTATAAAATCTTAATGTGAATTTTATTAACAGATGAAACACCCCAAGACCCCTGCAATCCATCCCCTTGCGGTTCTAATGCAGAATGTAATAATGGCATCTGTACTTGTTTACCCGATTATAATGGTGACCCGTATTTTGGATGTCGACCTGAATGTACTTCAAGTTCCGATTGTCCTTTGGATAAAGCATGTGTGAGGCAGCGATGCATAAATCCATGTGTTAATACATGTGGTGCGGGGGCTATTTGTGAAGTCATTAAACACATGGCTATTTGCACTTGTCCACTCAAAACATCTGGAAACGCTTTCATACAATGTAAACCTGTACAAGGTAATTATTTTAATTTGATGTTATATTTTACCTTATATTACTTAATTTACCTTTTTACTGGAAACGATCCTGATCCACCTGCATCCATCGCAACTCGTCTTCCCAGGTCAGATCTTTACTTCACCTAGTAGTTTTGGTGCGGGTATTCTCATTGCGAAGTCTATCACGCAGAGAATCTCCGAGCATAGTACGTTCCATAAGCTTTGTGGCATTCCTTGGGTTGTAACAATTATGATGATAATGATGACTAATAATGAGGCATTTCACTTTAATCCACAGATATATTAACGCATCATCGCACTTTTTATTCTTAACAGAGGGTAGATGTGTCTGTAAGCAACACCTTCCCCTTACCATCAGGTGGATTGTGTACTCCTTCGATACTGTTATTTCTATAGGAAAACCCTATCGTGATTATTTCAAGATAATTAATTGCTTTACAGAAGTATGGATGGCGAAAATAAGCGATGCACGTTCGAATCCGCTATTCCATTGACGTGAAACCACCTTCTAATACTGGCTAGGGATAGTTAACGACAGTAGTCATATGCTTAATTATTTAAAACTTAGTTGTAATATTTAATATTAATATATGTTAATGTAAATTAAATGACAATATGATTTTCTTCGTGCTTTTGTAATTCCGGATGTATTTTCCACAGATGTAGTTCACAGCAATCCTTGTCAACCTAGTCCCTGCGGACCATATAGCCAGTGTCGTATTTACGGCGAACAAGCTGTTTGTTCATGTCTGGGTGGATATTTGGGTTCACCGCCAGCTTGTCGGCCGGAATGTGTTGGTAGTTCTGATTGTCCAACAGACAAAGCATGTAGCAACCAAAAATGCATAAACCCGTGCGTTGGATCATGCGGTGTTGCATCCAAATGTCAAGTCATTAATCATAACCCTATTTGCACTTGTCCAAACGGACTTACAGGAGATCCATTTACAAGATGCATGCGAATCCGTAAGTTTCAATACATTAATCTAATGTCACATAACTATGATAAATTATGAAAACGTATTACATACTTCTACAATAAAGTAACCATTTATAAATCTCTTTGCTGTTTTCTATTTCAGCTATATCTGATACTGTAGTATCAACCAACCCATGCCAACCATCACCATGTGGACCTAACTCTATATGTCAACCATCTGAATCAGATATTCCATCCTGTCAGTGTATGCCTGACTTTATTGGTTCACCTCCAAATTGTCGCCCAGAGTGTATCGCGAACAGTGAATGCGCTCAGCAAATGGCATGTATCAATCAAAAATGTCAAAATCCATGCTTACAAGCATGTGGGACTAATGCAGAGTGCAAAGTCGTGAGCCATACACCAATGTGTATATGCCCTGAAGGCTACACAGGTGATGCGTCGATGCAATGTTACCCCAACGCTCCTATAATTAATGAACCCATATCTCCTTGTACTCCATCACCTTGCGGACCCAACGCAGAATGCAGGGAACGTTCAGGTGCTGGCGCTTGTTTCTGCATTAATGGTTACTTTGGAAATCCATATGAGGGTTGTCATCCCGAATGTTTAGTAAACTCAGATTGTCAAAGTAATAAAGCGTGTTCAAGAAATAAATGCACTGATCCTTGCCCAGGCACGTGTGCTGCCAATGCCGATTGTCAAGTAGTAAACCATTCTCCAGTATGCACTTGCCGCCCAGAATACACCGGCGATCCATACAAGCAATGTTTCTTCAAACGTATGTACACATTATTTTTAATTTTAAAAAGGAAAATACTATTCCACAATTCGCAAAGATATTTATTAAATTAATTTGATGATTTTAGCTCAATCGGATGTCCAGACAAATCCATGTGAACCTTCTCCGTGTGGTCCGAATAGTCAATGTAGAGTTTTAAACAGTCAAAGTGTTTGCTCTTGTTTGCCGGAGTACCGTGGCTCACCACCGAATTGTAGACCAGAATGTGTAGTGAGTACTGAGTGTCCAGCTGACAAAACCTGCAAAAATCAGAATTGCGTCTCACCGTGTCCCGAGCCTTGTGGTCAAAACACTGACTGCAAAGTAATTAACCACAGTCCAATATGCACTTGCAAGTTAAAATATACTGGAGACCCCTTCTCAAATTGCTACAGAATAACAGGTAACAGATTAACATCGTACTACTATGATGATTATTATTAATAGTACTTTAAAATTACTACAATATATACACATACAAAAGATTTTTTAAATAAGAAATAATAATTAAATATTTGCTAAAATCTATTGACTTATTATAAAAGGTTATAAACCATGTTTTAGCCCAAACAGCACCAACGGCAGAAACCGATCCATGCGTACCGTCACCGTGTGGCCCCAACTCTCAATGCCATAGTCTTCGAGGCATTCCATCCTGTTCATGTTTGCCAAACTTTGAAGGAAGTCCTCCTAATTGCCGACCAGAATGTTCAATAAACGAAGAGTGTTCTAGTAATCTTGCATGCTTTAATCAGAAATGTAATGATCCTTGTAAAGGGTCATGTGGAATCAATGCTGACTGCCACGTTATGAATCACGTGGCCGTATGTACTTGTGCTGAAGGTTTTACTGGTAACGCATTCACCCAGTGTACGCGCGTACCACAAAAAGGTAAATTTACTTTAGTAAATAAAACAATTTCTTAAATTAAATAGATGTTTTCGGTTTTTATGGCGTAAATTTTTTATTTTTTAAATTTCTGACGTTTCAAGTGTTTTAGAAGTGGCATTTCATTACCTAAATACAATATTTGTATGTGCAATTATTGAAATATTGTTATGATGTAATTATGTACTCTTGCCTTTTTAGATGAAGTTGATTTATGTAACCCTTCGCCGTGCGGTCCGAATGCACAATGTACAAACGGAAACTGTCATTGCTTACCTGAATTTCAAGGAGATCCATATATCGGTTGCCGTCCGGAATGCACACAAAATTCAGAATGTGATCATAACAAAGCATGTATTCGAAACAAATGCGTAGATCCTTGTCCTGGAACATGTGCTCGTACTGCTGTTTGTAATGTTATTAACCACATCCCAATGTGTAGTTGCCCTGAGCGTATGACAGGCAATGCATTTTTAGAATGTCGGCCATTTTCAGGTTTGTTGTTATAAACTTTTCAAAAATAGATTACTTTTGTGTATAAAAGGTCTAATGAAACATTTTAATTTTAGAACCTATGAATATTAATCCGTGTCAGCCGTCTCCATGTGGTCCAAACAGTCAATGTAGAAGTGTCAATGGTCAAGCAGCGTGCTCATGTGCTCCTAACAACATCGGCGCACCTCCAACTTGCCGTCCTGAGTGCACAATAAGCGCAGAATGTTCGCTTGACCAAGCGTGCAGCAACCAACGCTGCATTAACCCTTGTATCGGTGCTTGTGGCCAAAATACTGAATGTAAAGTGGTTAACCACAACCCAATTTGTACATGTCCGGTATCATATTCCGGTGATCCATTTTCACGGTGTTTCAAACTTCGTATGTATTCCTATCATTTTTAAAATCATTATAAAAACTTCATCTAGCTTTTTTGTTTACAATAAACATGATATTATATTACAGCCGAAAAATCACCGGAGCCAATCAATGTTTGTACACCTTCACCTTGTGGGCCATATTCCTTATGTAAGGAATTTAATGAAGTACCAACATGCACATGTTTAGAAGGTTATCACGGCCAACCACCATATTGTAGGCCAGAATGCAGCAGCAACGAAGAATGTTCACCTCAGATGTCATGTCTTAATATGAAATGTAAAAATCCATGCGAAGGCACCTGTGGAGCAAATGCTGAATGTAAAGTTGTGAGCCACTCACCAATATGCTTCTGTTCTTACGGTTATACCGGAGATCCTTTCTTTGGTTGTATCCAAGAACCTTTACAAATAGAACCTACAACAAGTCCATGCTCACCTTCACCATGTGGTGCTAACGCAGTCTGTAAAGAAAAAAACAATGCTGGCTCATGCAGCTGCATTGAAGATCATGTTGGTAATCCATATGAAGGGTGTCGGCCAGAATGCGTTGTTAACACCGACTGCTCGTCCAATCGAGCTTGTGTCAACAATAAATGCGTTGATCCTTGCCCTGGCAGTTGTGGTAACAATGCCGTATGTCAAGTGGTAAACCATGCGCCCCTTTGTACATGTATTAACGGATACACAGGGGATCCATTTAGATATTGTATTTACCAAGGTCAGTATTTTTTTCATATTTAAATAATAATTATTGTTTATAATTTTGTGTGAAATGTGATACCACTAAAATCACCAATTCTACCGTGTATAATAATACACAACTTTTCTCTTTTAGAACTACGACCTATATCAAACCCTATCGACGCATGTTACCCGTCACCATGTGGCCCTAATAGTCAATGTAAAGCAGTAAAGGGACAAGCTGTGTGCTCATGTCTAGAGGAATACGTTGGAACTCCACCTAACTGCCGACCGGAGTGCATCACAAGTTCCGAATGCGCTCACGATAAAGCTTGTGTTAACAACAGATGCGTCAATCCGTGTCCTACACCATGTGGGGTTAATACTGATTGCAAGATAGTTAATCATAGTCCAATATGTTCTTGTAGGAACGCGTACACTGGAGATCCATTTACTATGTGTACTCCTATAAGATGTAAGTATTAAATAAGTAATTATTCATCTTATAAAAATTAGTTATAGATATGTTTCGCTCATTTTTGACTGTATTTTTTCAGATGAACTATCACCTGCTACAAATATACCTTGCTTACCATCTCCTTGTGGTCCAAATGCTGAATGTCGAAATATTGGAAATAGTCCATCATGTTCATGTTTACCCGGCTTTATAGGAAGTCCTCCTAACTGCAGAGCGGAGTGTACAATACACTCAGATTGTCCCAGTGATCGCGCTTGTATAATGTCTAAATGTAGAGATCCATGTCCAGGTGCTTGTGGCATATCAGCCACCTGCAGAGTACTAAACCACATACCTATTTGTACATGTGTAGAAGGCTACATTGGTGACCCTTTCACTAGTTGCAAACTGAAACCTCTAGAAGGTAAAAACTGTTTATAAATAAATATTAAAATTATTATCTCTTTATTAAAGTTATGTGAATGTTAATTGTACATTCTATTTTTCTGTTTACAGTGGAGTCAACTCTTGTTGACACATGCATGGATGTTCACTGCGGGTCTAATGCTGAATGTGTTAATGGACAATGTCAATGTTTACCAGAGTTCCATGGAGATCCTTACTTTAATTGTCGACCGGAGTGTGTTTTTAGTACCGATTGCGACAAAGATAAAGCCTGTATAGAAAGAAAATGTATGGATCCATGCATCGGTGCTTGCGGCCAAAATGCAAACTGTCAAGTAGTTAATCATATACCAATGTGCAGTTGTAACAATGGGTTCACAGGAAATGCCTTTATCATATGTAGCCCAATCAGAGGTAAATATATTAACAGTTATTTGTAATATTTTCACCAACATTTTGTCCAAATACATTTCAAATATGTTTTTTCACAACAGAACAACAAGCTGAAAATCCTTGCAATACTGATATATGTGGACCGAACAGCCAATGCAGGGAGATAAATAATCAAGCAGTTTGCTCCTGTTTACCCACGTACTTGGGAGTACCTCCAGCCTGTAGGCCGGAATGCGTTGTTAGTGCAGAATGTCAACAAAATCAAGCTTGTATCAATCAGAAGTGTGTTAACCCATGCATCGGAGCATGTGGGTTAAGAGCAACTTGCGAAGTAATTAATCACAATCCCATCTGCACTTGCCCTTCGGGATATTCTGGCGATCCTTTCATCGAATGTTTATACGTAACAAGTAAGTTTATTTTAGATTATTAGTGATTGTTTTTTTTTTTAAATTATTAGTGATTGTTTTCTTAAGATAAAACATCTATAACCTTATCTAATTTTTAGGCGCACCCCAAATCATCAATCCTTGTCAACCATCACCTTGTGGCCCGAATTCAATTTGTAAAGAAATTAACGGAAGTCCATCATGCACTTGTATGCCCGAGTTTAAAGGTCAACCTCCTTACTGTAAGCCAGAGTGTATAAGCAACAGTGAATGTTCGACTCATCTAGCGTGTATAAACCAAAAATGTAAAGATCCGTGTACACAAGCCTGTGGCACGAATGCGGACTGTCGCGTTGTTAGCCATTCAGCAATGTGTGTTTGTCCACAAGGCTATGAAGGTGATCCATTTACTCAATGTGTCCTCAGAGTAGCGGTCGAAATTTTGACGCCGTGTCAACCTTCGCCTTGTGGACCTAATGCAGTTTGCAAAGAACAAAATAATGTGGGATCGTGCACATGCAGTGATGGTTACTTCGGAAATCCATATGAAGGTTGTAGACCAGAATGTGTCAGCGATTCAGATTGTCCAGGTAATAAAGCCTGTATTGGTAATAAATGCCAAGATCCGTGTCCTGGTACATGCGGATTGTATGCTGACTGCAACACTATAAATCACGCACCCACCTGTGTTTGTAAAGTAGGTTACACTGGTGATCCCTTCCGACGATGCAGTATTATTCTTGGTAAGTAAAGTTTATTAATTGTTATTTATATGTATTTAAACGTAGAAATGTGTTACTGACATTAATATTTTTATAATTGCAGAAGAACCAACATCTGTGAATGTATGTTCTCCAAATCCCTGTGGACCAAATAGTCAATGTCGTGTCGTCAACGATCAGGCTGTTTGTAGTTGCCTATCAAACTACATTGGTCAACCACCATTGTGCAAACCAGAGTGTTTATTAAACTCCGAATGTCCTTCAAACGCAGCTTGCGTTAACCAAAAGTGTATAAATCCTTGCCCCGGCCCTTGTGGACAAAAGGCAGAATGTCGCGTTTTCAATCATAACCCAATTTGCAGTTGTATTACGGGATACACAGGTGATCCATTTACAAGATGCTATATAAAGCCAGGTATGTATACTTAATCTTATCTATTCCTTCATTTATTCGTTACAGCCTTTCAAAAGTCTACTGCTGAACATATTATATCTATCTTACGGCAGTTATTTGCCATAACTGCCATTACTGCTACGCTTGGCAGGTGGGTTGGCATCGCAGTTTCATATAATTATTTTGAGTTGTGATGAGGAATAAGCTGCTGTTGTGATATCTCTTCTTACATTACCTTCTGTCTCCTCTTACGACAGCCACGGGATAATATGGTGAAATGGACTCTTATAAGAATCAACTACATACTTTCTCCATTCTTCATTCTCATTCTACTTTATATTATACCTTTTACGATTTTTAAGTAATCTTACTATTACATTTATTTTAATTATTTCTTAATTTTAGCTACTCAACCAGTGCTGGATGAAACTAGAGACGCTTGTGTTCCATCCCCCTGCGGAATGTACGCTACATGCTTAAATAAAGGAGGTCAAGCTATATGCTCATGTTCGCTTGGTTACTTTGGAAGTCCGCCAAATTGTAGACCGGAATGCGTGACAAATCAAGACTGCATTAGTTCGAAATCATGCATTAACGAAAAATGCGTTGACCCATGCCCTGGATCCTGTGGTCTTAATGCACAATGTTCAGTTATTAATCATGTAGCTATATGTGCATGTCAGGAAGGGTATAAAGGCGATCCATTTACTTACTGCAAAATAAAAACTGTTGAAGGTATGTTTATTACCCATATCAAATAACTATAACTATTATGTATGTGATCACTTTCTTATTTTATTCTTTCTGTATGTATGTATTTACGCACTCGCGCATATTTTTATTTACAGAATCAGTACCAGTTGATCTTTGTAACCCATCACCATGTGGTTCAAATACCAATTGCCGTAATGGAGAATGCTCTTGCCTACCAGATTATCATGGTGATCCATATATCGGGTGTCGGCCAGAATGCACAGTAAGCTCAGATTGTGATAGAAGTAAAATTTGTGTAGGAAAGAAATGTGTAAACCCATGTCCAGATACCTGTGGAAGTAACGCTGTGTGTGAAGTAATAAATCATGTTCCAATGTGTAGTTGTCCTGCAGGCTATACCGGAAATTCTTTTGTGTCTTGCAACATAGTCCAAGGTTCGTAAGCTTGAATACATATTTTAATACCACATTAACACTTATCCTGTTTGTTATTTAATACAAACGCATTTTTCTTTTCATTTTTAGACCCCTTGCCAGCAAACCCTTGTAATCCAAGCCCATGTGGACCGAATAGCCAATGTCGCGAAATTAATAACGTAGCAGTTTGCTCGTGTATTCCTGGATATTTAGGAAACCCTCCGACGTGTAGACCTGAATGTACCACTAGTGCCGAGTGTCCACTAAACAAAGCCTGCAATAATTATAAATGTCTCAATCCGTGCAATGGAGCTTGCGGAGTGAACGCGCATTGTGAAGTTGTGAATCATAATCCAATTTGCTCATGCGCCAATGATTTTACAGGAGATCCGTTCAGTAGATGTATTCCAAGACGTAAGTAAATTTCACAAAATACTTATTTTTTATTTAATATTTTCATAAAGTTATGCATAATTTAAATTAATGTATGTCTTTTTATTTTTAGCTCTTGAACTACCAATTCAAGTTAATCCCTGTGAACCGACACCCTGTGGTCCTAACTCAATTTGTCACACTGTAAATAATTCACCCTCTTGCACATGTTTGCCTGAATTTATCGGAGTACCACCAAATTGTCGCCCAGAATGTACAAGCAACAGCGAGTGTCAAAACCACATGGCTTGCATTAAAAATAGGTGCGGAGACCCGTGTCAAGGGGCTTGTGGGCAGATGGCACAATGCCGTGTTGTAAGTCATACGCCGAATTGCATCTGTCCTCCTGGGTATACTGGAGATCCCTTTATAAACTGCATTCAAAGTATATTATCTCAAGAAATATTATCACCGTGTACTCCGTCGCCTTGTGGAAGCAACGCTATCTGCAAAGAAAAGAATAATATTGGTTCATGTGTTTGTTCGCCTGGCTATTTTGGTAATCCATATGAAGGCTGCCGTCCAGAATGTAGCGTAAATACGGATTGTCCTTCAAACAAAGTGTGCCAACAAAACAAATGTCAAGATCCATGTCCAGGTACATGTGGCACAAATGCGGAATGTCACACAATAAGCCATTCACCAATATGCTCTTGTCTGCGAGGCTATACTGGAAATCCATTCCAAAATTGTGTAATAATTCAAGGTTATTGTTCTTTCGTTAACTTTTGATATTGTTGTTTAATTTACCTACTATAACTTTAATAGTAAATCTTTGTTTATTTTTACTTCTAAACTTGTTTTCCAGATATTGAACGACCGTCGAACCCATGCAGCCCATCCCCTTGTGGTGCGAATAGTGAATGTAAAATATTAAATGAGCAGGCTCTATGCAAGTGTTTGCCAGATTATCAAGGCACTCCTCCTAACTGTAGACCTGAATGTGTCATTAGTTCTGAATGTCCAACTAATAGAGCATGTGTAGCACAAAAATGTATTGATCCATGTGTTGGACAATGTGGGCAAAATACTAAGTGTCAAGTGATAAACCACAGCCCAATATGTACATGTAGAGAACAACACACGGGTGATCCTTTTAGCCGATGTTATCCGATCATTGTTTTAGCCCCATCTCAAGCTGAACAACCAAAACACCCATGTCTGCCTTCACCGTGTGGTCCATATAGTGAATGTAAAGTGATTGATAGCATTCCTTCTTGCACTTGCTTACCTAACTTTATCGGATCACCGCCTAGCTGTCGTCCAGAATGCTTAATAAGTGCTGATTGTCCTAGCGACTTGGCGTGTATTAGTCAAAAATGTAAAGATCCTTGTCCTGGTTCGTGTGGACTGAATGCACAGTGTATAGTGAAAAATCACATGCCTATTTGCACCTGTATTGATAACTACGTTGGCGACGCGTTTACTGAGTGCAAACGAAAAGGTAAATAAATATTTTCAGAAAGGCTTATCTTAATATAACTATTTATTAAAAATTATTCTACGAATATTTTCCACAGATACAAGCATTGAGTTATATGTACTACGTACTAGAGAAGCTATTCCAAACAAAAGATGTACTGATAATACTCTGTATCCGCACTTGCGCGGGAAACAGTAGAGTCGCGCATGTGCAGTTGATATAAACGCGCGAAAATAGTCATAATACATAATTGTTTATTTAGATTGTATTATTAATCTAGTACATTTTTTTTTAATTTTCGTTTATTTTGCATATGTGTTAATTTAATACAAAATTATTAGTAATGCTGCTCCGCACTGCATGAATATCGAAGCCACAATAACAGGTGCATGGTTTGCAGTACAGTTTAGTTGAACATAGTGAATGTTCGGAATGCCATATCTAGTGCGTAGTACGACCGATATAGTTTTTTTTTCGTTTATAAAATAAGTATGAAAACGAGCACACAGTCCACCTGATGGTAAATGGATGCTGTGGTCCATAGTTATCTACATCTATCCTCGATTAGTAATTGAAATGCGTTGTCACTCTGGAGGGCTAAGATGTAATGAACTGAATACTTACCTTGATACCATTTAAAAGGGTTTCTGGATAACTGCACTCACCATACGAACCACAGCAGCATAAACCTGCTATTTTATATATTTTTTCTGAAAGCGTGGTCCTTCCTCGGTCGAACTGACCCATTCGATGTATAACTATAATATTATAGCCGCAACATAGCTTTCCCACGTTAATTTATTTTAAATCATTACATTATTCATTTGAAATCATTTGCCTATAAGCTTCTTTTTTTTTAGAAATTACACACGATGAAATTGATTTGTGTAATCCATCACCTTGCGGGGCAAACGCTATTTGCACTGAAGGCGAATGTTCTTGTCTTCCTGAATACCAAGGTGATCCTTACTTCGAATGTCGGCCGGAATGTGTGCTTAGTTCAGATTGCGCACACGACAAAACGTGCTACAGAAACAAATGCGTAAATCCCTGTAACAGTGGAGTATGTGCCAGCAATGCAGTTTGTGAAGTCATTAACCACGTACCTATGTGTAGATGTCCAGAAAACATGGCTGGTAATGCTTTCGTACAGTGCACTCAGGTTGAAGGTAATAACGTTTTACTTGATTTTTAATTAAAGTATAAATGAAAGCCGAGTTTAAATATTGGAAAATTTATTCCTCACTAATTAATACTTAATTTTGATTTTAGTTGAGAAAACAAGACCCTGCCAACCGAGTCCTTGTGGACCAAACAGTCAGTGTAGAGAAATAAACGGACAAGCAGTGTGCTCTTGTTTAGAAGGTTTCATCGGCCAGCCGCCTTCGTGCAGATCTGAATGTATACTTAGTAGCGATTGTTCGCCTGATGAAGCTTGCAGCAATAGAAAATGTATAAAACCATGTCAAGGAGCATGCGGAGTAGACGCAAAATGTCAAGTTATAAACCATAACCCTATTTGCTCTTGCCCGCCATCTTATACTGGAAATCCATTCGTCAGATGTGTCATGCAAGAGTTTAAACCAGAAATTTTAAATCCGTGTATTCCTTCACCATGCGGTCCTAATTCTGTTTGCAAAGAAACATTAAGTTCTGCTTCGTGTTCATGTCTCGCTGGATTTATAGGCGCACCACCTTACTGTAAACCAGAATGTATCAGTAATACTGAATGTCCGACAAACAAAGCTTGTATAAATGAAAAATGTGTTGACCCTTGTATCGGAACATGTGGGTCTAATACTAATTGTCATGTTATCAGCCACTCGCCGTCATGCGCTTGCTTGCCAGATTACACGGGAGATCCTTTCATAGAATGTCTTAAAATAGAATTTATTCAAGAAACCTTAACCCCTTGTCAACCATCACCTTGTGGTGCAAATGCTGTTTGTAAAGAATTTAATGGAGCCGGCGCCTGTGCTTGCCTACCAGATTTCCATGGCAATCCTTATGAAGGTTGTCGCCCTGAATGTGTTATAAATACTGACTGTCCGTCAAGCAAAGCATGTCTTCAGAATAAATGCCAGGATCCATGTCCCGGAGCATGTGCCTTAAATGCAATTTGCCAAGTAGTAAATCACGCACCGTCGTGTTCATGCATCCGCGGTTACTCTGGAGATCCATTTAGACACTGCTCTCCAAAAGGTATGCAAAATACATATTTTATTCAACACTAAAATTTGGAATTTATAATAGCGCATTTCTCAATTAATAATGTAATTTAAAATAAGATATATATATTTCTGTAAATATTTATTTTTAATCTTAGTATTTTGTTAGTATAGCATAAAATGTTTCAAACTTAAGCAAGATCCCAAAATCAAAATCTATAAATAGCACTGTTAATATTTATAAGTTTTAACATTATTTTGTTTAATTGCAGACGAAGAAAAACCTATTAATGTTTGTCAACCGTCCCCATGTGGTCCGAATAGTCGCTGTCAAGAAGTAAATAGTCAAGCCGTGTGTTCCTGTCTAGCTAATTACATCGGTTCGCCTCCTGGATGCCATCCGGAATGCACAATAAGCACAGAGTGTCCCAAAAACAAAGCGTGTATAAACCAAAAATGTGAAGACCCTTGTCGCGACGCTTGTGGATTAAATACAGAATGCCGTGTTATAAATCATAGGCCCATATGTACATGTTTATCACGCTACACTGGAGATCCACTCACAAGATGCTACCCTATGCCACGTACGTATTAAAATGAAATCATCAATTATATTAAAGCGTAATGTACTCTCATGTTTTATAATAAACATAGGCGGGATTTTCATAATTTAAGTTATATATTTAGTGCAATGTAGATATTTCAGTATCAATTTAGTTACTCGTATAGTTCTATTGAAACAAAATATAAAGCAAAATATAAGCAGTCGATTTTTTTAATATAATGGTGCTTTGAGATGTAGTTTTAGAACAAAATTTAATAAATTTGCAACGCAAAAAAATTTAACGCGCCCTGTTTGTATACAAGAATATAATCAGATCCGGCATTTTCATATTTTGTTTATTTTAGCTCCTGTTGCTAATGCTGAATTAGAACCATACAAGAATCCCTGTTTACCATCACCTTGCGGTCCTAACTCCATCTGTCAAGAGGTTGGAGACATACCGTCGTGTACATGTATGGCCAATTACATCGGAAGCCCACCGAACTGCAGACCGGAATGTACACTGAATTCAGATTGCCCTTCGTCGCAAGCTTGTATACATCAAAAATGCAGAGATCCCTGCCTAGGTTCATGTGGTATAAACGCACTGTGCACTGTCTCTCGACATACACCTACTTGCACTTGTCCAGAAGGCTATACTGGTGATGCCTTCAACGTTTGCAATCTGAAACCACCTGGTATGTATGGCGTTTAAAATCACAAATAATAAATTTAATAATATTTAGTATTTCATATTGTATTTAATAAAAATATAATTGATATAAATAAGAGAATGACACACACAATTAGTAAAATAAGTATTGTTGCAGTTAAAGACGAAGTTTACGATAAATGTAATCCATCGCCGTGCGGAACAAACGCAGTATGTAAAGATGGTACATGCACTTGCATTCAAGAACACGAAGGCGACCCTTACATTGGTTGCCGACCTGAATGTGTACTGAGCACGGACTGCCCAAGAAATAAGGCGTGTGTAAGAAACAAATGCGTGGATCCGTGCACAAATACATGCGCTGCAACAGCTGTTTGCGAAGTCATTAACCACGTACCTATGTGCAGCTGCCCTCAAGGAAAAACAGGAAATGCTTTCTATAGTTGCGATCCAATAACGGGTATATACTATTTTTAATTTCAATGCATAATATATTTATTGAATAATGCAAGTTATAAATATTTTGTGTATTTTCATTATAGTGCCACTTGTGACAAATCCATGTCATCCTTCTCCTTGCGGACCTAATAGTCAATGCAGAGAAATAAATGGACAAGCTGTATGTACATGTGTGTCAGGATATATAGGCAGTCCGCCATCTTGTCGACCAGAATGTGTCGTTAGCTCTGATTGCCCACCTAACAGAGCCTGCAGTAACCAGAAATGCATAAATCCATGTGAAGGCTCGTGTGGAGTTGAAGCAAAATGTGAAGTTATAAAACATAACCCAATTTGCACGTGCCCACCCAAATATACAGGAGATCCTTTTGTAAGATGTGTGCCGTTTAGTAAGTATCTTTATTTTAAATGTTTTTAGAATTACTGACACATGCCCATGAAATGATTGACTATTTATAATATGATAATATACTAAAGTTTTATAAATAACTAATTTATTTTGAAAAAGCTCTCTTTTTATCGATTATATATAATCAATAACTTCTTTAAATTATTTAGGGGCTCCCTTAGCCGACGTATCTCCATGCTCTCCATCTCCATGTGGCCTTAATGCGATTTGTAAAGAAGTATCAGGATCGCCTTCATGCGCTTGCTTACCAAACTTCTTTGGATCGCCACCATATTGTCGACCAGAATGCTCTTCAAACAGTGAATGCCCCTCTGACAAAGCATGTATAAATCAAAAATGTAAAGATCCTTGTACAAATGCATGTGGACTAAACGCACAATGTAAAACAATCAGTCACTCCCCGATGTGCTTCTGTGAGTCAGGGTATACAGGAGATCCTTTCAGCCATTGCAAGCTTCAACAAGAATCGATTCCAGAAAAAACGACTCCTTGTATTCCATCACCATGCGGTCCTAATGCTGAATGCAAAGAACGTGAATCAGTTGGTTCCTGTAGTTGTATATCTGAATATATTGGAAACCCATACGAAGGATGTCGACCTGAATGTACAGTAAATACCGACTGTGTTCAAAATAAAGCGTGTATTCGAAATAAATGCCAAGACCCGTGTCCAGGTACTTGCGGAGTTTTCGCCACATGTACAGTTGTCAACCATTTACCCTCTTGCTCCTGTCCATCTGGATATACAGGAGATCCGTATCGCCAATGCGATCTCTTAAAAGGTTAGTTTATCATTTTATTGACCAAAATTTTCAAATGACTTCATATAAATAAACCAAACTAATACGTATGGTAATATTTTCAGAGTCATCACCAGCACCAGTGACCCCATGTGTACCAAATCCGTGTGGTCCTAACAGTGTATGCCGTCCAGCAAACGGACAAAGTGCATGCTCATGTATGGCTGGCTATATAGGTTCTCCGCCTGGATGTCGACCGGAATGTACAATTAGTTCAGAGTGTCCGTCTGACAAAGCGTGTGTTAACCGTAAATGCGTAGATCCATGTCCTAATCATTGCGGGACGAACACAAATTGTAGAGTTATAACACATAGCCCAATATGCTCTTGTAGACTAGGATTTACAGGAGATCCATTCACCCGTTGTTATAAACTACGTAAGTCTAGTAATTTTACATATATATTTTATTTTATCAATTGTATTCTTTTTAATTTATTTTTAACGGCTTATTAATTGTTTTAGCTTTAGTACAACATATCCCTGAACCGCAACAAAATCCATGTTTACCGAATCCTTGTGGAGAAAACGCTCTTTGTCGAGACATTAATGGTTTCCCTTCATGTAGTTGCATGCCTGATTTCGAAGGTCTTCCTCCAAACTGTAGGCCACAGTGCGCAATTAATGAAGATTGTCTATCAGACAAGGCATGTATAAACATGAAATGTAAGGATCCATGCCCTGGTAGCTGCGGACAAAATGCAGTTTGCACAGTATTTAACCATTACCCAGCGTGTACTTGTTCTCAAGGCTATACAGGTGATCCTTTCACCCGCTGTTATGTAATTGAACCAGTTCACGGTATGTATAACGTAATTATCCAATAAATTTGTTGTTACTTTCGTTATCTAAAAAAATATTGGTAATATGATTTTTAGAAGAGTTGCCGCTCGACCCCTGTAACCCATCGCCGTGTGGATTCAACGCTTTGTGCTCAAATGGTGTCTGTACATGTTTACCTGAATATAAAGGAGATCCATACGTAGGATGTAAACCAGAATGTGTTACAAATATGGACTGTGCATTAGACAAAGTGTGCTCAAGGAACAAATGCGTCAACCCATGTCCTGGAACGTGTGCCTCGAATGCAATTTGCACTATTTACAACCATATTCCTATCTGTACTTGTCCAGAAAATATGTCTGGCAATGCTTTCACCGAGTGCCATATGAACGAAGGTAAGTTTTGTTTGCATATTTAATAAATTTATTGTCAACATCATTACAGCTTTTCACAAGTCCATGTCTGAACAAAAGAATGTCACATAGCACGGTCCTGAGCCATCTGCATTCGTCGACTCGATCTACATCCAGGTCCTCACTCCATCTAGTGGCCTACACTTTGCTTACCGGTGTGAGGCTGCCACTCGAGAACCTTTTCTCCTCATCAGTTATCGATTCTTTGAACTATAATGCAGGCCCATTGTTCCTTCAATTTACAAATCCGTTATTTATTACATTAGAAGTATACAATTCAAAATAAACATCTTCAGAAATAAGAAGAGATTCTAGGCCAATAGTAGAATGTGAAAATATTTTTACTTTGACTTTGTTGACTTATTATACAAGTATACAAATTACATTTTATGCCATCAATTATATTTTAAATATTTTTCGCAGTTGCTGAAGTTCATCCGTGCAACCCAAGTCCATGCGGACCAAACAGCCAGTGTCGTGAAATAAATAATCAAGCAATTTGTTCTTGTTTACCCTCATTCATTGGCACACCACCATCCTGTAGACCTGAATGTACAATAAGTGCCGAATGTCCTCCAGACGAGGCTTGCAACAATCAAAAATGCATAAATCCGTGCAAGGGTAGTTGCGGGTATGGGGCAAGATGTGAAGTTATCAACCATAACCCTATTTGTTCATGTCCTCCTCAACACACAGGCGATCCGTTTACACGCTGTATTCCAATAGGTAAGCAAAGTGTACTGTTTTTGAGTAATCGTTAGATTTGTATTATTTAGAATTTCACGATCTCCCAAAACATAATTTTGAAATAATTACTTTTTCTTTACAAGTTTCTACGCCACTGCCACCAATAGACCCATGTACACCGTCACCATGTGGCCCATATTCATCATGCAAAGTTATCGGGGAGTCACCATCCTGCACATGTCAAACCGCTTATATCGGCGCTCCGCCAAACTGCCATCCAGAATGCAGCAGTAATTCTGAATGTCCTACTAATTTGGCATGTGTTAACCAGAAATGTAAAAATCCATGTCCTGGTAGTTGTGGATATAACGCTGACTGCAAGATTGTAAGCCACGCGCTGATTTGTTCCTGTCCATACGGGCAGACTGGAGATCCACTTATTTCGTGTAATCCATTAAAAGGTACTTTGAACATAATTACTGGTAGTCTTAACATTCGTAAAGTTATTGTAAACATAAAAGTAATTTACTTCATTGTATTCTCCTTTTACAGATACAATTATAGAGTATAGTTCGCCATGCGATCCTTCACCTTGCGGACTAAATGCCATATGCACAGAAAGAAATGGGGCTGGATCTTGCAAATGTGTTGATTCCTATGTTGGCAATCCATATGAAGGCTGTCGCCCAGAATGTGTTATAAACAGCGATTGCCCCCCGACATTGGCATGTATTCAAAATAAATGTAAAGATCCTTGTCCAGGTATTTGTGCTCTTAATGGAATTTGCCAAGTCATTAACCATCTCCCTTCATGTTATTGTCCACCCGGACTTACGGGAGATGCATATTCCTTCTGCAAAGAATATGAAGGTTAGTTGTTTAACTTTCTAATTATTTATTACAAACTTTTTATTAACTTGCTTAGGTACTTCATATGATCTTTCGGTTCGAAAATTAAAATCGATTTTTGAAGCACTGGCTGACATCAAATTGGGCTGAAATTTGGCGTACTTACGTAACTTTGATATCAATGCAATATTGAATGCCTATAAAGGACTTTATAAAAGCTTGCTTTAAACAAAGTTTATATTTTAATAAAGTATTTTTAGTATTAATTCCTTTTTTGATCAAAATTTATTTCAGAAGTTGTTAAGGCTACACCTTGTACACCATCGCCCTGCGGTCCTAACAGTCAATGTCAGGAAGTAAATTCTCAAGCTGTATGCAGCTGTCAGACTGATTTCATTGGCACTCCGCCAAACTGTCGACCCGAATGTACAATTAATAGCGAATGCGTCAGCGATAAAGCTTGTAAAAATCGTAAATGTGTCGATCCATGCATTAATCAATGTGGAAGAAATGCTAATTGCAGAGTTATAGCTCATAATCCAATTTGCTCGTGTCAAGAACAATTTACTGGCGATCCATTCACTAATTGCGTGCCAAGTACGTATCTACAGTTTCTCCTATCAAATATACTTTGTACATGACATGACAAGATAATAATATTTTTAATATTTTTCAGTAATAGTATCTATATCAACGGTAGCACAAGAAGTCAATCCGTGTGTACCTTCACCATGCGGACCAAATGCATTATGTCAGGAACATAAAGGCACTGCGCGGTGCACATGTCTACCAAACTATATAAGCACTCCACCTCGATGTAGGCCAGAATGTACAGTCAACTCTGAATGCAATGCGATAATGGCATGTATTAACAACAAATGTGTCGATCCCTGTCCGGGAGCTTGCGGCAATAATGCTCAGTGCCACGTTAACAATCATATGCCTATATGTTCGTGTGTACCTGGCTACACCGGAGATCCATTCACAAATTGTCTTCCAATGCGGGGAGGTAATAGCTTAAATATGTTATTATTTCTATACCTAATGCGTTGTTTATTATTTAAAATATAATATATAATAAATATACACAAGAAAGCTATTTTAGCTATTAATTGAAATATTGTGGTTTTGTTTCAACTGACAAACTTATTTTAGAAGCTGAGCCGGTCGATCCCTGCCATCCTTCCCCATGCGGTCCAAATGCAATTTGTGAAGATGGTGCTTGTAAATGTTTACCCGAGTACCAAGGAGATCCTTATTTCGGTTGCAAACCGGAATGCATACTTAATTCAGACTGTTCACGAGACAGGGCATGTATAAATAATAAATGTAGCAATCCATGCACCGGAACTTGTGGAACCGATGCAATATGTGAAGTCATAAATCATATACCTATGTGTTCATGTCCGTCGGGAATGACTGGATCTCCAATGTTTTATTGCACTAAAATAAAAGGTAAGTGTATTAGTTTGCGATCTTGTGTTTCTCTTCATGATTCCAATAAAACGGTATTAAATTGTTTGTTTTATCACTAGAAACGTCAACCCCAGAAAACCTATGTCAGCCATCACCTTGCGGCCCAAATAGTCAATGCAGAGAAATAAATGGGCATGCTGTATGCGTATGCATTCAAGGATACACTGGCAGCCCACCTAATTGCCGCCCTGAATGCACTGTCAGCTCTGACTGCAAATTGAACGAAGCTTGTTCCAATCAAAAATGTATTAACCCATGTCCTGGTGCTTGCGGAAGAAACACTAACTGTCTTGTTGTTAACCATAACCCAGTGTGTAGTTGCTTGCCTGGGTATTCTGGAGATCCATTTTCAATTTGCCAACCGATACGTAAGTATTCTACAAATTAATGTTACTTTTATAAACACATACATTCAGCTAAATTATTTACTGTTTCATTAATTTCTTGCAGCTGCCACACCGCCAATCACAGTTAATCCATGCTTACCTTCCCCTTGTGGACCAAATTCTCAATGCATTGAAAATGGTGACAAAGCAGATTGTAAATGTTTATCAGATTTCATTGGCGCACCACCTAACTGTCGTCCCGAATGCACAAGCAATTCAGAATGTTCTCCTATCACGTCATGTATAAACAGAAAGTGCAGAGATCCATGTCTAGGTTCATGTGGAATTAACGCCGAATGTAGAGTAGTGAGTCACACGCCCATATGTTTGTGTCAAAATGGCTACACTGGGGATCCTTTCATACATTGCAGCATACAAGTGGCTTTTGCAATACAAGAACGTCCTACACCTTGCGTACCTTCTCCTTGTGGTACTAATGCAGAATGCAAGGAACAAAACAACGTCGGATCGTGTACGTGTCAACCCGGCTACTTTGGAGATCCTTACTTGGCGTGTAAACCTGAATGCTTAATCAACTCTGATTGCCCTTCAAACCAGGCATGTTACCAAAACAAATGTCATGACCCTTGCCCTGGCACATGTGGTATTAACGCAATATGCAACGTAGTTAATCACATCCCCACTTGCAGCTGCGTCGACCAACATTATGGTGATCCATATAAAATATGTACATTCAAAATATATGGTAAGGCATTTTTATATTTCATAAACAAATTGACGCGAGTTTACACGTTCTTTTTTACATATAAAACTATTAAAATTATTAGATATATGACAATAATATACATATATACCTTTTTTTCAGAAGATAATTCTGACCCTTGTAATCCATCGCCATGTGGTCCTAATAGTCAATGCAAAAATAAAAATGGATTGGCGATATGCACTTGCTTGAGTAACTACCAAGGATCGCCCCCTACCTGCCGACCGGAGTGTCTGACCAGTTCTGAATGCCCCCTTGACAAAACCTGTGAGAACTTTAAGTGTATATCACCTTGTCCTAAGGGCTGTGGTATTAATACTGAATGTAGGGTCATTAAGCATAATCCAATTTGCACATGTAAACCTAAATATAGTGGAGATCCATTTTCTGTTTGCTACGCTGTCGTTGAAACATCACCTATAATTATGGAACAAGTCAATCCATGCGTACCATCACCCTGCGGATTGAACGCCGAATGTCGTGATGTCGGTGGTATTCCTTCTTGCACATGTCGAAACGGATTTCTTGGAAGCCCACCAAATTGCCAGCCTGAGTGCGTGGTAAATACTGACTGTAGCAATGATAAAGCCTGCATAAATATGAAATGTCAAAACCCATGTCAAGGTTCTTGTGGAGTGGATGCTTTGTGTAATGTGATTAATCATGGACCTGTCTGTTCTTGCCCAGTCGGTTACCAAGGCGATCCATTTGTGAGTTGTCGCATGAAACCACAAGGTAAATATAATATCTAACCTACGACAGTTATGTTTTTGAATCCATCCACACCATAAAAAAAATTATCAACTGTACGTTGCAGATATTTATACAATTTTTTTTCACTTGCAGAATTACCTCAGAAAACTGACCCTTGCCATCCTTCACCGTGTGGCTCCAACGCTCAATGTAATAACGGTGTTTGCACTTGCCTGCCTGAGTACTATGGAGATCCGTATTACAGCTGTCGACCCGAATGTGTTCTCAGTTCTGACTGCTCGCCTGATAAGGCATGCATACAGTTTAAATGTATGAATCCATGTCGAGATATGTGTGGAGAGAACGCTGAATGTAACGTATACAATCACGTCGCTGTATGTAGTTGTCCAAGTGGTATGACGGGCGATGCTTTTGTACGGTGTGCTAAAGTAGACAGTACGTATTAATTAATATATTTAATATAATATTGTGAATACAATAGCCGTTTAAATAAAATTATCATTTAATTTCAGAACCGATAACCAGGCCCTGTGAACCTTCGCCATGCGGGCCAAATAGCATATGCAGGGAAGCACAAGGTCAAGCTACTTGTGCATGTATAAACGGTTACGTAGGCAATCCACCAAACTGTAGACCAGAGTGTATTCAAAGCTCAGATTGTTCGCCATCTCTCGCTTGCATTAATAGAAAATGTCAAGATCCTTGTCCTGGTTCGTGTGGACATAATGCCATTTGCAAAGTTTATAATCACAATCCTGTGTGCACATGTCCGTCCAAACTTACCGGATCGCCATTCACCCATTGCTATGGTAAATACACTTTTTAATTTTACCTTAGGTTTAGATGATAAAAACCAGTCCCTAAACCCCTCTCAGAAATGAGATAATATAACATATCATTTATTTTTGCAGCTCAAATATTAGACGAAACACCGTTAAATCCTTGTGTACCGTCTCCATGTGGACCTAACAGCATTTGTACACCTGCAGCGAACAGAGATTCGCCAATCTGTTCCTGTCAACCAACATTCGAAGGATCGCCACCGAACTGTCGTCGAGAATGTACAACAAGTGAAGAATGTTCCACAGATAAAGCATGTATTAACTATAAATGCAGGGATCCTTGTCCCGACTCATGTGGTTCACAAGCAATATGCACTGTTCGTCTGCATACAGTTATGTGTTCATGTCAAGAAGGATACACTGGTGATCCATTCACTGCTTGTGTCCCAAAAATGCAACAAATAGAAACAACAGATCCCTGTGACCCATCGCCATGCGGTGCCAACGCGCGATGTAAACTTTCAAGAAATGGCATAGCTGCCTGTGTATGTGAGCAAGGATACTTTGGAAATCCGTATGAGTTTTGCAGGCCTGAATGCGTTTTAGACAACGATTGTCCATTTGATAAAGCTTGTCGTAAAAATAAATGTGAGGATCCATGTCCTGGAGTTTGTGGAGCAACAGCGACGTGTCATGTCATTAATCATATACCTTCGTGTAATTGCGCGGCGGGATACACTGGAAATCCATATCAATATTGTCACATCATAATAAGAGATCCAGGTATTTATAAATAAAAATAATTTAACGAAATTAGAATAATGAATAATTAGAATATTTTTATTTTAGTGCAGAAACGAAATCACAAGCGATTTTTTTACGTGGTAGAGCCACACTGCAGCTATTATGGCTGTAACATGAATGGGTCGACTCGACCGGGGAAGGACCACGCTCTCACAGAATAAAAGCGTAAAATAGCAGCTTAATGCTGCTGTGTTTCGTATGGTGAGTGTAGAGAACCGGAGACCCGTTTTACTGGAATCGAGGCATTTCATCTTAGTCCTCAAGGGTGACAACGCATCTGCATTTTGATTCTTAAGAGAGGTTAACTATAGATGTCTATGGGCCATAGCATCCACTTACCATCAGGTGGACTGTGTGCTCGTTTATCACCCTTATCCTATAAAAAAAAGATGCATTAAAATTTCAAAACCTTTCAAATTCAATTTATATTTTTATTATGTTCTTTTTGTAATTTTATTTTACTATACTAGTTTTATTTTTATTATGGCTTTCGATAGATGGTGATATAAGCGTCTTGTGAACGCCATACGTTGCTTAGTACGACAACAGACATCAGCCTCAAAGGCGCAAAAAGTCTGGCTGGTACGAGTACAGCGATCATCAATCCACCAGCGAAGCGTAACGATTAAGGCATACCTCATTACAACGTGCGAGGCTAAGGCCAATAGTAAATTATTATACGTATGTATGTACCTCATTTAAATACAAATATGCTGCTCTTTTTTCAGAACCCACGACCAACAACCCATGCACACCAAACCCATGTGGAAGTAATTCAGTATGCAAGAGCAATGATGGTTTGGTGTCTTGCTCATGTTTGCCCGGATTCTTCGGCACTCCCCCCAGTTGTCGACCAGAATGCACTGTAAACTCTGAATGTGAATCAACTAAGAGCTGTGTGAACCAGAAATGCGTTGATCCCTGTATTGGTGTCTGCGGACAAAATGCTGAATGCAGAGTTATAAATCATTCACCTATTTGTTCATGCCGTAAAGGTTTTGAAGGGGACCCATTCATTAGGTGTGCAGCTATTGAAAGTAAGTATATCATCTGGCCATAAAACTAAAATCTAAGAAAATATTAGTTTTAAATTATGTTCTTTCTCATCTTCTCAAAAATGTAAGGAGGCCTGTGCTCAGCAGTCAGACATAAATAGGTTGTAACTATGGAATATCAAAGGCTGTAAATTTACTCTACAAAATGTTCTAGCGAATAAAAAAATATTATTCAATATTGTTTTTATTATATAGTTATGGCAATTTATATATAGTAAACCTCAAACCAACTCACGAAACCAAATATTCTGAATATTAATCGTTCTTAGGCCTTAAATATAGAATTTGTAAAATGGCATTGTTATGTACCATCTCTCATAAAACAAATATACTGTGTAAATGACTTTAATCGGTCAAGTCGTTGAAAAATTACACGAGCACTAACAGACGCACTCACGATTATAATTATATAAAGATTAATTGAAGTAAGAAGTCGGCCATTATTGACAATGCAGCTTTGCTATTTTGACGGAAGTTGATTCATACTACAGATTTTGAAAACCTTGTAGACGGAAATCTATGAATTCGTTAAAGGTGCTTTTCACCATCCCATTGGAGTTAAAATTTGAGAAAATAATTCGATTTAAAAAAAATGGAAATCATTACAGACTAGGTTTAATAAGTATGGTGGATGACGAAGAGTTTGCAGTCGATTTTCGAATATTTTCATGGAAACGTAGTGAACTGAACCAATTCGCAAATCTCGATTGTTTGATAAAAACCTTTTCGTCCTTGTTTACAATTATTGTTATTATACCTCTGCAGTAACTGTTGTGACATATCTTAAATAACTATTGTAAATGTAATTGCGTTCGCTGTTTGTGAATAATGCCGTAGATCCTTTTGACTTAATCTTACAAGACCTTTTCATCACAAATGAGAATTCGCTTTAGATTTACAAATTTCACGAAAACGTTACGGCGGCAACATTAATAAAATTTGATATGGCATTAATTTGAACTTCAATCCAACTTTATAGAAAAAAAAATTAATTAATTCCAACTTCATAGGTAGGTATCAAAATTCCATTTTAGTCAGTGTGTTCCCATTGTAGCCGTTAAGCGGTGTAACAATACCCACTACCCCATATTGTCCCGTGGGCGTCTTAGTTGATGACAGAGGTAAACAAATCTGACGGGCAGCAGTGTCTTCCCAATAATGACTAAAAATAAAAACTGCAGTTGCCAACCCGCTTGCCAAGCGTAGCAACTATGGTAAATATCCCCACTATGAGGCAATCAATGGGGAAGGCCTTTGTTCAGCAGTGGGCTAACGTTCTTGTTCTAATAAGAAAACGCTTAATTCATAGGTAACATTAACAGCAACTATGCGTTGAATGAGGGAAACCTCAATGTTTGAGAAACAAATTATATTTTGAAGATATGTGAGCACAGGTACTATGTAGGTGCAATTGGAGAAGTGTAGGGGAGTGTTTCTCTGTTTTATTACGGTTTCATAAAATGAAAGATATAAAAATATTGGCAGAATGTTTATAAAAAATAAAAATAAGAAATAAGAGCATTTGCCCTTAAGAGACGTTTACAGACTATATTATTATAAGGTTTATATTATTTGTAGCCCCGATAAAAGTTATCGTAAACATTTGTTAATATATTTTTTTTTGTAGAAGTGCAATCTGCTGAAATAAATCCGTGCGTACCGTCACCATGTGGCCCGAACTCTTTGTGCCAAGCAATAAATAAAGTTCCGACGTGTACTTGTATAGAAAATTATATGGGAACGCCTCCAAACTGCAGGGCAGAATGTACAGTTAATTCCGAATGTCCAAGTACATTGGCTTGTATAAATCAACGATGCCGCGATCCATGTCAAGGATCATGTGGGCTGCAAACAGTATGTCAAGTTCACCAGCATGCCGCTATTTGCAGTTGCATTGAAGGATACACTGGTAACCCATTCCAGAGTTGTTATGTCAAAGAAAGTATAGGTAAATATGCTTGATTTTTTTCTTATAAATCGTTTTTATAACTATAGATTACTAATGTTAGTACAAACTTGCAGATCTCGTGCCAACAGAGTATGATAAGTGCAATCCGAGCCCGTGCGGGGCAAACGCAGACTGCAATAACGGACTGTGTACTTGTAAACCAAATTTCTTCGGCAATCCTTATTTGAGTTGTCGGCCTGAATGCTCTCATAATTCCGACTGTGCTCTGAATTTAGTGTGCATCAATAACAAATGTATGAATCCATGCACCAACTTATGCGGCCAAGGTGCCCTGTGCGAAGTGTATAACCATATTCCTATGTGCTCATGTCCACCAAATACGACTGGAAATGCGTTCTTCTCTTGTACTGCAATTACAGGTACAATTATATTCAGCCCTATTTTATTGTTTTTATCATATAAGTATAATACATACACAATAAATTTTTTAAATTTCGTAAACTTCTATTCTGAAAACAAAACAAAATAATTTAATACATATTTTATTCAAAGTGTGATCATCTTTTTTTGAATTATTCTTATTAATTCATATATTTGATAAATAAAACAAAATATATTAAAATTTAAAAACGCGCAATAAATTTTTCCAGTTCAACCAGAAATGAAGAACCCATGCATGCCATCACCTTGTGGTCCATACAGCACATGTCGAACTATGAACGAACAAGCAATTTGCTCGTGTTTAATTGGATACGTGGGATTACCACCTTCATGTAGACCTGAATGCTTAATGGATTCTGATTGCACAAGTCTAATGTCTTGCTCTAATCAAAAATGTATTGACCCCTGCCTAGGAACTTGTGGTCTTAATGCGGAATGCAAAGTACATTATCATAAAGCTATCTGTTACTGCCGAAGTGGTTATACTGGTGATCCTTTCACTCAATGCACATTTATAATACCAGGTATTTAAAATTTCGTTTTTATTTATTAAAATTAAAACTAAAACTAAAAATTAAAATAACGCTATTCATTATAGAAACTAATTTTATTCCTTCATCTTCAGATGAAATCCCACCAATAAAGTCTGCATGCGAACGATCTACTTGTGGTCCATATTCAATATGCAAAGTTGTAGCAAATTCACCGTCATGTTCATGTATGCCAGAATATGTCGGATCACCACCTTATTGTCGCCCAGAATGTATATCAAATAGCGACTGCAGTTTTGATAAGTCTTGTATAAACAATAAATGTGCAGATCCATGTGTTGGGGCTTGTGGTATTAATGCTATCTGTAGAGTTATAAGCCACTCGCCGCAGTGCAGGTGTGAACCAAACTATGAAGGTGACGCATTTGATCAATGTCATCCTATAAAAGGTGTGTATAATCAACTATTTTTAAATATGACAAAGTTCTTGTGAATAATATTTTGATCTGTTCCAACACAACTTATTAACAATTTATTATTTTGCAGTTGCAAATTACCCATCCGATTCGAATAAACCCTGTTCACCGAATCCTTGCGGTCCAAATGCGATATGTCAAGAGCGTAACAATGCCGCTAGCTGCACATGTATCAGTGGGTACTTTGGAGAGCCTAACGAAGGGTGTAGACCAGAATGCGTAATTAACTCAGATTGCTCTGATCATCTTGCATGCATAAACAACAAATGTCAAGATCCATGTCCAGGATTATGTGGCTTTAACGCTCGATGTCAAGTGGTCAATCACGTGCCTAAATGTATTTGCATATCCGGATATGTTGGTAATCCCTATGATAGTTGCCGTATAATAGAAGGTAAGAATATGAAATGAAAATTAGTTACCCTATGTCAATGGGCAAAGGCAATGTCATTGTCACGTGTATTGTTAAAGTGTCGGCATCGGCCAAATTCTCACGGTGAAAACTTATTTCAGCCCAAATACATGATCTGAAACAGATAAAATTCGAGTCAATATAGTATTAATCCTAACAAATAACGGTCAATAAATTCAAAATGTTTAACAACTTACCACAATATTAGAGAGTCATACTCTATTTTCTTTTTTATAAGAAACCCACCGAAAGTGATATGATGATTTTGTGATTTTTGTTTGCACATTACACTTAAATTACTTCCAATTCTGATCACACATCCTGCATAAAAACTCAAAATAATGAATTAATTTATAGCCAAATACATACAGAGTAAACATAATACGAAATCTGTACATACCCAGTGGAAATGCCTCCAAAGAAACGGAAGTATTCTGAAGCGATAATAACTGCATTTAAGCCAAAAGCAATTATTAATATTAAAATCTAAACGTAATAAATTAGAATTAATTTACTTTGTAACGAATTTTTTAATACTCAAAAAAGCACCTGTTATTGATTTTCAAATGCTTACATTTATTTACGTTTTTTCTTTTCAATTAAAATAAGCTTAATGCAATGAAGGCTAATAATCTTCCGCTCACCAGATGTCACTAGTCGACACCGAGTTTTTTGTCACACAATGTCATTTAATTGAAAAGTTAGTTTTAAATAAAAATTTGCCAGTTTCTAGAGTATTATATTATAATACACGAAACAATGCCTCAGTAGTTTGCTCTTTAATGTTTTTTTGCACATTTTAAACTCTTTTTTTAATTCTTCTACTCTTACTAATATCTGTGCTTTTGTTTATCTATTTTTAATATAATTAATATAAAATATAAATAACAGTACAGAAAGAAACATGAACCTTAATATTTTTAGAACAAATTTTTTACGTGTTAGAGCCATGCTACAGCTATATTGTGGTTGCAGCACGAATGGGTCGGTTCGACCGGGGTAGGACCAGGCTCTTACAGAATACCAGCGTAAAATAGCAGCTTAATGCTTTTTTTATAGAAGAGGGGGCCAACAAGCATACGGTTCACCTGATGTTAAGTAACTACCACAGCCCATGAACAACCGCAACACCAGGGGAATTACAGGTGCGTTGCCGGAAATTACTGTTGTGTTTCGTATGATGAGATTAGAGAACCGGAGATCCTTTTTACTGAAACCAAGGCATTCCATCTCAGTCCTCTGGGCTGGCAGCGTATCTGCATTTTGATTCTTAATTGAAGATAAATGTAGATGTCAATGGATCACAGCATCCATTTACCATCTGGTGGACTGTGTGCTCGTTTGTCACACATATTCTATAAAAAAATAACTTCCCCGCTGTGAAATCTGTCAAATATTACACCTCACTTTTAAGTGGCGTGGCCCTGGTCTCAGAAAAAGTCGTGGATAACCTCATTAACTTCACAAAATACTTTTCAGAAACACCATCAGATCCATGCAATCCATCACCTTGTGGGCCATACAGTATTTGCAAAAATCTGAATGGAAAAGCGATCTGCACTTGCTTACGTGAATACATTGGTAATCCACCTAACTGTCGTCCTGAGTGTGTAACGAGTCCAGAATGTCCTCTCAACAAAGCTTGCGTTAAACAGAAGTGTATAGACCCTTGTATTGGAACCTGTGGAGAAAACGCGCAATGCCGTACTCATCATCATAGCCCGTATTGCACTTGTCCGGTTGGCTTTGAAGGAGATCCATTTTCATTGTGTGTAAAAACTGTTGTAAAACCGACAATAACTACTCCATGTGAACCTAACCCCTGCGGTCCTTTCGCAACATGTAGAGACGTAGATGGCACAGCTATATGCAGTTGTAAAGCAGGATATGTTGGTATTCCACCGAAGTGTGGCCCAGAGTGTACAATTAATGAAGACTGTCCTAAGGATAAAGCATGTGTAAGAGAAAAATGTGTCGATCCTTGTATTGGATCTTGTGGAATTAACACCAACTGCCGTGCAATGAACCATCTAGCTATCTGCACTTGCTTACCTCGTTATCGAGGCGATCCGTTCGTAGGATGCTATATTTATAAAGGTATAATTCATTTGTATTAATAATTATATAATAATAATATATTTCTCCAGAATGAAAATAATTAACATTTATTGTCTTAGTTATAAACTTTCATTTATACGATTATACATATATTATCTATATTAGAAATAATAAATAACCTATAATTGTAAAATCCATAGATAATTGTTTTGAAAATAATTGTGTAGTCTATATTTCCGGTGCAATTTAAATATATAAGTACTGTACGTTTGTAACGACAAATTAAAAAAAAATTAAAAATCTTAACCGACACGCAACCAAATTGTACCTACTGTAATATATTTTGTAAGGGGATTTGTTTTATCTCCCTTGTTCTAATTTGAATATATTATTATTATATTATAATAATGTTAATTAATAATACCAAACATTCCATAAATGCTTCTTCTCATGTTTTACTATCTACAGAAAATGAGCCACTACCAAGAGATCCTTGTGTTGAATCTCCATGCGGGGTCAATGCAGTATGTAACAACGGAACTTGTACATGTATTTCTGGATATCATGGAAACCCTTACATCGAGTGCCGACCAGAATGCACGACCGACAACGACTGTGGAAAACAACTAACTTGCATCAATTACAAATGTGTTAATCCATGTAAGAATGCATGTGGTTTGGACGCAATCTGCAATGTCCACAACCATATAGCAATATGTGAGTGTCCAGTACCATTGCAAGGAGATCCTTTCATTGCTTGTCATCGCGCTATAGGTATGATAATTACTGATTATATACGTAAAGTAAAAGAAAAACAGTTAACAAAAAACACTATTAATGTTTTTTGTCTACAGAGCAAGCTGTGGCAGATCCATGTTCACCAAATCCCTGTGGACCCAACAGCATATGTAGAGCTAGCGGTACGGTAGCTCACTGCTCATGCCGACCGCCAATGTATGATGAGCCGCCAACCTGCCGACCTGAATGCCGTGTTAATTCTGATTGTCCACCAGACCGCGCTTGTCGCAATGGGAAATGTCACGATCCTTGCCCAGGCGCTTGCGGTTCACACGCTATATGTCGTACATCGATGCATTCACCTATTTGTAGTTGCCCAGTGCGCTATACAGGCGATCCATTTACGCGCTGTTTACCAAGTAATGTTTAAATATAATCAAATATATTTTAGAATAAAATTGTATTATACTACAACCTAAATATTTTGTTACAGTCGCTTTCGATACAGATTCGAAGAATGTGTCACCATGTCGAGATTGCGGACCAAATGCAGAATGCGTCGATGGACAATGTCGCTGCAGAATCAACTTTTTCGGAGCACCTCCGTTCTGTCGTTACGAATGTCTCAGTTCCAGTGACTGTGACTGGCGTCTCACGTGCTTAAACAAACGTTGCGTTGATCCGTGCCCTGGTGCTTGCGGCCAAGGCGCTACTTGTACTTCCATCGCGCACAATCCTCGCTGTGATTGCCCTCCAAAAACAACAGGAAATCCTCTTTACGCATGTCGACCCATCGAAACAATTCGTAAGACAGACTTAACTGGAAGATTGCTTTTAATCAACGAAATTCCCACTTTATAGATGTTGCTAGCCATAAATAGACCGATAGTTGTTCAACGGCAAACTTATGTTTTCGCTTTTAAAGCTTAGGCATGGGTTTTACTAGCGAAACAAAGGAAGCCGGTGAACATACTTTAATTTTTCGTTCGCTTAACACTAAGCGCTTATATTGTTTGCTACCACATTACACCAAACTTTTATCCAATACTTAAATGCATGCTTAAATTTACAGAAATATCACAAAACACACCATGTAATCCATCGCCCTGTGGTCCTGGTGCTATCTGTAAAACTAAAGGAAGAGGCGCGACGTGTGAATGCGAACCGAGATTACGAGGCGACCCTTACTTCGGATGCAGACCGGAATGTCTCGCGGACTCTGATTGTTCACCAACAAGAGCATGTATGCGCTCGCACTGCCGCGACCCCTGCGAGGGCACTTGCGGTATAGGAGCAGAATGTGAAACTGTCAACCACATCCCACTTTGTTCGTGTCCATCGGGTACTAGAGGAAATGCTTTCGTGAAATGCGACCCTATCCCGCCAGGTAAATTGTTATTTGTAATCTTAAATTGCTGGGCGTAAATGATACTACTAAAAATTACGTGTATAAATTGAAGATGATTTTTAATCAGTACAAATCCTGTCTGCCTGTTCTAGGCATTTGAAAAAATTTAAAGATGAAACTTATTAATGATTAAAACAATAAATAAATAAAAGATTTTGTACCATTTTAGCGCTTCCATGTACACCGTCACCGTGCGGTCCTGGTGCATTGTGCTCTGAATCTGGCAAAACTGCCGTGTGCTCTTGTCCGAGTGGAACAAGCGGTGATGCAGCAACTACTGGTTGCCGGCCAGAGTGCGTTGTCAGTTCAGAATGTCCTCGTGATCGTGCTTGTGTTCGCAACAAATGCATTGATCCATGTATTGGTGCTTGTGGAAACGGCGCTACTTGCCGGGTCTTCGATCATGCCCCAATATGTTCGTGCCCACCCTTAACTACAGGAGATCCGTTCCTTAATTGTAGAAGTAAGAATATTTTATATTTATTTGTCCAACTTTTTAAAATCATTTATATAATTACTTATTCTATTATGAAATGGAATATTTAAAAAAATCTACCTTTTCTACATTATTCTTTCTTTTATTATTCACATTATTTGACACCTGATTCATTGTATTTATACATTTTATAAGAAACTACTCTGTTTTCAGCTGTATCACCATCCGTGCACGACCCATGCGATCCTAATCCTTGTGGACCTAGAGGGACATGCCGCGACGGTACCTGTACTTATTACGAATGTACTGTTAACGATGATTGCCCTGGCGATCGCTCCTGTATCAACAGAAAATGTGCAGATCCATGTATTAACGCGTGCGGTCTCAACGCAATTTGCACAGGAATCAGACATACCGCTGTATGTTCATGCCCTCCTGGTTACACTGGTAATTCCTTCGTACGCTGCCACCGCATTACTACAACCACGGTAGAAACACCAAAGCCTGAATGCGTAAATGACGAACAATGTCCTGATATATCAGCTTGCGTTAACTCTAGATGTGTACCAGTATGTGGACCAAGTAATTGTGGCCTTAACGCTAATTGTGTTGGCAAGCAACACAGAGCTCGCTGTACTTGTTTACCAGGTTACGAAGGAGACGCATACTCGGGATGTTACTCTGGTAATTTACCTATCATTTTATTTATGTTATCTTTAAACTATTTTATCATTTTCACTAAATAACGTATTTTGTTTGCAGTTCAATGTCATAGTAATAATGACTGCCCTGATGATGAAAGCTGTGAAAGTGGATCATGTGTTAAGGTTTGTTCACGTTTGCGCTGTGGACTTGAAGCTCATTGTATCGCACGTGGACATAGTGCTTCATGTGAATGCAATCCTGGAACTCAGGGAAATCCATGGACCTCTTGCCGTAGAGACGAATGTACAATAGATGAAGATTGTCCGAGTTGGCTGGCCTGTAGATCAAAGACCTGCCAGGATCCTTGTCCCGGAGCTTGCGCACAGGGCGCACTATGTACTGTCATGCGCCATGCTCCGATCTGTGAGTGCCCACGAGGTACACAAGGCAACCCAAGAATTAAATGTGAACTGGGTGAGTTTAGTAAAGTTTTACTAGCAACTTCCTCACATTGCATTACTAAAATTATTATAACACATTACATTATGTGTACATAACAGAATACTTATTTATTTTTATACTTCCAGTGCTATCGACTGTGGAATGTGACAGCGATGCTGATTGTGGACCAGATCTAGCATGTCTACAAGGTTCATGCAAGAATCCATGTGATGCAAACACATGTGGAGATCGCGCAACATGCCGCGTTGCCAACACGTTACCGTTCCGCACACTTGTGTGCGAATGTCCGAAACCTCTTACTGGGGATGCATCTATTCAGTGTGTGCCAAGTAAGTATATATATAAAAGGTTTTAAAATGTGATTTTATATATATATATATAAAATATATATATATATATATATATATATATATATATATATATATATATATATATATATGGTTACCGTAAGGTCGTAAAAAAATGTACTGTTTGAAAGTTTTAAGTGGGCCCATGTTTGATTCTGAATACCATACGCTAACAAAAAGTATGATAATATTATTAATTAATAAAACATTGATAATCATGTTTAGAATAATGTAGAAATAACCATAATATTCAAGAGGCTTAAACATAAAAATTATTTTTGAATCAACAAAATAAAGCTGCATACAAAATTTATTTGTCTCCTATCAACTTACTTGATAAAGAAATGCAATAAATAAAAATAATATAGCATTATAGATTTAAAATTGTAGTTCTCTTTAAAAGCAATAAACATGCCGTGTGATAATGTAGCCGTGCAGCCGTGCAGCCGTGTAGTGGCGGTTGAGAATATCCACTACCCCATATCTTCCCGTTGGTGTCGTAAGACGCGACAGAGGGACACAGAAAGGAGATGGGCAGCAGCATCTTCCTAATAACAACAATAACAATAAAAAACTGCGGTTGCCAACCCGCTCGCCAAACGTGGCAACTATGGCAAATATCCCCCCATGAGCAACGATGTAAATAAACGGCCCCCAGTTCCCGGCGGCCCCGCTATTCCTGGCTACGGTGGCGACCATGGTAACGGCGGGGCAGGGGGGTGCTAAGAATCTCCGGTGGAGGTTCGGTTGCCACCTACGACGACTCGACCTGGCAACGTATAACGCACGAACCCTGAGGACTGACGAGAAGATACTGGAGCTGCAAGAAAAGATAGACAATTTGCGCTGGCATATTATTGGATTATCTGAGGTCCGAAGAGAGGGGGAGGACACGGTAATCCTCGAGTCCGGCAACTTGTTCTATCACCAGGAGGGTGACCATTTGTCCCAAGGAGGTGTCGGATTTATCGTTCACAAGTCTCTCGTCAACAACGTTGTAAAGACTGGGAGTGTGTCGACAAGGGTCGCGTACCTGATACTCAGAATCACCAAACGGTATTCGCTGAAGGTCATACAGGTCTACGCACCAACCTCGGCACATCCCGATGAGGAGGTGGAGGAAATGTATGAGGATAATTCTAGAGCCATGCATTCCTCCAAAACCCACTACACGGTGTTGATGGGAGACTTCAACGCAAAACTAGGCACAAGAGAAGGCGGTGAGCTGAAGTTAGGGAAATTTGGAGTAGGGCAACGGAACCATAGGGGCCAGCAGCTGGCTGACTTTATGGAGATAGAGGGACTCTCTATGATGAACTCTTTCTTCCAGAAGCGGCCCCACAGGAAGTGGACCTGGTCGAGCCCCGACGGTTCGACAAAAAATGAGATTGACTTCATTATGACGACCAGACGCTAACTGTTCAGTGATTCCATGAAGGTGAAAACCGGCAGGGATCACCGAATGGTTAGAGGCACACTGAACCTAAACGTTAAGTTGGAGAGGTCTCGTCTAATGAAGTCAACGCTCCGTCCCCCCTCGTGCTCTAATCCAGAATCCCAAGACTTTTCAGCTCGAGTTACCTTTCAGTGCCTAGAAGATTGCAATGCAGTGGACGATATGAATGACAAGCTCGTGGAAACTGTCCATGCGGTCGGAGCTAAGTTCTGCAAGACCCGCCGCAGAAGAACACAAAAACTCTCCGATCACACTCTTAATCTCATGGCTGTTAGACGGGAGATGAGGCTGCAATCGTCAACAGATTTGACAGCATACAGGCAACTGAACAGACAGAACTCCAAAGGCATACGGCGAGATTTACGCAACTATAATACTGCTCGTCTTAAAGAAGCGATCGAGCGGAACCAGGGCTCCAAAGTCTTTGCCAGAGATCTGTCTGCCAGAAAGAGCCAACTGTCCAAGCTGAAGACTGAGTGTGGCAGCATCGTTTCCGGGACACCTGAGATTTTGAGTGATATTGAGAGGTTCTATGGGCAGCTGTACACATCATCGTTGGAACCACACGCAAGTGTAAGTAACAATACAAGAGCAAATCTTACCCGACACTTTTCCGATGATATCCCGGACGTCAGTCTGAGCGAGATTAGAATGGCTCTCCAGCACCTTAAAAACGCCAGGGCCCCAGGCGAGGATGGAATTACAGCGGAGCTTCTGAAAGCGGGTGGAACACCGGTACTTGAAGTCCTTCAGAAGCTCTTCAATTCCGTCCTCCATGGTGGCACTACTCCAGAGGCGTGGACCAGAAGTGCGGTGGTCTTGTTCTTTAAGAAAGGCGACAACGCTCTCTTGAAGAACTACAGACCGATTTCCCTTCTGAGCCGCGTCTACGTGCTGTTTTCGAGAGTCATTACGAATCGTCTCGCACGCAGACTCGACGAATTCCAGCCTCCCGAACAAGCCGGTTTCCGAAAAGGCTTCAGTACCATAGACCACATACATACACTGCAGCAGACTGTACAGAAGACCGAAGAGTACAATCTGTCACTTTGCCTGGCGTATGTGGACTATGAGAAAGCCTTTGATCCCGTCAAAATTTGGGCGGTGCTACAGTCCCTTCAGCGGTGCCAAGTTGACTGTCGGTATATCGAAGTGCTGAAGTGTTTGTACAGTAGGGATACGATGGCTATCCGAGTACAGAACCGGAGTTCGAAACCTATCCAACTGCAGAGAGGTGTAAGACAGGGTGACGTTATATCCCCGAAACTCTTCACCGCTGCGTTGGAAGACGTTTTCAAGCTGCTGGACTGGAAAGGATACAGTATTAACATCAATGGCGAGTGCATCACTCACCTTCGATTTTCCGACGATATAGTCCTTATGGCAGAATCGCTGGAGGACCTTAGCACCATGCTCAATGACCTCAATGGTGTCTCCCAACGGATAGGTCTTAAGATAAACATGGATAAAACAAAGATCATGTTCAATGTCCATGTCACACCTATGCCGGTAGTTGTTGGGAGCACTATGCTCGAAGTTGTTGACGAGTACGTTTACCTGGGACAAATAGTCCGACTAGGTAAGTCCAACTTCGACCGAGAGGTCAATCGACGGATTCAACTCGGCTGGGCCGCGTTCGGGAAATTACGACACATCTTCTCGTCAGGTATACCTCAATCTCCGAAAACTAAAGTGTACAACCGGTGCGTGTTGCCAGTGATGACTTACGGATCAGAGACGTGGTCCTTCACTGCTGGCCGTATGAGGACGCTCAAGGTCGCTCAGCGAGCTATGGAGAGGGCTATGCTCGGAGTTTCTCTACGTGATAGACTCATAAATGAGAATATCCGCAGTAAAATCAGAGTGACCGACATAGCCCAACGGATTAGTAAGCTGAAGTGGCAATGGGCCGGCCATATTGCTCGAAGAACCGATAACCGAAGGGGAAGAAAGGTTCTCGAGTGGCAGCCTCATACCGGTAGGCGTAGTGTAGGGCGACCCTCCACTAGATGGAGTGACGACCTGGTAAGACATGCAGGAAGTCGATAGATGCAGGTGGCTCAGGACCGTGCTTTGTGGCATTACTTGAGGGAGGCCTATGTTCAGCAGTGGACTTGTGAAGGGCTGTAATGATGATGATGATGATGATGATAATGTATAAATTATTGCAATAATACAATGCTAGTGGAAAAAAACCTCATTCTAATTTGTGTCTCCAAAAGTTATCCAGTGTGTTACTCCGATTCAATATGGGATAGATTTTTTGTTTTCAATATTAAACAACATTATTGACCTAATTTCGATGAGGCAATGCCGTAGGCTTACTGTCAAATGTCAGTTTTGACATATTTTTTCATTTGTAGTCGTGACCGTAAACAATTGTAAATTCCATAATTTAGAGCATAAATTTCGGGCAGTGTATATGTCACTTCTATGTGAGAAGTACAAAGATATCGTTTACACTGATTCGAAATTTATAGTCAATTACCAGTGTATATCAAGTTTCATTAAGTAAATCGCGCATCATTTGTGACCGGTATTCATTGTTGAATTTTGAAGTTTCGAGTGTGTTTGTTCCAGTTCGTTACGTGTGTTATGGTGTTTGTTATGTCACACACTGGAATTTTATAAAGGAGATTGTTCACATAACTTAACCGACTACGGTGAAGTGAAAAGGGTGTAATGTTATTCTGACGTACCTACATAAGAGTAGAGTGTTATACTATTCTGATTTATTATTACTAGTGGTCCCTCAGTAGCCGAACTAGGTCCGTTTTTAATTAAGAGGTCGTCGCCTTTCGTCAACTTTTCCACTTGCACAGGACTATAATATAAAAAAATGTTTAAATGCACTAAAAGCATTTTACATTAAAAGTTCTATACAAATTTAGGCAATTCATTACAGTTAATTTACGTGTAAAACTTTGTAAACTCATTTTTAATGTGGCTAAATTAAATTATTGTATAACTGAGTTTACGGACCTTGTTTGCTTAAGAAATCATCAAAAATTAATCCAAAGGGTACAGAATGCTTGTGCACGCTATTGTTTTTACATACCGAGACGCATCTCATGTCACGTCGTATCTTAACGCTTCGAATATGTTAAAAACGCAGGGGCGTCTCAAACTTTTTGTATGCTTCTTTGCTATTCGGCGTAATAAATACAAAGAACCCAGAATATTTATACAAAAAACTATAACTGGAGAAATGTACCAACATTTATATAAAATTCGACTATGCTCTAAAGTTTTATGCGTCCCTAAACACATAAAACATCGGCTTTCTCGGGGCAGTTTTAAGTTTATGGCATAGTCTTAGTTTTGGAATGATCTCCCACCCCCTCTACGCACTATGAACAAGTAAAAACAGTTTTAAAAAGAATTATACAGTGTTATGTTAGTTATTCTTACATTTTAGTTTTATTAATAAAATATATAAATATTGCCATAGGCGGTAGTAGATTTATAAGCTCATATAAGTTAGGCTCAGTAAAATACATATTATTTAATACTATATTGTATATATATTATATATATATAATATATATAAAGAGAGAGAGAGAGAGACAAAATTACAGCATTTTACCAAGGCTGACTTACGTAATTTAGTTTAAAAATTTGTTCCGAAACTAGGTATGTCGTTATTTGTTAATAAATTTTGAGTGCCTTTTATCCTATTTCAGTTTCTGTACATACATTCACGATTTGAATGCAAAACTGGTTTACTGCAAAAGGTTTATTCAAGTAGTCCAGAGAGTATGTGTATTTAAGATTTGTTAACTTAAATTCAAAAATATATTAAAGAAGATTGAAATAGCACTACGCAAAATGTAAATCACCATGTAAAGAGACGTTGCTATCATGTTAGTCTCAGACTAAAAGTCGCAATTAATTAAACTCGTTTTAAATGTTTGTTACTTATTATATTACCAGGACCGCAATGTGAGCAAGACAACGAATGTGGCGATGAAGAGCACTGCTCTAACGGACGATGTGTTGCTGTATGTGACGGACGCGCGTGTGGCGCTGGTGCGGAATGCCGTGCACAAGCTCACCGCGCCTCCTGCCGCTGTGCACCACCACTGCAGGGTGACGCCAATGTGGCCTGCACGCCAGGTTAGAATTTATAAGCGTATTACTGAAAAATAGTACTGGTAGTAATAATACTTAAATTACTGCTAATTAAGTCAGATCAATTATTTCAGGTTGGCGATAGCGTTATTCGATCCATGCAGACTAAAATACGGAGTGCAACTAGTGAGGGCGCTATTATCACATCAGTTTTTTTTATATTAACATTAATGATATAAGCTCAGTAACCAGCGTGTCGGATGTTACAATTTGCGCTGCATGTATGTCTTAGTTCCGTTGAGCTTTGACAGTGTTGTTCGATATTTTCTGACGATATGCGAATCAAGTGCGAGTCAAATCCTTAAATAGGAATCCCCATGTTAAATACTCGGGTCACATGTTTACTGCTGATCAAAAGCATGTCGTAGACATTGGATGCAAAAAAAGAACGTAAGAGCGAACAAGATGGCTTTCAGGTTTGCTGGTTGCTCGAAAGATACTAAAGTAGCTCTATTCTGATCATTCTGCATATAAATACCCCATAAGGCACAAGTTGTGGGAAGCTTTACCTCCTCAAAAATCGTAACGCAAATTCTATGTACCGCGTTTCGGGTGTTGATGGTGCTGGTTTCCGGCTTTTAGAACATCTCGATGTGAATATGACTTTACTTTTCGATTTCTACATTTTGACCGCTTTCTTTGTTTTTTTTTTATATGATAAGGGTGTTTACTTTGTTGTTTTTGTTTGTTTGTATTCCAGGCGAAGGTTTCTGAAAGAAAATTGATATAATATTTTTAACTGTACTTCTACTAATATTCTGTATGTTGGTGTACAATAAATAAATAATAACAACTACACGAAATGATTTTAATCGACCTATATCTATTTATTGACAAGGAAAGCGTAAATTTAAATGATGTTCTCTTCGCAATAGGAGCAGAAGGAGCGGGCTGCAGTTCAGACACAGATTGTGGTTCGACGGAGGCGTGCGTGGCGCGTCGCTGCGTGGCAGCTTGCGCGGGTGCGTGCGGCCCGGGGGCCCAGTGCACTGCGCTGCAGCATCGCGCGCGCTGCCACTGCCCGCCCGGCACCGCAGGCGACCCAGCACGCTTTTGCTACACGCGTAAGTATAATAATTGTATAATACATAAATATGTAAACACACACCTGTCACCCAGAGGGGTAGGTAGAGACTACGGACTTCCATTTGGCACGACCCTGACACACCTCTCTTGCCTCCTTTATATCCATATATCTACGCATAATATTAAGGATTAATATTAAGGAATTTATGGATAATAATAACCCCTGGGAAGGGTGATCGCTATCAAGCTATTTCTAATTTGTCTTGTGTTGTTTATTGTAAACATAATTGTAAGCTATCATTGGAAAAAAATAGTCCCGCTGGGTTTCTTGCTGGTTCTTCCCAGGACAGAGGTTTTTTTTTGCGAACCAGTGGTAAATGAAAAAAGTGACTTTCAATAAGTATTGTTATAATCTACATTGAATAAAAAAGTTTATGTTTCTGTTTCTGTTTCATAAATGCTCGTCAGTTAAAGGTACTCCTAGTGAGGCCCATTTTCCCATATAGGATAGGGTGACAAACGAGCACACAGTCCACCTGATGGTATGTGATTTTTGCGGCCCAAGGACATCTATATCTATCCTCGATTACAAATCAAAATGCAAATGTGTTGTCAATCTTAAGGACTAAGATGGAATGCCTCGTTTCCAGTAAAAAGGGTCTCTACACTCACCATACGAAACACAGCAGCATTAAGCTACTATTTCACGCTGGTATTCTATGAGAGCGTGGTCCTTCCCCGGTCGAGCCAACCCATTCGTGCTACAACTATACTACTACTATAACTGCAGCATGGCTCTACCACGTATACGTATATTTGGTCGATGAACCTTCTTCTGGGGCGTCCCTTCCCGACTCTGCCGTTCACATCTGCAATATAAATTTGCTTTGTCACTCTTTCCTCATTCATTCTTTCTACATGACCAAACCACCAAATCATTCCTTTATTAATCCTGGTCACAACATCATCTTGCACACCACATTTTTCTCTTATCACGCAATTTCTCACCCTGTCATTCAAATTAAGCCCTAGCATACCTACTCCTTAAAGATCGCATTTCTACATTTATTCTACTCGTTAGCATTTGTTTGAGCTTCGTCTGGCACACCCAAATTTCACTACCATACTTCAAATATTCATCGAATCTTATTGAATTATATAGACCTCATCATCATTACAGCCCTTCACAAGTCCACTGCTGAACATAGGCCTCCCCTATGGTATGCCACAAAGCACTGTCCTGAACCACCTGCATCCATCGACTTCCTGCATGTCTTACCAGGTCGTCACTCCATCTAGTGGGGGGTCGCCCTACACTTCGCCTACCGGTACGAGGCTGCCACTCGAGAACCTTTTTTCCCCAACGGTTGTCGGTTCTTCGAGCTATATGGCCGGCCCATTGCCACTTCAGCTTACTAATCCGTTGGGCTATGTCGATCATATATAGACCATATCATATATAGGTCGTATAGACCTATCGGATATTATATATTTCGACGAAAATTATCAGCAATAAAAAAGGTAGACCCTTACTCTCAGGAAAATATATTGATAATCCAACTTCCTCGTTCTGTACTGTTGTAGATCTTTAACATAACAAGGCGCCATAAAATATTAAGTTAAATAATAGTAAGAAAAAAATATTTTATATCAAAATCTATTTAATTTTCAGCTGAATGTACGGCTGATGAAAATTGTCCGTTCGACAAGAGCTGCGTTAATGGATACTGTCAAGACCCTTGTACCCTCGGATCACCATGCGGACGCGATGCTACTTGTGTCGCCGTTGCTCACGTTGCTACCTGTCGATGCCCACCCGGAACGCAGGGTGACCCGCACGGTGCTTGCATTTCTGTTGCATGCCATTATAACGAAGACTGTGCTGAAAATCAAATCTGCAACCGACTTAACCACGTTTGTCAACTTGTGTGCACTGACGGCGCTTGTGCTGAAGGTGCTATATGTACAGCAATCAATCAGCAACCAATGTGCAAATGTCCACCTGGCACGTCTGGGGACGCGTACGTTCGCGGTTGCGGAACCACACAAGACACACCTGAATGCTCTAAAGACATCGATTGCTCGGCGCCCCTGGCCTGTGTCAACTCACGATGCATTGACCTATGCTTAAGCAACCCTTGTGATGAAGGATTAATCTGCAAAACTGTAGATATTTTACCACTTCGGGCTGTCGCATGTGTCTGTCCGGAAGGCGGGCGAGTAGCACCAAATAACGGATGCCGTTCACCACCTGTATCTGAATGCTCCACCGATTCGGACTGCGCTAATAACCAAACTTGTCGCCGTGGAAGCTGCGTCGAAGCTTGCAGAGCTGCTCCTTGTGGATACAACGCGTTATGTGAGTCATCTGACCACGTATCCCGCTGCTCATGTCCACCAGGATATATTGGAAACCCAAGAGTAGAGTGTAATAGCGGTAAGTTTAATGATTAACCATAAATTAAAATATATTGACATCAATTATTTCACCTACTTCAGTGTTTAAGTCGTCGACTGATTATGTAAATAAATTTTTAATTTCAGAACCAAAACAAACAGCGATATGGGAATGTTACAAGAATGACGAGTGTGGTTTAGAACAAGCATGTGTTGATCGTACTTGTGTGAATCCATGTACAGATGCCTGTGGAATCGGAGCACTGTGTCGTGTAATCGATCATATACCGCAGTGTTCCTGTGCTAGAGGATTCAGCGGGGATGCAAATACGCGATGCGTACCACGTAAGTCCTTTACAACTGTCCTGACTGAAACTTAGCTGTTGAGTTTTATGATCAAACTACATCTTACTAAACGCAGATATTTTTACAGATATTAAAAATTCTATTCATACTGATAAGCATTCTTAATTTTCAGCATCAGATAAGTCAGTATTACCATTAGGCTGCAAAGCAAACTCCGAGTGTCCACTATCGCAGGCATGTATAAATGGCGTATGTGCAAATCCATGTGTCTGTGGTGATAACGCAGAATGTAACGTTGTTAGACATCATCCAGTTTGCTATTGTGAACGTGGCTTTTCAGGAAATCCTTATGTCGGATGCACAAAAGGTATGTTTGTTTTTCATTACAGTAAAGCGTGAAGCAATAGTCTAAACACACCGTAAAGCAACGTAAAGCGTAAATTTGCTTTACGCTGCTGATCTTGTACCTTTTCCTGATTATGAGACGGTTTTGGAGGTGTGTTAGCAGAAAAAATAATTCTAAGACGTCATATTCGATTCTTTTTTAATTATTTAGATATTTTTGTTTTCCTACCATGTTTCTTTCGCTTTAGTACATGGTAAATCAACATTTAAAGTTACAATATTAACCATTTCATTGGTGTCGCCTTGGATCGTACTTAGTTTGCTTGTGAATTCTTCAAGGTGAACGCTTAAATCCTAAATCTACTGCAACGGTTTTAAATTAGTATTAAAATCAACAAATATATATAATAAAGTAATAAATTATAACAATTAATTTAAAATATTTATTTCCTAAATATGATGTTATTAATTTACAGTGAGCTGCACTTCTGATGCTGAATGTTCAGACGATAATACTTGCTCCAATGGAGCTTGCGTTAATCCTTGTGTTATCGAGGCACCATGCGCCATAAGTGCAGAATGCTATGGGCAAGCTCATCGACCCAACTGCCGCTGTCCTATTGGAACTTTCGGAAATCCGTACGTTAAATGTCAATCATCCGAATGTGAAATTGACGACGACTGCAATGATGATAGTGTTTGCGAAAAAGGAGTTTGCCATCATGCTTGTTCCGTTGAAGGACGTAATCCTTGCGCCAGCAACGCGGAATGCTTTGCCCGTAATCATGCTGCATCTTGTAAATGTCCACCTTCATTGCCACTTGGAAATCCTTTAATTTATTGTCAGAAGATCACGGTTATAGGAGAGCCAGAATGCCGTATGGACGGTGATTGTCCGAGCGGGCATGCTTGTCTCAGGGATGAATGTCGAGAAGCTTGTTCAGAACTAAAGCCGTGCGTCGGCAATTCTCGATGCTCGGTATCAGACAGCGTACCATTCCGTACTTTAATATGCCGTTGTCCAGAGGGATATACACCTGATGAAGGAGGCTCATGCAAACCAGCGCAGTTACCATCTCTTACTTGCTCATCTGATCAGGATTGTAGCGATAATGAGTCATGTGTAAACAGAATCTGTCGAAATCCATGCAATTGTGGTGATAATGCAGAATGTTTCGTCCGAGATCATCGACCTGTTTGTTCTTGTCGCGAAGGATTCGATGGCAATCCGTACCGCATATGTCGCATCGTTGGCTGTCGAACCGATTCAGAATGTGCGTCACACCAAGCGTGTATTAATGGAAATTGTGTTAGCCCGTGCTTATTGAACAGCACATGTGGAACAAATGCTGAGTGCTATGTAGAAAGAAATCGTCCACTTTGCCGCTGTCTTTCAGGATTCGAGGGTGACGCTTACATAAATTGTAACCTTATTGAATGTAGATCCAATGGTGATTGCCCTCTAGATAAGCAATGTCATGCTCATAGATGTATCAACCCTTGTCTATCAGAAAATATTTGCGGATCGAATGCCATATGCTTAGTAAGAAACCACATTCCAGTTTGCAAATGCGACCAAGGTTATTTCGGTAGTCCTTATATTGAATGCAGACGACAGATTACAGCAGAATGTTTTGTAGATGCGGATTGTCCATCAAAACTTGCTTGTTTATCGTCTAGATGTGTCAATCCTTGTACAGAATTACATCCATGTGCAACACCAGCGACATGCGAAGTCTCACCGACATTACCAGTACGCACAATGCTCTGCACTTGCCCAGTTGGATACCTCAGCAGCGGCGGCGGCATATGCCGACCGGCAACATTTGTTACCGAAAGCGTTTGCGTTATGGACAGTAACTGTACCGCAAATCATGCTTGTATCAATTCATTATGTAAAAACCCCTGTGAATGTGGACCAAACACTGACTGTAAAATAAAAGATCATAAACCAGTGTGTGCCTGCCGCCAAGGCTTTATTGGAGACCCACGAACAGGTTGCTATGAGGTTACGTGCCGGGCTGATAGCCAATGCGCAGATGATGAGACATGTATTAATTACCGCTGTATTCCAGCTTGCTCTGTCGATGCTAATATCTGTGGACAATCAGCTGAATGCTACGGCATAGAACACCGCGCATCCTGCCGCTGCAACGTCGGTACAGTCGGTAACCCGTCAATTGCTTGCACGCCAATAAGCTGTCGCGCCAACAGCGACTGCCCTTCAGAAAAATCTTGTGTAAACTCTAAATGCGTTGAACCTTGCTCAACTATCACCTGCAATGAGCCAGCAGAATGTAGAGTACACCAGCATGAAGTATACTGCGTCTGTCCGCCTGGCTATCAAAGTACAGACGACGGTTGTATAAAAACGATAAATGCGCAGTGCGCGAGCGATGTTGACTGTCCATCGGGATTGGCCTGCCTAAATAGCACATGCGTAAATCCTTGTTTGAAAATAGCACCGTGTGGTAATAACGCTCATTGTAAGGTGATCAATACACTACCTGTTAGGACTATGATATGCGAATGTAAACCAGGATACAAAGGCAACGCTCTCATCGAATGTACACCATACTTAAGTAAGTGTCTCGATTCTTAAGGCAATTAATTACGTGTCTGTATAAGTTAAATAAATAAATTAATAATTATTTTTATGTTTTGCAGCACCTACCACGAAATGTATAGATGGTCAAGGAATTGACAACAATGGAGATTGCATGCCTTGTAATGAAAATGAAGGTCGAATTATAGACGCACGAGGACGTTGCGTATGTAATTGGGATAAAGGTTTTACGCCTCGCGGTAACATCTGCGTTGCAATCGGCTGTCGTGCGGATGATCAGTGCGACGAACAATCTCGATGCATTAACGGAGCCTGCGTAAACGCATGTGAAGCTGAACCATGCGGTCAGCACACTATTTGCGAAGTGTTGGGTCACCGATCTCGCTGTTCTTGCATTCCTGGTTACATCGGTAACCCAAGAGTTCAATGCTATAATGCAACTACGACCCAAGATAATTATCGCACGGACTTCCCACTTCCGGACATGCAGGTAATTATAACAACAATAAATCCCTTAATTCTCTTTGATAGATATATATAAGCTTTGGACATATATCTGGCATTGGATTGAACAAAAACCCAGACGGAAACATTAATTTGTAAACCGTAGCGGTTGTTTTCCTTTTAATTATGTTTTAAATATTTGTTCTCTCTTCATAAAAAACATAATTATTGATTTATTTTAGGTTCATTGCCTCGCGGACGGAGTACGAGTCAGTCTTAAAATCAAGGACTTTAATGGTGTGCTGTATGTCAAAGGCTACAGTAAAGACGAACGTTGCAGACTTGTAGTTCATACACCAGAAAATCAAGAGAGCACTGTTGACTTTACGGTGCATTTCGGCGATTGTGGCTTGGTGCACGTAAACGTAAGTTAAAATTACACTTCTTTTAATTTACTTTTTAAACAATAAATATTTAATTACTTTTTCTATTAAAAGGTCGACTTAGATTTAACTATTTTAGATTTAATTATTTACATACCGAAATTATTTCAGGGCCTGGCGAGCTTCGTACTGGTGATGCAAATACATCCCACATTATTAACATCTAACGCTAAGGCATTCCACATTAAATGCATCTACCAGACGGGCGAACAGAACGTCACCTTAGCTTTTAATGTATCCATGTTGACCACTGCCGGCACAATAGCCAATACTGGACCACCACCAACATGCTCTATGCGAATTGTATCCCGATCTGGCGATGAAGTTAGCTCTGCCGAAATTGGAGAGAACCTTGTCTTACAAGTTGACGTTCAACCATCGAGTAAGTAAAAAAGCCTTAAATTTATCTTCTTAATTGTTAACAACTTGAATCATGTCCGCACGTGTGCAGACACATGAGTGTTGTGGTGAAGATCTCGCCATGCTGTGTAGTGGCGGTGTAAGATAATTCATCACCCCATTTACTTTCATGGGTATCATAAGAGGTGACTAGGGGAAATGCCAGAAAAATCTTATGGTTCCGATAGATGGCGGTATAACAACCTCATTTAGGCTGTAGAAATTACTCAGGCCGGTGAGGGCAACAGCGTCAAAAATCTTATGGCTTCCGATAGATGGCGTTATAACCATCTCAGTGGGGCTATAGAAAATACTCAGGTCAATGAGGGCAACAGCGTCAAAGACACCGCAGGTGCACCACGTCTGGCACAGCGATCGTCAATCCGCGAGCCAAGCGTGACGATTATATGATATATCGTTAAAATAAATATTGTCGCAAAATTTAAAAACCATTGCTTCGATGGTTATTTAACTTCATTTGTATTTTCTAAACATGGACCTAGAAAAAGGGGTGGACGCCGTCTCTTAAAACAATTACTGACGCACCTATAGTAAGTCAGTTCGGCTAATACAAACAAGCCGGCACACACACATGCACACCATAGTAAGTCTACTGCCCGCCATTACGCCCCAAACCGCGCTCGCGTAGTTACTCACACATAGTTACGCGGCTGCCATTGCGGTGCGTCAATTGTTTCTTAGCGAGACTCTATCCGCACTTTTTTCTAGGTCCATGTTTCAAAAATGTATTACAAATTGTATGTTACTTTCATTAATGGTGACGTTCTGATTATGTCATTTTTAGGTATATATGGCGGATTCGCACGTAGTTGTATAGCGAAAACAAGTGAAATATCGACGAATATAGAAAACGAATATACCGTAACGGACGCGGATGGTTGTGCTACTGATGCTGCAATCTTCGGGGAATGGGAACGAAGCGAAGATGGTAGTGCTCTACGAGCTGCTTTTAACGCTTTTAAGTTCCCCAGCAGCGATAACATACGATTCCAATGCAACATACGTGTCTGCTTCGGTAAATGCCAACCGGTAAGTCATTTAAACTGTCAATTTCTATTACTGAACTATAGCGCATGTTATTATTTTCATATAAATATTAACTTGACTTATAGGTGAACTGCCGTGGATACGACGCTTTTGGAAAGCGTAGAAAACGAGAAGCCATCGATCCTAAAAATAGCCTTTACGGCAACGAAGGGCAGTTTAGGGAGGAGGTGATTGTCGAATCGAACCCGATATTGACGCTGGAACGACGCGATCCATCGCGAGTGGCCCGGCAGCGCGACGCCGGCGCAGAGGCGACGGGCGGCGCGGCAGGCGGTGAAGTTTGCGTTTCCGCTGCCGGACTCGCCGTAGCGCTGGCGTTAACGGCACTGCTGGCCCTCGTGGCAGTGGCAGCGGCCGTGGCATGTTGGCTAGTAGCGTGGCGAAGAGCACGCCCACCACCAGCCCCGCTACCGCATCCGCCCGACTTCCCCAACCCGCTGTTCCAGCGCTGAGTCCGCTAGTCGCGCGCCCCGCTCCTCCGTCGGCGCCGGGTGGTGTCGGCTCCTTCCTTCCTCTCGGCTTTAATCTGTGCGCGCCGTCGGAGGACCGCCGGGCGAGGTCGCTGCGAGCGCTGCGGCTATGCCGCATCCCTCGCTCGCGCTCGCTGCGCCCTTTTTAGTTTTACTTTAATATTTTATTACTTTGTAACTTTTTAACTTGATTCGTCGCCTCCTTCAAACTTTGTGATATTCATAATATAAATATACGAAATCACCGTAACTTTATGTAATATAAATATTGATTGTAGTTTTTAAGCAAATAATAATAATAATAATATTTGGTTGTTTTATTTTCAAATCTGTATATAAAAATTAATATTTGTTTGTATTTTATGCACAGCCATACTGTACATCACATTGCGATAAAAATTTGTCAACTTATTATTTGCGCGAAGGTAATTATAGTCATATTATAGTTAACTTACAGTGTGGTGGCGCGCTTATCGTGCCGTCAAATAAACAATATAACTCCTCCAAATTAAGAACGACATTTCCAGTTCTGCGGCAGCAACGTGCCGGGTACCAGCTAGTTATAGTAATCGCTTATTCAAAGTTTTCATGTTTTAACCAACTTCAATAAAAGAAGACTGTGTTTTCTGAAAGTATGTTAATCGATATCTCAGTCAATTTTAAACAGATTTTTATTTTATTTATTTTTTTCAATGAATTAGGTATACTTTGGGGGTGGTGTTATATAAATTTGGAGAACGCAATAAATACAAACATTTTAAATACACATTATTCAATTAAATCATTACCATGGTAATAATATACTACGAATGAAAACGTTAAAATAATCTTAGTCTATGAACCGAACCAATATCCAGGTTAAAAGTATTTTTATCAAACATTGTGATACAAAAATGTAACTGTTGTAAAGAAAATGTATATGTAATATATATATTTTAATTAACTTTATCGCGACTGTCTAAGGCCGAATCCAGACGAGTGTAACGTGTAATGTAATCCACCGTGTAATGTAACACGAATTCTACATGTGGACGGCACTACTAGCATTACATGTAACGCTCGCGCGGCGCTCGGGGTTGATCCAACGGCTGTCGGTTTTTCGCGCGAACGCGAAGAGATGTGGAAGAATGCAAAAACAAAATGATTAGTTTGCTTGCTTCACATCGAAGAGAAAAAGGAAAAGTAAAGAAGAGTCATAGTTCCGGAAAAGGTATGTTTTATTATAAATTTCTGTTGCTTTACACATTACATACTTTTATTTATTAATTTAGTTGTTACTTATGCATTATCACTTACTTGCTATTAGTACAATTATTACTTCTATTGTATGATCTTCCGTCCTTGTCTTTTTTAAAACTGTTGTTTTATTTCTTGTAATTTATTTTACAAGTGGGGATGAAACGTACAAAAGTACATGGTTTGCTTACGAGGCGTTGGCATTTTTAGGAGATCGAAATAATCCAAGGAAACGACGCAACACAGAGGTAACTGCATTGAACTAGTTTCCTTCGACTTGATAAACACTTAACAGTATGTATTCTGCCAAGAAACTGTACCCTCGTTCATAAAATAGTCATTAAACTCAACTCTAATTTGTTTTGCTGTTAAGGCAGCCCTTCTAGGTACATTATTCAATGGAAGTAAAGATGACATTTCAGTATCTCTCCGCCAACTACCTTCACATAATCTTCCATTTTGGCACTGTGAAGGTTTCGGACTGAAGGAGCATAGGTTTTCGTAAAAGTCTGAACACAGATGCTGTGATACCAAATACATTTTCTACAATCCTGCGAGCTCTGCTTAACCGGTAATTAAAAATTCTTCGCGGCGATCCCTTGGGGTATTCTCCTGGATAGGGTTTCATTATATTGTTTTGTAAAGGGAAGGCAGAGTCTCCTACAAAAACATATGGTACTACTTTGTTTCTACCTTGCAGTGCTTCAGATGCAGGCAATCTTAACGAATTATTTTCTAGTTTTCTACATAATTCAGTTTCCTTAAAAATTCCACCATCTGAAATTCGGCCTTGACATCCGACATCCAGAAATTTATAATTATATTCCGCGTCTACTAAAGCAAAGATCACTATACTGGAACTCGATTTGTAGTTACGATATTCTGTGGCACTATGTACCGGAGCCTCAAGAATGACATGTTTACCGTCCATGGCTCCGGCACAATGGGGAAAATTCCACAATTCATCAAATTTTTTTGAGATCTGGATCCATTCTGACTCTGTCGTTGGCATCTGAAACAATGAATTTCTTTTTTATTACAAATTACAAATGAACCGGAACAGAGAGCATCTACAAGTGCAGAAAATGATAACAGTTCAAATTTTATATCACCAACTAACTGGTCAGGCCCCAAAAAAAAAAAAGAAATCAGACGAAAATAAAAAATGGGTATGCTTTCGGAGGCTCTTGGCCTGCTTAAGAGTGCTGCTTCTAGTCCTACTCCTGAACCCCGAAACAATAATCTAAATAATTTTGACAATGAAACCCTTTTCTTTTCAAATTTTATATGCAGCAAGATGCAACAATATAACAGAAGTACTAAAAATGCCGTGCAGCGAGCAATAATGGACATAATATTCAAAGCCGATGAAGGATGCACTAACTTTTCTCAATATTATAATCCATCGGCATTCAATTCTCAATTCAATCATAGTGGGTATACAACAGGCTCGGTTCCTTCATCAAGATACTGTAATGAACCACCTTATTTATCTAATCGCTCAGAACCATATACTTCAGGGTATTCAACAGGTCAGAATCAGACAAGTTACCCTACAGCTCCATATGCTTCACCTGTTTTCTCAGAATCATCCCACACTTCATATGAAGATGTAGATTTTGTGAATGACCTGATTTGAAAAAAAAATTGTACTACATAATTGGAAGATGCAGACTATGTCGACAATTTGATTTAACTTTCTAACTGTAATTTTGGAATAATTTTAATTTTGCTTACCCTACTTAATACAATACCTTAATTTGTTATATTAATAAATAAATAAAAATATGTAAAACTCACCTTAATGTTTTCTTTCAATGCTTCTATAATCGCTTCACAAACTTCTGGTACAATACAAGACATTGACTGTTTTAAAATTCTGAAGGTGTATTGAAGGCTTGTATATGAATCTCCTGTTGCCAAAAATCTTAGTGTTAGAGCCAGTCTATCTTGCGGCGAAATTGCAGATCTCATTATAGTGTCTTGTCTTGATATTTTAGGTGCAATGATTGTTAACAAATATTCGAAGTCAGTAGGCGACATCCGGGTAAAGTTTTTATATTGACCACTTATATGCTGAGATTTTAGTTCCACAAGTAAAGATCTTATTTTATACAATTTAGTTTTCCACCATCGACGCTTTCGACGTTTCCGGTCTTCAGTTAGTAAATACATGAAAATAAAAGCCGCACCAGCTATCACGACCTTCCTATTCGGCATGTTTGTAGCAACTGAGTGGAAACAGCTTTTGAAATAGTTTCGCGTACACAATTCGTTTTGATTTCGTGTACCGTCCACACTGTTGACGCTAAATTACACGTAATCTTACATTACACGTACACTCGTCTGGACCCGGCCTAAAGTATGCAACACTGCAATATCATCTTGTTACTCGTATATCACAACGAATAGAACTTGTTACCGATTACTGTTGTTTGAATATTGCAACCAGTTATCTAGATACTCGTATAAAAGCATAAATAATAGAGTAAGTACTTAAAAGGGAGTAATTATACAATACAACTGAAGCTATATGAAAGTAATGTCTATGAAACAAAAGCTATTATACAGAATGTATACAATACATGAAGGTATGCATACAATGGGAAGAATGGGTTATTGTTATATTCATTTTTGTTTTTTGTTATCACCAATGTAAAAAACAATATATTCCCTCATTATGTAAATATTGTGGTACCATTCAAGTACCAATTATAGGCCACCACGCACCATATTATAATAATAAGCTGAAAGCTAATAACTGAATAAATACAAGAGCCGAGAAGAATAACAAAATTAATTACCACCATAAAGCTGTCTATTTTTAAACGAAATAAATAACATATTTTATATATATATATATATATATATATATATATATATATATATATATATATATATATATATATATATATACCAAAATAAACTGTACGATATTCTACTAGGTTCGACTTACCGCTACAATCTCTGAAACCACGAATCCGGGGATTGGATAAAGGAGCTCGAGGCAGCGGGCGTAAAGTTCAGCAGAGTGTATTGCACAAGAGTCACTAGGTCACAAACACTATACTTCCAGGGTGAAAGATTTCTTGAGAGACGAGCTTGAATTACTCGAAAATTATTTGTATGCGCACGCGGCGTTGGATCAGTTGGTCAGTTCACAATTGCCACCCGCAAGACTAGGTACGGCTGCATTAGGACTGAACACAGACGATCGCCAACGCAATGACTTCTATTTATTATATACGGCTTCTATTTATTATATACGAAAGTTGATACGGAAATTATAATATTTAATTAAATATTCTGTTCCAGTACTGAACATACATACGATATAAATATGCACCTTTATCTACTTCGTATATTATATGAGTATGTATATTGTTATTTCTCCTAGGCATTGAGATACATTTCACAAGCTCAATACCAGTGTCGGTAGTGTTTTGACTCCATGTAAAACCAAATTGACTTTAAAAAAATTTAACATTTGACCCAAAATTATATTTTAAATAATAAAAATAGTGTCCAATTAGTGTTAAAATAAGCAGAGTCCCATAACTAAAGTAGAGGTATGAATTTACTATGTTTCATTATATCATAAAACACACTAGGTTCAATTATTAAAAATAACACCAAGATGTGGTGCAATAACATCTATTATAGACGCAATAACTAACGGTAAACATCATAGAATACTATAATACATACATAATAGAACGGGGGAGTGGACGGAGCCCATGTAGCCACTAAAATGCCACTAACAAGTCAATTCACACGTATAAATGTAAACGAATGTGTTTTGACGTTACAATCGTTTCCGAATTTCGCATGCAAATTATTTAGAAAATGCCAAATTGCACGCTATTTACAAATAAATATGTGCTAAAATCCGTCTGTCAACACAGCGAATCGGGTTTGTAGTAGTGATTAACTGATATTACGACGTAATTGCTTAAATAAATAAATAATAATAAATAAATTATTTATTCTGGACCAAACCTTTTGTACATTTTTCACACCCGCCAAACTGCGTAACAGTTTGTCGGCGGGATTAGCGCTTGTCTTAATACATTTGGTTCAAATACGTAACTATAAACTAACGAACATAAAAGAATGTAAATAAAGCAAGTTTTAAATTTTAAAACAGGTACTAAACTATTATTAAGAAATATTTACTAAAATTTAGCCTATTATTAAAAACTGCTACTATTATTAAGAATTACTAACATTTGGCCTATAGAAACTACTACTAATATTAGGATTTACTAACTTTTTCACATCTCGCAACAACTTCGTTAAGGAAAAAAGTACTTGTATGTGTGCTTCCGGCGACGCCGAATCTCGTACAAAATAAGGTTGACAGCCATTCAATCGTGTATTATAGTATTTTATGGTAAACATTATATAAATTATTTTATACAGAGATTAACATTTTGTTTAAGTAATGACTCGGCAACAGTTGAAGAAGAATTCAAAGGCTTTTTAGTGTATGGAGCGGATGCTGAATACTCTGCTAATGGATTACCTTGTAGATAACGACTTACGTAGTGACCATTGATCGGATTTAATAGACAGCTTATGTTGTAATTTTTCTTGATATTTGGTCTAGATGTTAATAATAAATTTATCACACTTAAATGTACTAATTTTAGGGTAGAGATGTTTAACAACTGATTTAGTAATCATGGTGACACGTATAAGTACGTTTACAATAATAACTATTACTAGTGATCGCCTAGTAGTCGAAATTAGACCATGTTACATTTTTAGGTCTACATTTTAAGCAGATTTTTTTATTGAATAAGGGTGACAAATGAGCACACAGTCCAACTGATGGTAAGTTGATACCGTGACATCTATATCTATCCTCAATTAAGAATCAAAATGCAGATACGTTGTCACCCCCGAGGACTAAGATGGAATGCCTCGTTTCCAGTAAAAGGGGTCTCGGGTTCTCTACACTCACCATACGAAACACAGTAGTTTATTAGTGATATTTTACGCTGCGCTGGTATTCTGTAAGAGCATGTTCCTTCCCTGGTCGAGCCGACCCATTCGTGCTGCAACCATAATATAGCTGCAGCACGGCTCTATCACGTAAAAAATAATTTATTTACTATTTACATAGATTGACATATTTTTATTATTGAAAAATGAACATATTTAAAATCTCACAAAATTCAAAGCTCACTCAGTCAATCTGTCAGTAATTATTTGTTGGCAACATATTGAAATTCTTTGGCGAAAATTTCTCTGTGCGACAGTCTTGTACATATACTACATTTTCGTAAATATATTGAGAGATCAAATCTTATTTACTTTTTTGCATGTCCTTGATTTTCTTGTCCAAGAGAAACATTAGTTTTCAAATCATATATTGCTGCTATAATCCTCGTCTGCAAAAAATATTTCAGTGTCAGATGCGTTTCCTCATAGCCATACGACATTTTGCTATGCAATTAACTAAAATAAACTTGTCTAGCTATTTCAACACCAGTGATACTTTTTATTTTTAACAGCATACGCTGCAGTATCTGCTTACTAGTTAAGATATATGAGGGCCCATTTAAAACTTCGCATTTCGCTAGAGTCATTCCCTGAAAAACTATGATATAGACAAGACTCAACTCCTCCCGCTTTGAAATCACATTAGTATTTGATATTAAACGTTCGGTGTCCAGAACTTCACTTATTTTTATTCAAAGGTATTTTAGTTTTAGTGTCATTTCAAGTAGTTAAACCGTTCAGATAACGTATCTACAATTAAAAATCGTACACATTGTTAGCGCTAATGGTTAAAATGAAATTCATCAGTAAAACTGTATTTCCGGTTTTAGTTATTCACCTTTTTCTCATTCAATTCAATTCAATTTATTTGCTACATTTAATTTTAATTATAAAAATAGTTCAAAACAAGAAAAATAGTTCAAAACAAGAGGACACTGCAAATATTGGTTATAATTAATATTATAATTATACATATTTACATTAAGGTATGATTTATATTATTATATATAGCCGTGTAGTGGCGGTTGAGAATATCCACTACCCCATATCTTCCCGTGGGTGTCGTAAGAGGCGACAGAGGGACACAGAAAGGAGATGGGCAGCAGCATCTTCCTAATAACAACAATAACATAATAAAAAACGGCGGTTGCCAACCCGCTTGCCAAGCGTGGCAACTATGGCAAATATCCCCCCATGAGCAACGACACAAATAAACGGCCCCCAATCCCCGGCGGCCCCGCTATTCCTGGCTACGGTGGCGACCATGGTAACGGCGGGGCAGGGGGTGCTAAGAATCTCCGGTGGAGGTTCGGTTGCCACCTACGACGACTCGACCTGGCAACGTATAACGCACGCACCCTGAGGACTGACGAGAAGATACTGGAGCTGGAAGATGAGGTAGACAAGTTGCGCTGGCATATTATTGGATTATCTGAGGTCCGAAGAGAGGGGGGAGGACACGGTAATCCTCGAGTCCGGCAACTTGTTCTATCACCGGGAGGGCGACCACCTGTCCCAAGGAGGTGTCGGATTTATCGTCCACAAGTCTCTCGTCAACAACGTTGTAAAGATTGGGAGTGTGTCGACGAGGGTCGCGTACCTGATACTCAGAATCACCAAACGGTATTCGCTGAAGGTCATACAGGTCTAAGCACCAATCTCGGCAGATCCCGATGAGGAGGTGGAGGAAATGTATGAGGATAATTCTAGAGCCATGCATTCCTCCAAAACCTACTACACGGTGTTGATGGGAGACTTCAACTCAAAACTAGGCACAAGAGAAGGCGGTGAGCTGAAGTTAGGGAATTTTGGAGTAGGGCAACGGAACCTTAGGGGCCAGCAGCTGGCTGACTTTATGGAGAAAGAGGGACTCTTTATGATGAACTCTTTCTTCCAGAAGCGGCCCCACAGGAAGTGGACCTGGTCGAGCCCCGACGGTTCGACAAAAAATGAGATTGACTTCATTATGACGACCAGACGCCAACTGTTCAGTGATGTCTCAGTGATCTCAAGGGTGAAAACCGGCAGCGATCACCGAATGGTTAGAGGCACACTGAACCTAAACGTTAAGTTGGAGAGGTCTCGTCTAATGAAGTCAACGCTCCGTCCCCCCTCGTGCTCTAATCCAGAATCCCGAGACTTTTCAGCTCGAGTTACGTAACCGCTTTCAGTGCCTAGAAGATTGCAATGCAGTGGACGATACGAATGACAAG